ATTTTCATCTTTAGAGAGATATTTTTATGCGATTTTTTAGACGTTTTTTCTTTCCTGCCAATAGGCCATTCTGAATTAATGAGAACTGTCAAAATCAGTTCAGCCGTTCTCGACATATATGAGATCTTTCAAGCATATCTTCTTTGATAGACATATATATCGCATATATTTGCTATGTATTCGATTTTTTGGATCTTAACATCAATGTAAAGATCAGAAGTAACCTTGTCATGGCTTTGTGATTTCGCCGGGATTTAAAATATTCGCGGTTTAATGAAAATTTTTGAATTTTTTCAACAAAAAAGATATGATCTATTTTACCCGCTAAATATTATCCGATGACCACCCAAATTGGTAGGCTTCTTCCCCGCCCTAAACTCTAGCTACATGCGTTGATCGACGTTGATTGGTCCATAATTGCGACCTGTATAGCTACTGCAAAATCCGAAATTTTTTCAGTATTTGGTCCATTTCAACCCCTAAACATTTGGCGATCATCTCCAAAAGAAATAGGGTTCTATTCCGACCCTAGCCCCACCTCCATTCTAAATTTCGTGAAGATCGGGCCATAATTGCGACCTGTAGAGTGATTACAAATTAACATGGACAGACGGACAGACGGACAGACGGACAGACGGACGGACGGACATACATAGCTAGATCGACTCAGCTCGGCGAGCTAGGAAGATCCATATATACTTTCCTATGTGGGAAATCAATATTTCGTGGTGTTACATAATTTTTGGCCCAATCAAACTTATAATACCCCCAACACATAGTGTTGTAGGGTATAAATAGGTCTAGCCCTTCTGAGTCTAACCCAGCCCTTATGAAAATTTTCGTGAGGATCGGAAGATAATTGCAATCTGTATATAATAACCCCAACCTGTGTTGTAAGGTGAAAACAAGTAAAAAAACATTAAGTTCGGCCGGGCCAAACTTTTAATACCCTCCACCTTAGGGTAAAAGAAACATTAGAAGAAATGTGGCAAAAACCATTAAAATGCCGATTATGGGGAGGTACCGTTATATGGGGGCTATACCAAAACGTGGACCTATAATTACAATGTTTCGCCACCGGAGCTGGAACCCATTATGACCCACAAATACCAATTTTTAGACAAATCAGTGAAAAAATGTGGCAAAAACCATCAAAATACCGAATATCGGGAGGTACCGTTATATGGGGGCTATATCAAATCATGGACCCATGCATGCAATGTTTCGCCACCGAAGCTGGAACCAATTATGACCAACAAATACCAATTTTCGAACAAATCCCTGAAAAAATGTGGCAAAAATCATCAAATTACCGTATATCGGGAGGTACCGTTATATGGGGGCTATACCAAAACGTGGACCTATAATTACAATGTTTCGCCACCGGAGCTGGAAACCATTATGACCCACAAATACCAATTTTTAGACAAATCGGTGAAAAAATGTGGTAAAAAAAACTAAAATACTAAATATCGGGAGGTACCTTTATATGGGGGCTATACCACAACGTGGACCTATACATGCAATGTTTTGCCACACGCTCAGGGACCCGCTATGACCTACAAATACCAATTTTAAGACAATTCCGTGAAAAAATGTGGCATAAATCATCAAAATATCGAATATCGGGAGGTACCGTTATATGGGGACTATACCAGAACGTGGACCGATATATCTCATTTTCAATACCAACCATCCTAGACACAATGCAAATAGCTCTGCTAAATTTTGGAGCTCTACGTCAAATAATGTGGGCTGTATCGTGATTTCAACAGACAGACAGACGGACAGACAGACGGACATCGTTAAATCGACTTAGAATTTTATGCTGATTATGAATATATATACATTATGGGGTCTAAAACGAATATTTAGGGATGTTACAAACGGAATGACAAAGTTAATATACCCTCCTTTCCAAGGTGGAGGGTATAAAAATATTACAGAATATGCACTTCAATATTGTAAGTCAAATTGAAAAAATCGCATGCGATAAAAAATAAAAAACATGTCACAAAATATTACGATTTTTTTTTTAGATTTTATACTTTCACACCAAGAGGGCTTTCTGAAATGACAAAATTTGTCAAAATCGGTCCAGCCGTTCTTGAGATATAAGCATTCTAGCTAACACCCCCTTCCTTTGTATATATTTCGCTATATATATCCCCTATGCTAACTTCCACGTCTATTGGTCTATAATTGCGACCTGTAGAGCAACTGCAAAATCAGGATTTTTTTCAGTTTTTGGTCCATTTCAACCCCTAAATATTGTGCGATTATCTCCAAAAGAAATAGGGTTATATTCTGATCCTAGCCACACCTCCATTCTAAATTTCGTGAAGATCGGGCCATAATTGCGACCTGTAGCGTGATTACAAATTAACACATAGTGTTGTAGGGTATAACAACAATCCCAAAATGGGAAAAAATATTTTTTATAAGTTAAAATTCAAAGAAAAATTGATGTTTTTTTTTTCAAATACAAAAAAAACTTTAAAGTATGCACCTACATACATTGATGTTATGAAGCTCCTTTATTAATACAATGTCGGAGTTTCATGAACGCTATGAAACCGCCCGAAAGCGCGACAATGACAAACTGTTGACCGATTTATTGCATTTTCATTAAAACTTACGTACAATATACCAACATGACAAACTTAAGTCGTGTAGTTTTGATTTGTTAATTTTGTGCAAGAATTCGGACATACATACAATATACATGGGTCAGACATGTATTGGACGTTCGGCATTTGGTTCGCTGGGTTGATGATTACCACACACACAATTGACAGTGTTATCGCTCAATAAAGAGAGAGGAAATTCAATGAAGCAAACACATCTTAAGCTCATTCACAAACATGACCTTCTTTCATATAATTTGAAAACAACAAAAAAACAACAACAAACAAACAAAGAAAACAATAAGGGATGAGTATCAAAATTAAATGATGATTTTGTTTTATTTGAAAGCATACCCATACGCAATAGCAAACTTTCTTAACCCTATGATTAGAGAGGGGGGCTAGTAATGGGATGGGATAACTTTGGCGTATTAAATAACAGTTCCATAATATATATCCCGCTGCAAACCAATGTACTAAAGTTACTGTCTGTATTTGAAAAATAATGGAATATTTCTAAAGAAATTAGTTATTTTCCCACATTACAAAGCAAAGGAACAGATGTACGGATATGTATACATCTCTTCTCTTCTTCTCTTTAAATTATATACAACACAATATTTTAATTACCCCAAGGTCGTGTGTGAAAATGGAACATATCGGTCCACTGCTTTTGGTACCTCCCCAAAGAGGGTCAAAATTTAAATACCCATGAATCTCATAAAGCGAGAAATTAACATCCGATTCCATTGAGTCTTGGCACATCTCAATATTTCCATCAACACAAGATCTGTTATAAAGATCGTAGAGATCGGTCCATTCGGCAAATATTAAAAATGAGCTCGGGGTAAAGCCATTAAAATTCCAAAAAGTGCAAGAACTTACACCGCAACAGAAAGAAAATAGACTCAAAAGAGCTAAAGAGTTGCTTCGCTTGGCCGAAAGTGGTGAACTGCCGATTTTGATTATCCCCGGTGAGAAAACATTCGTTGTCCAGCAGTTTGCAAACAAACAAAATGATCGTGTTTACTTGCCAAGGCGGTCAGCTGAAAATGTGCACCTTCGGTTGGCCACCAGAACTCAAGCGCCGGCAATGGTGATGGTGTGGGGCGACATAACAGACGATGGTCGCTCTCCGCTCATATTAACCGATTAATCGACCGTGGCATTAGAATAAATGCCAAACATTATCGCGAAAATATTCTGGAGGGTGTATTAAAGCCTTGGTCATGCAAACATTTTGGCCGCAGACAGTGGACATTCCAACAGGACTCAGCACCATCGCACTCAACACGCGCCACCCAAGAATGTTTATAAAATGAGGTTCCTCACTTCATTTCCAGCGCATAATGGCCACCAAAATCTCCGGATATCAATCCGTTGGACTATTGTGTCAGGAGTATTTTTGAAAGCAAGGTTGGCACTAAAAAATACCAAAGTGTTGATCACCTCAAGCAAGCGCTTCGCCGGAAATGAGCCAAAATACCGCGGAACAACATTCGAGCAGCGTGTGACAGTTGCATTGGCCTTTGAAGGCCATAATTCGTGACAAAGCTGACCGATTCCAACAAATCTAACTTATTCTAAAATTTGATGCTATTTCCGACATTTTTTGCTTTCATTCAATAAAATTAAGAAAAAATGTAAAAATTATGGCGTTTGACTTTGTTGCAGTTTTTTTATCTTATCCTGCACACATGTCGCCAAAACCGACTGATACTGTTTCACTGTTTTTTTTTTTTTTTTTTTTTTTTTTTTTTTTTGAAAGCTTTCTTATAGCTCTTAAAAAATTGCCCTTCATTATGCTGGAAAGTGTATGTTAGTCTTAATAGTTAAGAAATTCCCTGTGCTATTTCCAGTCTATAAAATACCTTTATTTATAGAGTTATGTTTTACCCAACATCATGAAATTTTCGTTGGCATTTTCGCTATCGTCGAAATGAAAAATTCAAGACTTCCGTTCTTGGAATCTCTCTCCAATGTCAGGAGCCATTGTGAACTCATTAAAATTAATAGAATATATAGATTTATCGATTCATTCTAGCTATCTTTGGGTCCTCAGAGACTCTATTACTCCACTATTCTCTTTTTTGTGAGGGTTAAGCATTGAGCATTTGTTTTGATTTGCTCTTCTCCAAATGTTTATGGCATGTTCTTTTTTGGGAGGGAGCTTTTTATTCTCTGGACATGCCCAAAAGAAACACAAAACATGTTCGCCGCACATCTGTCTTTGTCGAATTTGTTTTGTGTGAACTTGAAAAATTCTTACACTCATTCGGTTTCACTGCCTGAAATGGACCATAACAACGCTGTGCATTGTGGTTAATTTTTATATTAAATGAAATAAAACAAAAGCAACAACCGAAGAACAAAAATATTCGAAAACCCCCCAGCGCCAACTCAATTCTTATCAATATTAAACAAAAAGGTTCGGTGAGTAATGCCACCGGCTAACCACCAAAGACAGTCATTATTCTCCACTCCGTCACTATTCTTTGCTCTTTTTATTTTCAACTCTGTCTGGGGTGGGACACACGCACTCAAGCCGTAGCTTTACCAGTCATAACGGCCGAGGCGATCGTCAACGTCGAAACGATAGAAATAAAATAACGCTCAAATAGTAACAAAGAAGAGTCGGACCGGAACGCAGGCCAGAGCAAAAAACACAAAATTCGCGCCGGTCTCAATCGAATAAAATGAACGAAAATTAATGGCAAAAACGAAACAAAACAACAACATCAATTCTCCTCACTCGAAATTAATTAAATAAATATTCAATTCAATTGAAAAAGTCACGTTCGCGAGCTTCCGTTACACCGCAGTGTGGGCATTATAGGGAGGAAGCACAATGGCTTGTTTTTCCTGTGTTTCGAAACAAACCAGTGATGCCAAGGAGCAGTATGGCCGGCCAATGCAATGTACTCTAGAATTGGCACCACTAAATCTAGATTCTCAGGAAGACATTAAAGCTGCTCCCAACAACAATGAATCGGCACCTTTAACCGAAACAAAGGTGAAAACCTCGAAAAGCGGAAATACCGTAACAGTAACGAAGATCACACGTGTTGTAAATCAAACCCACAACACACGTTTGGCTCGAGGCACCTTTGAAATCGCAACGCCAAAGACACCGGAAATCTCTCCTTTCATCGAAACAAATGAAGGGGCCACGTCCTCCTCCTCCTCATCCACACCATTTACCAAGACCAAAGTTAAGAAAAGTGGCAACACTGTAACCGTGGTAAAAACTACCTATTCCTCAAATGTGATAAATAAAACAACAACAACACCAAAGACTATAGTTATTGGCGGCGAACCGGGACCATCAGCATCAAACAACAATGAACGTGTATACCGCACAACAGTGGATCCCATACCGCCATCACCTAAAGCTTCAAAACGAAAATTCTTTAATCTCAAAGCTATTTTGATTCGAAAGAAAAGGTCAACGACGGTGCAAGAAGAAGTGGTGCAGGAAAATGCCGAGGATGCGGAAATTTTGCAACAAATTTGTTTAGATATGCATAACCGTTTGCGTGCACTGCACGGTGTCAAACCATTGACATTGAATAAAGAGATGTCGCGTTACGCCATGGAATGGGCTAAAGTAAGTAAAATTATGACAGGCAAAGATAAGGCTGGTTGATTCATTACACTGTGCGACAAAATTCATTTTTTCTTTTAATAATTAGGGGGGAAATTCGGGAGTTTTGAAATTGTCGGCGTTTTGAAAGTTTATATCAAAAAGTAGCCCTTTTTCACACTTTTTATACCCTACACCACAAGGTGGTCAGGGTATTATGTCTTTGTGCATTTGTTTGTAACAGGCAAAAGGAAACGAGATAGACCCATAGTTCCTTTTGATGATCTGCATAGAATCACTTTCTGAGTTGATTTATGCATGTCAGTCCGTCCGTCCGTCTGTCCATGTATTCTTGTGAACAAAATGCAGGTCGCATTTATTATCCAAACAACATTTGTTTGGCCCAAGGACGAACCCTATTGAAATTGGAGATAACCGGTCAAAATTTAGATATAGCTCCCATATATATCTTCGTCCGATTTGCCTTTTATTGTGCATCAAACGTGTAATATCAGCCCGAATAGTATGAAATTTTGCACATACAACCAAATTAGGCCTGAAAATAAGTATGCCAAATTTGATCGAAATCGGTTCAGATATAGCTATAGCTCCCATATATATTGTTCATCCGATTTGTTATTTTTGTCCTTCGCAGTCGTAGTATGCACTCTGTTACAACAATATTTGGGGAGATATATCAAATGCAGCCCAGAAATACATGTGCCAAATTTTGTCGAGATCGGTTCAGATTTGGATATAGCTCCCATATATAACTTCGTCCGATTTACCTTATATTGTGCACCAAACGTCTAATATTTGTCCAAATGGGATGGAATTTGGCACTTAGGATCGAATTTAGTCTAGAAGTTAGTATGTCGAATTTGGTGAAGATCGGTTCAGATATAGCTATAGCTTCCATATATATACTGTTCATCCGATTTGTTGTATTTGTTACCCACAGCCGTAATATGCACTCCGTAACAACGATATTCAGGGAAATATATCAAATACAGCTCAGAAATATCTTTGCCAAATTTTATCGAGATCGGTTCACATTTGATATAGCTCCCATATATATATCTTTATCCGATTTCAAATTAATTGTGCACCAAATGGGCAATACAAGTCCGAATTTAAAAGATACAAATGCATCGGCATATTTAGTCCTTTGAACTATAATCATAGCGTGTATGATTGAATTCTCCCATAAAAACTTTTAATTTAATATAGTGGTGTAGGTTATCATAAAGTCGGCCCCGCCCGACTTTAAGGCTTTCTTTACTGGTTAATAATTGTAATTCTTATAAAATTTGATTAAGAATCCGATTGTCTTCAAATTATACATTGATATAAATTATGGTTCCTCCCCCGCAAATATCCATGAAGCTCAAAAACGCGAAATTAACATCCGATGCCATTTAGACTTGGTATATCTCAATTTTTCCATCAACACAAGATCTGTTATAATGGTGGTTGAGATCGGACCATTCCTTCTTGTATCTTACCCACAAAGGGTCAAATTTTTGAATAACCAAAATGATTATAAAATCCAAAACAAGCATCCGGTTCTCTTCATATTTCACACATCCCATTATCTCTACTAACACAAGATTTGCGGTGAAGATGGGATATATCGGTCCACTCCTTCTGGTACCTCCCCCACATAGGGTCAACATTTTGAATACCCATGATGCTCATAAGCCGCGAAATTAACATCCGATTCCATTCAGACTTGGCACATCTCAATATTTCTATTCACACAAAATCTGTTATAAATATTGTAGATATCGGACTTTTCTTGTGGTACTTCCCCCACATAGGGTTCATAATTTTCAAAAACAAAACGCACAAAGAAAGCTAAATAAACATCCAACTCTCCTGCTAACACAAGATCTATTAAAAAGATGATATATATCTGCGAACCCACTCTGGTACCTCACCCACAAAGGGTCACAATTTTCAATACGTTTATCTGTCATAACTTGCGAAACAAGTCAGCGATTCTTTACAACTTGCTATGTCTAAAAATTTCTCTCAACCTGTGGTGAATATGGTATTTATGATTTCTCATCAAATTGGATATAAATGTTCGATTTTCTTGTAATTTTCCACATACCAATATTCTCATTGTATTAGATGAAGTATGAAAATATAACACTTCGGTCGACTATATCTGGTAACTGACGGACATTTTAACGTTTTCTAAAAATTATCACATATATAGTGAAGGAAGTAACCAATGTAGACTAAACTTGACACATCGCAATATTTATATAATACATTTATTTTTTTTATTTATATTGACGCATTCCTTCGGAACGTATTCCATATAGGGTCAAAAATTTGAATAATCATAACAGAAGTCAAAATATATTTAAATTATCGAACATAGGCTGAGGGTACACATCTGTCGGGCAAACTTGTTTTTATAGATAATTCAACATTATAGCAAAGTTTTGACTACTGAACTCAAGTTTCTTTGATTAAGAAAATAAATTACATTTTTTCAGTTTTTATGCCTGTGAAATTAAATGGCTACTTTTGCTATTTTTGCTTCGTCATTACAGATTATTTTACATCGACATATGTATCAGCATGTAGTGGTTCTAGTATTGGGTTTTTTTAATCTCATTAGCATTCTTATAAATATTTACAGTAAGGCCTTTTTATTGAATTAAACCACTGATATTTTGAAAAGAACTGCATGTTATTTATATTGAGTAAACCACTCACTCATTTCATTATTTTTTTTCTGTTATCAAATTAAGTTCACAAGGTAAATCTGATAAATATTAACCGGCCTTATATCTGCAACACGTATAAATTTCGAATATAGCTATCATCACGGATCAATATTCAAATGTTACTTTAATTGTTATTATGTTTTGTTTTTATTGAAATTTTGGCACCCCACTGCGGTGTACATGAACATAAATTGTTCATTGACACACTATACAATTAAAAGCAGACACACGTTTCAAATTACCAAAAAAAAAAATATTTGTATCTGTTTTCAACAGAAATGGCATCAATTGCCTTATTCGAATGAATTAAAGAAATAAATATTAATTTTTAATAGCCATTAGTTCAGACAAATTCGATGTACACCTGGCAATATATTCGTTGGAGATATAGTAAGATGGACTGTGGATTATTTAGCTAGTAAACTTGTAAAAATGCTTTGGAGAACTTTTGATACTCTCCATCATGGGAAATATTAATTAAAAGTTGTAGTTAAAAATACTAAAAATCTATTTTTTTTTTTTCTTTATAAACGAGATATGCCAAAAACCCATTTCAATTAGAAACAAGTAAAATAGTATCAGTCGGTTTTGCCGACAGATGTATACCCTCAGCCTATGTTTGATTATTCAAATATATTTTGTTTTATGTTATAATTATTAAATCTGTTGTTAAAATATTGTCCATTTTCGCGCCTGACCTGAAACCGATTTGGTCCAAGGATGAAGCAAGTTTTGGCCGTATCAAATGATATTTTGCCATATGGCTGAGGGTATAGAAACCTTTAAAATACCGAAAATCGGAAAATACCGGTATATGGGGCCTATACCAATTAGTAGACCTGGGCCTCAATTCTCGTTCTATGAAAATGTTAAATGAAAAATTTTATAAAGGAATGAAATGTCAAATGAAAACATTTTTAAAGGAAATATTTTTCATTTCATATTTTCATAGAACAAGAATCCAGCCCCTGAATCGAATATATTTCGCAAGAAGAGAACATACCTTAAAAGAACCCCAAATGTCAAGTTTTAGCCAATTTGGTTGGAAATCGTGCCAGAAACCTTCAAAATGCCGAAAATCGTGAGGTACCGCTATATGGGTGCCATATCAATTAGTGGAAGTTAATCGAATATTTTCCGCAAAGAGAACCCCAAATGTCAAGTATCAGCTTATTTGGGTGGAAATTGTGGCAGAAACCGAAAATCGGGAGGTACCGTTATATGGGGGGCTGTAACGATTTTTATACCCTACAACACTATGTGTTGGGGGTATTATAAGTTTGATTGGGCCAAAAATTATGTAACACCTCGAAATATTGGTTTCCCACATAGGAAAGTATATATGGATCTTCCTATCTCGCCGAGCTGAGTCGATCTAGCTATGTATGTCCGTCCGTCTGTCCATGTTAATTTGTAATCACTCTACAGGTCGCAATTATGGTCCGATCTTCATGAAATTTAGAATGGAGGTGAGGTTAAGGGGCTCAAATGTCCCTGGTCAAAATGGAAAGAGCAATATCCGGGCAGTGCTCCATGACAAAATTTCAAAAGCGAAATCTTCCAAAATGGGCTTGGAAATAAGGGTTCTTCTAACATATTGTAGTGTTGTAGGGTATCACATTGTCGGCCCAGCACGACTATAGCCTTTGCTTACTTGTTTTTCTTTGTAAGTAGAGAACAGCCCTACCAAGAACCCCAAAGGTCAAGTTTCAATTGATTTAGTTGGGAATTGTGGCATGCACCTTTAAAATACCGAAAATCGGGAGGACAGACGAACATCACCTTATAATTTTTTCTGATCATTAATTTATATACCTTTTGTGGTCACCGACGAATATTTCAAGGTGTTGCAAACGGAATGACATATTTAATATGCCCTCCATTGTATGGTGGAGGGTTAATAAAATTTGACTCAGATGTATTTTAGCACCGTAGAATTTTTGGTATTGAAAATGAGCCATATGGATCCACGTTTTGGTACGGGTAGATCTAAGGTAATTTGGTTGTTTTAGTCACAATTTTGACCCGAATACGCTGTAAATTGTAGTTTGTGTTCCCAGTATGTAGGAAAAATCCTATATCCAACTTTTGGCATAGTCTCCGTGTAACGGTACCTCTAGATATTCCCTACTTTGATGATTTGTGTTACACTTCTCACCGGAATTGCTTCAAAATTGGAATTTGGAGCTCGCATTGGGTATTACTCCCTATGGTATTTTAGCAGTAGAGGTCCACGTTTTCGTATTTTTAAAGATGGAATTTTCCAAACAATATTTGTTTGTCCCAAGGACGAACCCTATTTAAATTGGTAATAATCGGATCAGATTTAGATATAGCTTCCATATATCTTAAACCGATTTTGGGTTAATTGTACAGCAAATAGCCAATATCAGTCCAAATGACCTGAATTTTGGCTCATCCAACCGAATTCAGCCTAGAAACAAATACATCAAATTTGTAGGAAATAGGTTCAGATATAGCTATAGCCCTCAAAAATATGTTTCATCCGATGTGGTGTTTAAGTCCCCAACATTCGTAATATTCATTCGACAACAATGATATAATAGAGCTTAGAAATACCTTTCATCCTTCATCCGGTTTCAGGCTTATTGAGCTAATAATGACTTATATCAGCCCAAATGTACATAGTGAATTTCGGGAATTACGTTTTCATTTTGTGGAACTCTGCTCCGATATATTTTTTATACCCTATACCATACATAGTATGGAGGGTATATCATGTTCATCATTCCGTTTTAACTCATCGAAATAATAATTGTAGACCCAACAAGTATATATATTCTTGATCACCGTAAAATTCTAAGACTATTTATCATACCATTTGAATGGTATTGTCCTACAGAATTATTTTGAAACGTTTCAAGTTTTTTTCTTCCAAATGGTGGAGAGTATAAAAAGTTCGGCCCGGCTGAACTTACCTGCCACCATACATAGTATGGAGGGTATATTAAGTTCGTCATTCCGTTTGTAACTCATCGAAACAATAATTGTAGACCCATATATATATATATATATATATATATATATATATATATATATATATATATATATATATATATTTTAGTCACATTTTTCAATGGAATTTTCTTAAAATCCACAAAAGGAGTTCCTTGTGAGTACATTAATGACGTATATAAAGTTCGGAACTGGGCTTAACTCTAATTTAGTAAAAACTCCTCAATTTTTTCGACATTTTTTCTAGTGGTAGGTATTTTTACCCTGATCCCGGGAAACTTTTTTTTTTCTTGGGGGACGGACCTGGGACCCCAGACCCGAAAGTCCGACTAGACCCGGATCCAATTATCCTATATAGACAATATAGATATCGTTGGAAAGCTTATGAAAATACCTATCCAACAAGTGGTCACAGGAACAGGTTAGAATCGGATTATGCGGATGGAAAGACCCATATCTCAGGACCCGAAAAAGGTATTAGCACAAATTGTAGCATTTTGGAAAGGTAAGAGTGTCAGCTATAATTTGGAAACAATTTTGTTGACCCCCATAATGGGCCTTTTTTTGACTTTTTGGGGGTTTCATAAAAAATCCGGGACCAAAAAATCGATAATTTGACTATAACTTCCGAACCATGACAACTTACCCCTTTGATTTGACCAATTGTTGGATAGATATTTCCATAAGCTTTCAATCGATACCCATATTGTCTATATCGGATAAGTGGATCCGAGTCCATGCGGGGTCTTGATCCCGGACTTTCGGGTCAAAAATCTGGGTTCTCGAGTCCGTCTCCCAAGAAAAAAATAGTTTCCCGGGATCAGGGTAAAAATACCTACCTCTGGAAAAATTTTCGAAAAAATCGAAGAGTTTTTACTAAACTAGAGTTGTTCCCGTAACTGTTACGACACCCTGTAACACAAATTACTTATGCAGGACCACGTCTTCGTATGGCCCACATATAACGGTTTTCATTTGAACGGTGTTTTCCTACAGAATTATTTTGAAATGTTTTAACTTTTTTTCCTCCAAATGGTGGAGGGTATAAAAAGTACGGCCCGGCTAAACTTACCTGTTTTAAAAAATCCAATGATTATTTTCAAAATGAAACCACATGGATTTTATGTATAGTCAACGCATCTAGTGGAAAGCCCTCAATTGATTTTTTTTTTTTTTTTTTTTTTTTTTGCATCAACGTAATATTTATGAAAACGCAATGTTGTAATTCCAACTATTAATAAAAAACAATGATATTAGAATTTATATTATTTCACTAATCAAATCGACCTATTCAGTCACAAAACATAATCACATAGCTTGAGAGAAAGTTTTTATCAAAATTATTGTTTTCTTTTTTTAAATATTCGAAACAGATTTTTGATGACGACAACATAACTCAATAATATTTCAAATGTTTATTTTAGCACTTGGCAAAGAAGAATAAATTCAAACATCGTGAAAGAAATAAATACGGTGAAAATTTAGCATTGGGTACCGGCTCCTCGTATAGCGTGGAAGATGCTGTCCAGTCATGGTACGATGAAATGGAATATTATGATTATAAAAATCCTGGTTTCTCTGGCAATACGGGTCACTTTAGTCAAGTGGTGTGGCAGGAAAGTAGCCAGCTGGGAGTTGGCGTGGTCAAGAAGTGAGTAACTTGCATTTTATATTCGCTCTGAAATCTCATTATCTCATGTATCTTCATTTAGAAATCAACGTACGTGGGTGGTTTGTAACTACGATCCACCTGGCAATGTTTTGGGCAAATTCGAAGACAATGTGCTACGTCCCAAAGGCAGACAACCAAAGCCACAACCTTCAAGGCTGATAATAAAGTCCACGCCAGAAAATGTTACAAAGACGGAAAGACAAATAAAGCTACAACCGCCTAAAAGCGAAAACGACAATAAACCAAGTACATCACAGGCCTTCAAGAAAATTGCCATCGGCAAGCAAGGCAAATGGTCTAACTTTGAATTGGAATGTCTTGAGGAGCACAATAAACGCAGAGCTTTACATGGTTGTGAGCCATTAGTGCTCAATAGAAATCTATGCAATTTGGCAAATGACTGGGCAATTGTAAGTTGTTGTGGTTCGACAAATATTTTTGTTATTAATTTCAAGGATGTCTTCGTTTTGCAGCATCTGACCAAAACACGCAGCATGTATCATCGTCCGGCCAACGACTATGGAGAAAATATCTATCAACTTATAAATCGGGATCCAACAGCCGAAGATGCCGTTAAGGCCTGGTATGATGAAATCAAGAAATATAAATATAGTAGACCAGGCTTTAGTCCGGCAACGGGACATTTTACACAAGTTGTGTGGTTGGACACAACAGAAGTGGGTGTGGGAAAAGCCAAAGTGTAAGACATAAATAGCATTCCTTTATTAAATAATAATTAATATTTAAATCACTATCTCTTTTCCAGTGACAATATGACCTTTATTGTTTGTAACTACAATCCACCTGGCAATGTTATGGGTCAATATAAGACTCAAGTACCACCTCTGGGTGGCTTTAAAACTACCAAAAAAGACTCTTCGCATGACAATCGGCCATTACCATCAGCTGCAACAAATGAACATTCCATTTCGAATAAAAAACCTGGATTCTTTTCGAGTTTGCTTAAAACGAAAAAGTCAAGCATATCCTAAGAAGTATTACCTTAAGATCTTGCACTCGCAGGAGATTTGTACTGATTTCATAAGTATTTGTATACGTATTCTATAAAAGTATTTGTAATTTAATTACAAATTAAAACATATATATTCCTACAATATTCCTATATAATCGAATTATACACTTTTTGTAAAAATATATTGTTTAATACATATTTAAATATATTTTTCTTTTTTTTCGATAATTCTAAAGTATAAGAATCGAAAGATTTACTATTTTATGAATTTTTGATTATTATTCAAATTAAAATAAAATATACAATTCATGTTTTTCTTTCTTTCGACGTACAGAAACAGGCCATAAAATCGGTATAAAAACTTCTGTAATAAAACTTCTGTAATAATATAACATTCGGAAGGAATTTGATTTTTTTTAAAAAATTCGTCGAAAAATACCTCTTAAATGAAAACCTTTATATGGGGGCTATACAAAGACGTGGAGCTGGATAAGAATTTTTTTTTTTTGTGATAGGCTGTAGTAACGATTCCGAACTTTAAGTACGAAATTTGACTCAATTCCCTTGAATAATACCGCTGATATCATTAAAATACGGAATAATGGGAGGTACCGTTGTATGGGGGCTATACTAAGACGTGGAGCTGCACAGACAATTTTCCGTCAAAAGTTGCAGCATCCATTACGAACTTCAAATACGAAATTTAACGCGATTCCGGGGAATAATGTGGCGAAAATCCTGGAAGTACCGAATATCTCGGGGTAGAGTTATATGGGTGCTTTACTATAACGTAGACCTATATAGACTATTCTCTTCCAGGGGGTAAAGTACTCAGAGGAAATTCCTTGTGTGGAAAATGTGGCAAAAATCATCAAAATACCGAATATGGGCCGCACCATTGTATGTGGGCTATACGATATCGTACAATTCTCTTCCAGGGGGTAAGGTACTCAAAAACAACTCCTTTTGTAGAATTTCAGACAATTTCATTAAAAAAATGTGGCCAAAATCATTAAAATACCGAATATCAGGAGGCACTCTTATATGCGAGATAAACGATATCGTGGAGCGAAACAACCCATCTTCGAACTTGTCCTAACTTCAGTCAAAAGACAGACCACTACAAAATTTTAGCTTACTATACTTATTTGTTTTGACTCTAGCGTGACTGCAACAGAAGGACAGACCAACAGACACCGCTAAATCGTCTTAAAATTTTTCGCTGCTCAAGAATATATATGCTTTGTTGGGTCTAAAATTATTTCGATGAGTTACAAACGGAAACTTAATACACCCTCCAACTTTCCATACGATTTCCCTAGGAAGAAGAGGTTCAAAAAACAAAATTATGTTGAAAAACAATCTTCGAACATTTTTCTATCCTTTTCTTTACTTCTGCTTTTTTCTCTCCATTTATCTCCTAGCGTCGAATAGTCCGGCCCAGTCTACTACTCGGCTCTGTCATGTCTCCCATGACCAACTTCCTTTTCAATGCAAAGTGTCAATGAACACAAAGTAAAACCAAAATCATTATTCCAGCGTTGTTTTTCTATTCAATCCTATACCATCTATATTGGAATAGCCTCAATTTATACAAAATAATACATTTTTATATCAACGAAAAAATGTTGTTTATATATTTATGTTTTCTCTTTGTGTTTCCATCTACAGTTCAGTATCATTTCCATCAATGGATTACAATTCCCATTTTGAACTCAGCGTTACGGCTATGTTCCAGACATTTTTTGCAGTCAACTTTGACAAAGAAAAACCTGAAAGAAAACCAGAAACAGCATATTTTAATTAGTACTGTAGGAATTTTTTAAGATTATTTATAAATTGATTGAAACACACTATCAGAAAAGAATGTCAAGTAATGGGTAATCATTGTTAAATCATAACCCAGCGCTCTAAGCAATTTCATCAATATAATTATTACTGATATGAAGTGAATGAAAATTAATATTATTATTTACCTTACAATCGACGTCAGGGGGGGGTCCAATAAAATCCGATGTGATACCATATCAATCTGAAAATAAAAATAACTATGATTAAAATAATCGCTGTGGTATTGCAAAGTATGTTCTAATTCAAATACAATTTGTCAGTAATAAATGTCAAAGAATAGGGTAATCATGATCATATCATAACCCAGCGCTCTAGGCAATATCATCATTATTGGAAAGCAAAAATAGGGAAGGGAGAGTGGTAAATATAGAATTCTAATACTAAGAATCTAATCGCCTGTGAGACGAAACGAAAGATAACCCGAAAGAATATCAGAAATTCCATGTATATTTCAAATCAAAAAATAACATACAGGAAATAGGTGTTTCTCTTTCGAGTGCATTTTAAAATCATCATAAAGAAACCGGCCTTAACTTGCACGTTTAAGGATATTGATATGTAAACATGTTTGAATGTTTAGTAAATACTTATTCTAAAACACAGTGGTACTTGGGATATTCAGTAAATATAAAATCTTAATAGGAAAGCTTCTACATATACTTCGAATAATCAAGATAAGTTTCCTGTGTCCTATATACTATATTTCAATCCTACAAGTCTCATTTATCGCCGTGTAATCGAAAGTAAATTGAACTATACTACAAGGAGGTCGTCTCTGTGTATGATATACAATATGCAATAGAGCTAAAATTACCGTTAAATTACCCGAAGTTGTTAAAGTATAGACAATTAGGAACATAGTACCACCTCTATCCCTATATGATCTCACAACCAAAATAATTATGAAAATATATATGTATGGATTTGTATTATAAACTTACGTTTTTTATGCTCCTTTAGCGAAAAAAAGCAAACATCTTTTATTAAGCAGAAGGGCCTCTAAGAGCTTAAAACATTTCTTCAATGGGACACACATTTTCTGGCCTGTAAAAATAGAGATTCTAGTTTAAAAAAACATTTTCTATGGGAAATAATTAACATTTAAATTGAAAACTATCAGTTACAAATGTCAAAGAAAACTGGTAATCATGGAAAGTCATAACCCAGCGCTCTAAGCAATTTCATCCTTTTAACGTTTTATCCACCTTTCTATGTTAAACTAAGGAAAAAGAGGTCTCTACTTACCAAACCAGTTGACACGTTCTCATAGTATCTATTGCACCATAGTCCAGCAATCATCGAATACCTGGAAATGTAAAATATTTGTTTAGTAAAATGTCAAAAACTCGATAGTTCGTTATAATAGTACACAATTTTAATCAGTAATTAATGTCAAGTGAAAGGATGTAATCATGTAGATTATCATAACCCAGCGCTCTAAGCAATATCATCATTAATTGGTAGTAAAAATTACCCTGAATTTTAAATTTGTCTACAATTAATACATACTTACAGATATTTCCTCGGTGAAGAATCATTGTTCAAATATTATGAATTTTATATATAGAATGCACACATGCCATTTCCAACAAGTATTTTTTAGGCATTTTTAAAAATGATATCAACCACACGTGCAAAGCAAGCTAGAGAGAAAGAAGAGATTGTTTAAAAACTAAAACTGTCTTAAGTGGAAGTTACTGAACACAGCCAGCCGATTAGGAAGTGTCCAGAAGAGCAATTAAAATAAATGAGTTGGCAATGCGGGTTATAGGCATATTCAAGGAGTAGGCATGGTAGGTCTAAATAAACACACACTTTTAATAAAACCAAGTAAAGAAAACTCCCTATGCATATTTGGTAGAGCTCCCGTAAAAAATTATTTATTTCAAGTAGATCATACCACAAATCAATATTTATATTTATAGTTGTTTTCAGAGGGAACTAATATATGGGAGGCATATCCAATTCTGAATCAATTTTCACTAAATTTGACGGAGACATTTTAATCTTTTATACCAAATAAGATTTTTATTGTGTACATGACATCACTTCGATGAAACATACATATGGGATGAAACATATATATGGGAGCTATAGCTTTGTCTGAACCAATTTTCTCCACATTTGATGTACTTGCTTCTAGACTGGTCATTTGGACTTATATTACCCATTTGGTGCACAATTAACCCGAAATCGGTTGAAGATATATATGGGAGCTATATCCAATCTGAACCGATCTTGATACAGCTTGGCAGAGGTATTTCTGGCCTGTATCTCATATCAAACATCATCCTTGTGGGATGCATATTACGAATGTGGGGTACTTAAACACCAAATCGGATGTAAACTATGTATGGGAGCTATAGCTATATCTGAACCGATTTTCTCCGAATTCGATGTACTTACTTTTAGTCTGTATTCGGTCACATGTACCAAAATTCAGGACTTTTTGACTGATATTGACCATTTGGTGCACTATTAACCCGAAATCAGTTGAAGATATATATGGGAGCTATATTTAAATCTGAACCGATTATCACCAATTTACAAAGGGTTCGTCCTTGGCCACACAAATATTGTTTGGAAAATTTCTTCTCAATCGGACAATAAGTGGGGCTGGATTTTGTTCACAAGAATTCATGGGCAGACGGACGGACTGACAGATTCTCAAAAGCAACTATGGGTCTCGCTTCCTTAGCCATGTTACAAACAAATGCCCAAAGATATAATATATATATACATAAAACTTTTTTTTACTGGCTTAAGTCATCGGCTGGCTTCTTCGTAGAGGAACAAGTTTTAGGTTGACTTAGTTCGGTTTTGGCCCTAGGAACATTTGTTTATTTCCGAAGAAGCCACCCGATGACTTAAGCCCATCGAAAAAGCGTTTTATGTATTCTCACCTTTATTGCACCGAATATGCTTTTAAACATTCAGCAGATGGTTTTGTTTATTTTATTTTTTCACAAACTTATTATATTGAGGAATACGAATGAATGGAACGTTACGTTTATTCCATAAACATGAATCGAAGATGGAAGGACAATGTTGTTTTATCGCAAGATTGTACAATCTGTTGCCCATTAACGTCGAAAATATTCATGTATGTTGGAACTGAATTTAAAATTGTTTGATGGAAACCTATCTTCAATGGAATTAAATTTGACAAGATACATAAAGGCAGGTCACAGGATAAATAAAGACATGTCGGGACGAAAGTTTTTTAATTTCGTATTTAGCTTCTTCAGAAATCGTAAAACGAAATTTTTTTTCAGTTTGAAACCACTTTTGTGTTTGCAAGTGAAATTGTATTTTTATGGAAACTTTTGACTTTCAAACTCTTTCAAAACAATTTTAAATAAATGGCGAAACATTGCATGTGTAGGTCCACGCTTTGGTATAGCCCCCATATAACGGTACCTCCCGATATTAGGCATTTTGATGATTTTTGCCACATTTTTTCATGGATTTGTCTAAAAATTGGTATTTGTTGGTCATAATGGGTTCTAGCTCCGGTGGCGAAACATTGCATGTATAGGTCCACGCTTTGGTATAGCCCCCATATAACGGTACCTCCCGATATTAGGCATTTTGATGATTTTTGCCACATTTTTTCATGGATTTGTCTAAAAATTGGTATTTGTTGGTCATAATGGGTTCTAGCTCCGGTGGCGAAACATTGTATGTATAGGTCCACACTTTGGTATAGCCCCCATATAACGGTACCTCCCGATATTCGGTATTTTGATGATTTTAGCCACATTTTTCAATGGAATTGTCTAAAATTCCACACAAGGAATTCCTCGTGAGTACTTTACCTCCTGAAGGAGAATTGTTTATATGGGTCCACGATATCGTATAGCCCCCATATAACGGTACCCCCGATGTTCGGTATTTTGATGATTTTAGCCACATTTTTCAATGGAATTGTCTGAAATTCAACAAAAGGAGTTCCTCGTGAGTACTTTGCCCCCTGAAGGAGAATTGTTTATATAGGTCCTCGATATCGTATAGCCCCCATATAACGGTATACCCCGATACTAGGTATTTTGATGATTTTAGTCACATTTTTCAATAGAATTGTCTGAAATTCTACACAAGGAGTTATTTGTGAGTACTTTACCCCCTGAAATAGAATTGTCTATATAGGTCCACAATATCGTATATCCCCCATATATCAGCACCATCCGATATTCGATATTTTTAAGTTTTTAATGGATTTTATTTTTTTTTTTTGAAAATTTCCTAATTCGTTCCAAATGGTGGAGGGTATTCAAAGTTCGACCCGGCCGAACTTGCTGCTTTTTTACTTGTTTAACTTGTTATTTCCCATTCATTCCCCTAATATTGCAATATTGAATATATGTTACCATATTTAAACTAAATTCGTAGTTCACCAAATCGTTCGAAATCTGAAGAAGGAACAAAACAAACCATTTTGAATTAGGAAATTCAAACCATTTCTATACTATTTTGTGACATGCCTGATAATTTGTAATTAGGCGACCTCGAACTAATTACACCATGATTTACATAAAATTCCTGTGTTGCATTCTGACAACTACTATTTTTCGACTGAATTTATTAGAAAACATCTTAAATTTGTGCATAAAAATGCAAGCTGTTTGGAGATATTTTTTAAATTTCAATATAAAGCATTGTTTATATCGAACAATTTTAATCCACTGGATTTGGATTTAAATTGTCATATCCATTACTTTTACTTCAAATAAATCCTCTCAAAGTAGGTTAACCCTACAAAAAGTAAGTTTCATCGTAAAACACTCGATTTGGTCGTGCATGAAAATAAGCCTTCAAAGATTTTAATTAATTTGTGCACCAGATTAAAAACCCACTTATAGCTGATTTTTTTTAACTATTTCAAAACAATCCTGAAAAAAATAATAAAGACCAACGACTAAGTTTATTTTTATACATTATTATATTTATTTTTAATAGATACAAACATATATCCCTAGCAATTTTAGTGGGTAAACAATGGTTCAAATACAAGTAAACAATACAATTGTCATATCTTCAGAAAATTTATGTAACTACATTGTAGAATCAATATCCTACTACACACACATACATACGAATACTATTTGTCAATTTTTGTTTAATTTGCTGGTAGAAGAATTAACTTTCAAATCATTTGATAAACATTGTCTTTTCGAATTGCTTTTGTTGGCCTCTTGTAACGAGGATGGACGTTTTTTACCAGTTACTGTTGTCGAAACTGTCGATGTTGTGGCATTTTCCTTCTGTTCTTGCTGTTTAGTAGTAGTCTTCCTCCGATGCTTTTTGTGTTTTGTTTTCATATGTTCTTCCAGTTTTTGCTTGAATGACAAACCACAAATTTTACATACCGTCAGTTTTGTGCGATTTGCATGATGCATTTTTATGTGATAGTCCATATTTTCAACGGTATTAAAACACATTAAACATACACTTTCAGGCCAATCCTTGGATGAGTGGGATGCTTTCATGTGCTCCGATCTGGCGTAGGGAGTATTTGATATTTTTGGACATAGTGGACATTTAAGCCTGGCCGTAGCAAAGTGTACACGTTCCAAATGACGATACAGTGTATTGAGTTGAGTAAAACGGGATGGACATAGGGCACATACAAAAGAGGTATGCGCCAAGTGTGATAGAATGTGACGTCTTTGAGCGGACGCTTTGTCTGGATGAGTGGTGTTACATTCTATACATTTAAGATCTCCTGATTTGGGATCACTTGTGAAAAAGTTCTTTGTATCGAAAAAACTGTGCTGTATTCGAATGTGTATTTCCCATCGAGTCATAGTCGAAAAGGACGCATTACACTCGGGACAAGCAAAAGTAATGAATTTTGAATATTTTTTATACAATTTTGCTCGATAATCAAAGAATGAAAATTCGGATTCCAATTCTAGTTCTGCACTCACCTCACCTTCTGTTTTTTCGTTCTTTACTACCGCCTCATCTGGCTTGTTACCTTTTTCCGTTTCAACCGGTTTAGCGCTTTTGGAGCAATTAGGTTTTCTGTCTTGCATCAATGGAGAAACTTCCTTTTCGGTTTTAATCTTTATTTTAGTGGGTGTGATATTTCGATTGTCTTCATTTCTTTCTATTTTATTGTTAGATTTCTCAACTTTTGTTGTTACCGCCACACATTCCTGGTGATAATCCTTAACATGCCTAGAAGTTGTTGAATAACTGGGATACGAACGATGACATTTGCGACAACGAAAAGGCTTTTCATCCAAATGAGAAAAATAATGCTCCATTAAATAGCAAGATCGGTTGGAATTAACATCAGCCTGACAGATTTTGCACACCATGTGGTTCTCCTTTGCACTGCATTTGCTAAAATATTGCCGAAAATGGTCGTGTACGGTAGAAAAATGCATGGAAATGTCGCTAAATAAAGGAAAACGCTTATTTGGGCAAAAATGACACGAAAAATGAATACAACTTTCTACAGAAGTATATTCGACGCTTGGCTTGGGAAGTTTTGCCTCATGGATCTGTACGAACGAATCTTTAGAATCAGAAAGTTTCGCTGCGGGATCTACACATTGTTGCGAAACGTGAATGAAAGCCAAGCTATATGTCTCTAGTGACTTGGGACAATGCCGACATTTATAGGGTAAGAACGGCAAATGTTGGAAACGATGTTTATGTAATTCTATTGGATTTTTAGGAATTTTTTCAAAACATTCCAGACACTGCAACATTTCGGCTTCATCTGCAATAATATTCATGTTAAGACCTTCTAGAGAATTAATGTGATGAATTTCGCGTATATGTAAACGCCATTGCTCAAATTTGTTAAATTTTTCATTGCAAAATGGGCAAACATGCCAGATATACGCTTCAAATTCCTCAAAGCTGAGTAATTTTTTAATAGAGGCTTTGTTTTCTTCTACATTTTCCTCTTTAATAGTCTTATTCATTTCTTCATTAGATTCTTGCTTAATTAGCGGTTTCTTGGTTTGAAAAGCATATTTCATGGCATTGCACATATGTAAAGAAGGCCAATCTTGAAATCGGTAAGTTCCGCGACAGTAACGACAAGTCCAAAGGCAAGTTGCCTCATGACACAAATAATGACTGACCAGTTTCTTTATGTCATTGGTTTGAGTAAAAATCCGTAAACATTCAATGCACTGCAAATGATGACCATTATCAAACTTTCGAAATTTAAGCCTTTTCCAATTGTTCAGCTTGTGGTGATTTATTAAATGTTCGTAGTAATTTTTTCGACTGCTTCCATGGTTTTTGCTTGCGTCTTCTTTGTCGCACAAATGACAGCTGTACTGAAATTTAGCCCAAAAATCTCGTAGATGAGAGGAAAAGAAATGAAATTCCAAAGAGCCGCTATTTTTAAATCCTTTGCCACATTTCGGGCATTCATTCATGGCCTTGTCACAGTTGGCAACTAGCTTAAGAGGGGTCACAGGTTTGATGTCTTTTGTGGTCAAAGAATGTACCGCTTGATGTTTCTTCAAATCGAACACCGAAGTTTCCACCAAATCGCAAGATGAACACATAAAAAGTTTTGGTACATCTTTGGAGTGATGGAAAAAATAATGAATTAAATGATTTGTTTGGCAACTAATCTTTATCTTGCAAACGCGACAAATGGCATTTTGCCCATCTTGAAAGCGATAATTGGACAGAATTTCCATGTGCATATCGTGGTGTATATCCCTAATGTGTTTTATCCATGTATATGTACTATATGAAAAAGTTTCACTGCAGATGTTACACTTGATTTTCATACATTTCTGGGCCAACAGCTCTTTGGCGACAGCAACTATATCAGAATCATTGTTTATGGGTCCAGGAATTTTTGTTTGAACAAGGCTTCTTCTATTTCTTCTGTTCAGCAGCGGAACTTCTTCATCCAAAAATTCCTTGGCATCACTTTCTAGCTTAGCTTTTACGATTGTATCCTCACACTTGGGCATTGATTCGCTGGGCAATGTTTCTTCCTTTTCCAATAGCGAAGAAGTTTCCATTTTATTGTCTTCATTGCTTTCAAGGCAAAAACTTATTTCTTGAATCGGTTCATTGATAATATCAATCTCACTAGTCTCAATGTCGGGATGAATGTCCAGCATTGGAGTATTATTAATATATACTCTTTCACAATTATCGTCATCATCACCATCAACGTCGTCGTCGCTTATTTCTATAATATCGTCGTGGGAACGATTGAGCACAGTGGCCGTATGTTTAGGACCCGATGAGAAATCATCATCTTCGTTCAGATCCAAAGTATTTATAAAACACCACTGAATATTTCCACTGTCCGTGTCCTCTATAATTAATTCATCTTCTTGTTTTATTTCAGCGTTAGGAGCATCGGGAATGTTGTGCAGCATATGCTGGTCGGAAGCCGCGCCATTTGTTGTCACATAAACCATAGCTTATTTTTATTGATATTCAATGTTTAATTTAATGCTTATTATTATTTGTTTGAACTATTTTACAATTTTTGACAAAACATTAGCAGTAATCTTAAATTTTATTGTATTTAAGCCACTGCTTTGCTTTTTTTCTTCCACAAACTGTACTGTGTATTGTTATCGATAACAGTGCATAAATTGTTTACATATCGAAAACGATAGTTATTGAAAGACGTACGGGAAACGTAACGTAGTATTTTTTAACGAAATCCAAAAATGGGCATTTAGTATGGCAAGCTAATATGTGGTCTCTTCTAGAACTGCAATAATGTAAAAGTGTTTACTATGATAATCAGAACAGCCCTATGCATGGTAAAATTAAAAAGGAAAAGTCATTTCATATAAGCATAAGCTGATTTTTTGTTGTTGTAACAGTAATACATGAAGATGTTTGTTGCTGCTAATTTGGTTTGAGCTCCAGGTTTGTAAATTCGGCTACCTTAATGGGCTACATCCAGAAATCTTCTGGAGTGAGCTGGGTAGGTTTAGCGGTACAATTAAAGAGGTTCTGGAACAGAGCAAATAAATACATAAAAAAGCTCTGTTCCAGTAGCTGCAAGAATCTAATATTTTTGTATTTTTTTTTTTTCAATATCATAAAGGGAAACTCGGTTATTGTAGTAAAAATTTTAAAATTCTTGAGTTCTGGAACACACCAAAAAATGGCAGATGTCGAGAACACTGAGAAAAAAATTGTAATCACCTGGTAGCTGTACTTTACCTTTTTAATGTACCATAAGAAAAACGCCATGCGATATAAGCGTCTGGTTCATTTTAAACTACACACATCCCAATATTTCTTCTAACACAAGATCTGTTATGAAGATGATGGACATTAGCCTACCCCTTCTATAACTTTATAATACTTTTAAACTTGTTATACCATCAGTCATATGACTACAAAGGGTATATTATCATGACATAATTACAGAAGGTAGAGCAAAGCTACCCCCTAAATACAACTTTTTTCTTTGGGTGCCCTATTCTGTCAAAACATATACCCAGTTTGTATATGTGTGTGCATTGTTTTGAATAAAAAGATAAATAATTTGAAATTATTTCAAATTTAGGGACAATATAAATGCATATTTTTTACATTATCACGTATAAGAATGTATAATTGTGGGATAAAACAATCTTGTCCTACTATCTTGGATTCAATTTTGTTTGGAAATACCAAAATTCCATTCAAGTTTTGTGGTTTTCAGCAACATAATAGTGTTGTGAAAAAAATATTGATAAACAAAACCATTTGTTGCATGTTTAAAAAGTATATTTGACATAATAAGACTCCAGTACAGAGTTGCATTTTTCTACTTTCCTTGTGGTTGACCAATCTTTCTTATTGAGCCATGGTATGTATATATCATTTGATACGGCCAAAACTCATTGAAGTAACGGTTACAGGCACTAGGTCTCTTTGGGTCAAATCAGGACATTGGGAGTCGATCTAGCGATTTCCGTCCGTCCGTCTGTCTGCCTGCTAGCTGGTGCGCACGATAACTCTCGAAGGGAGTATTCGATTTAGTCCAAACTTGATACATCGTAATATTATTTTCAAATTTAGATCGAGTTCGAAGTTGGGCAATATCGACCCACACCTCCTCCATAAAAGGTCATATTTTTGAATAAAAAATTTACTGCACAGAGAGAGAAAAGATTATCGGGTTTTCCTCCAACTTTGCAAATTCTAATATTTGCATTAGTGCTAAGTCAGGTGTAAAATTAGACAATATTGGTCCACTCCATCAAGTACCTCCCCACAAAGGGTCAAAATTTTGAATAATTATAACTTTTATAAAATGTGATGTAACCCAAGGTCTGGTGTGAAGATGGTCCACTCCTTCTGGTACCTCCATCACAAAGGGTAAAAATTTTGAATACCCATAAAACGTGAAAGTATCATTCGATTCCATTCAGACTTGATACATCTCAATATTTCCATTAACACTAGATCTGTTATAAAGATGGTAGAGATCGGACAATTTCATTTAGTACCTCCTCCACATAGGGTTCAACATTGCACATTTTAGATTTGTTCGAATGGGTCACCTTTGGCACGAATTATGGCCTTCAAAGGGCCAATGAAACCGTCACACGCTGCCCGAATGTTGCTCTGTGGTATTTTGGCCCATTCCCGGCGAAGCGCTTGCTTGAGGTGATCGACACTTTGGTATTTTTTTAGTGTCAACCTTGCTTTCCAAAATACTCCAGACAAAATAGTCCAACGGATTGGTATCCGGATATTTTGGTGGCCATTGCGCGCTGGAAATGATGCGAGGAACCTTATTTTGTAACCATTCTTGGGTGGCGCGTGCTGAGTCCTGTTGGAATGTCCAAGGTGTGCGGCCAAAATTTTTGCGTGCCCAAGGCTTTAATACACCCTCCAGAATATTTTCGCGATAATATTCGGTATTTATTCTGATGCCACGGTCGATTAATATGAGCGGAGAGCGACCATCGGCTGTTATGGCGGCCCACGTCATCACCATGGTCGGCGCTTGAGTTCTGGTGGCCAACCGAAGGTGCACATTTTCAGCTGACCTCTTTGGCAAGTAAACACGATCATTTTGTTTGTTTACAAACTGCTGGACAATGAATGTTCTCATCTGAGAAAACCAAATTCGGCAGTTCACCACTTTCGGCCAAGCGAAGCAACTCTTTAGCTCTTTTGAGTGTATTTTCTTTCTGTTGCGGTGTAGATTCTTGCACTTTTTGGAATTTCAATGGCTTTACCTCGAGCTCATTTTTTCAATATTCGCGATATTTTCAGCTCACAAGCCATCTTTCGGCCACTGTGACGCTGGTTTCGCTGCGCTATCAGTATCACGGTAACGAGCGATGGTACAAGACACAAAAGATTTATTCACATTTAAATCCTGGAGTGTTCTAACGATAGCCACTTGTGGTTTTCCAGCCAAATATAAAGAAATCACGCTTGAATTCCATCGAATAACGAATAACCTTTTTTCTGGAAAATGCTCACCAAAATGCTTTTGGACGCTTGTAAACAGTATAATGAGCTGTCACTGAAATAATTTTAGCAGCTGTCGTACGAGTGGCTTAGAAATGACAGCAGTCTGAAGTTGGTTGCTCCATAGAGGGTCAACAATTTGAATAATCATAACACAAGTCAAAATATATTTAAATAATCAAACATTGGGTGAGGGTATACATCTATTGCCTAAACTTACCTACTTTTTAACCTGTTTTTTAATTACATTTCCAAAATAAGCTGCAACATCCATTGCTTCTGATTTGAATTTAACGGTCAACCCAGCGCTTTGGGAAATATTCAACTAACTACACAGCACATGTTATCGCCCGTATGTACGGACATCCATGACAACCCCTAAGGTTTTGAGAGACCAGCATATTCCTTCTTAAGGGTTGTTTGTATGTAAACAATTTACGTAGTTTGTAGCGTTCCCAAAACAAAAAGCAAAAATTGTAATAAAACTATTATTTTGTACCAATTTTTCAATATATAAATAATAAAATACAAAATCCATAGCAAAGTAGTACTTTGAATGATGTTATTATGAGGAATACCCGGAGTACAAAAGGTAAATAAATGATCAAAAACTTAAAATGTTGTTTGCGTATGTACATATGTAAGTTTGTAGCTTTAGACAAACATAATTAAAAGCAGAAACTGGATAACAAATCATTCATGCATATCAAAATGTGGGCACAAGTTGAAGAACTGGTTTCGAAATGTTTCACTCATGTGGCACAATTCCATGATATGCGTTTAATATACATTCAGCGAATTAACGAGATGGAAGTGTGTTGTGTTCAGGATACTAATTCCTTGTAGTTTTTTGATTTAAACAACGACCAAGTGCAATGCATTGTAAAGAATAGAATGTTACTTAAAATGTCTGGCATAACTCAATTAGCTGCACATTTCTCCAAAAGAACTTGGTTTGCCGACAACATATTATGCCATTGGGCAATAAAAGGATATACTTCAAACCTTGGCCCATCAAAGGTAATTTAAAAAAAAGTATCACACATAAAACTACGAATTATTGTGAACACCATTGGAATGTTAGAATAGATATGAATTTCAATTTCTATACACTCCATTTGCAACACCTCGAGGAATTTGAAGGATACCCCAAAATTATAAGTATCAGCATAAATTCGAATTTATTTAATAATAGGATAATATGTACAAAATTTTACTGAACGCTATTCATTTACCCAAAAGTCCAGTAAGTGAAAGCGAAATGAGAGAGACATTTTCACATTTGAGCTACTGAGAGTTTGCAAATTTTTACTGGGAAAATTTCTCCAGTAAGAATTGTGCCGTGGCGGCAGCTGTTCAACAACTTGTTGTTTTGTAAACAAACAAATTTAGCCAATATTTTCTTTGCGGAAGAAAGGTTATTTAAGGCATTAACAACAATGGATAAGGAAAAGCGAAAGAAAATATGAACAATTAGAAGAACATTAAGTTCGGCCGGGCCAAACTTTTAATACCCTCCACCTTCGGATAAAGGAAACATTAAAAGAATTGTTGCAAAAACCATTAAAATGCCGAATATCGGGATGGACCTACACATGCAAGGTTTCGCCAACGGAGCTAGAACCCATTATGACCTACAAATACCATTTTTCAGACAAATGACCTACAAATACCATTTTTCAGAAAAAATGTGCCAAAAATCATCAAATTGCAGAATATCGGGAGGTACCGTTATATGGCGGCAATACAAAAACGTGGACCTATAATTACAATGACTCGCCATGCGAACTGGTACCCATTATGATCTACAACTACCAAATTTTCAGAGAAATTCGTGAAAAAAATGTGTCAAAAATCATCAAAAAACCGAATATTGGGAGGTACCGTTATATGGGGACTATACCAAAACGTGGACCTATGCATACAACGTTTCGCCACACGAACTAGTACCCATTATGACCAACAAATACCAATTTTTAGACAAATCAGTGAAAAATGTGGCAAAAACCATCAAAATACCGAATATCGAGAGGTACCGTTCGTTGTGTGGGGGCTATACCAAATCATGGACCCATACATGCAATGTTTCGCCACTGGAGCTGGAACCCATTATGACCAACAAATTTCAATTTTTAGACAAATTCGTGAAAAAATGTGGCAAAAATAATCAAAATACCGAATATCGGGAGGTTTCTTTATATGGGGGCTATACCAAAACGTGGACCTATACATGTGATGTTTTGCCACACGTACAGGGACCCGTTATGACCTAAAAATACCAATTTTCAGACAAATCCGTGAAAAAATGTGGCATAAATCATCAAAATACCGAATATCGGGAAGTACCGTTATATGAGGACTATACCAGAACGTGGACCGATATATCATTTTCAATACCAACCATCCTAGACACAATGGCAATTGCTCTGCTAAATTTTGGCGCTATACGTCAAATAATGTGGGCTGTATCGTGATTTCAACAGACAGACAGAAAGAAATCTACTTAGAATTTTATGCTGATTATGAATATATATACTTTATGGGGTCTACGACGAATATTTAAGGGTGTTACAAACGGAATGACAAAGTTAATATACCCTCCTTTCCAAGGTGGAGGGTATAAAAATAAACCACTTATGAGCGGATGATGAACTATTTTGTTTATTTAGGTCAAAATTTAGCAGAACAATTTGTATTGTATCTTGTATTTAAAATGAGATATATCGGTCCACGTTTTGGTCCCCATATAACGGTACATCCCGATATTCGGTATTTTGATGATTTTTGCCACAGATTTGTCTGAAAATTGGTATTTGTAGGTCATACTGTGTCCTAGTACGTGTGGCGAAACATTGTATGTATAGGTCCACTCTTTGGTATAGCTCCCATATAACGGTACCTCCCAATATTCGGAATTTTGATGGTTTTTGCCACATTTTTCCACGGATCTGTCTAAAAATTGGTATTTGTTGGTCATAATGTGTTCTAGCTCCGGTGGTGAAACATTGTATGTATAGGTCCACGCTTGGTTATAGTCTCCATATAACGGTACTTCGCTATATTCGGTATTATGATGATTCACCGGAATTGTATCACATTGCGTGTTTGACATTCCTACTGGGTACTAGAACCAATAACGGAAAATTGCATATGCAGGTCCAGGTCTTCGTATAGCCCCCATATAATGGTACCACCCTCTATTCGGAATTTTGATTATTTTAGCGACATTATTTACCGGAATTGTATCAAATTTCGTATTTGAAGTTCCTAAGAGTACTACTGTCTGTGATAGAAAATTGCATATGTCCAGGTTTTCGTATAGCCTTGATCTTGGGGAAATTATTTACTGGATTTTTTTTCAAATTTCGTATTTGAATATCGTAATGGTCTATGACAAACATTGAATACACAGGTACAGGTACTTTTATAGTTCCATTTTTACGGTAGCTCCTGATATTCGGTATATTTATGATTTTGCAGTATTTTTCAACCGATTTTTGTCAAAAGTCAAAACTTCCTTCCAGATAGTGTAGGGTATTCAATGTTCGGTCTGGAAGAAACTTACAGATTTCACATGTTTAATTTAACTTATTTATAGTTATTAAAATTAAAAAAAAAATGTAATATGCTTAGTATAATTTACTAATCTTAACTGCTTTAATTTTCTAGCTACCCATAAACATCCTAAGATTAAGGAGAAACCCAAACGAAGAATCACCATAACTCAAAATAAAAATAGCGAGTCGGACAATAGGTAAGAATGAATTTACAAGCACATTGACACTTATTTACCTATGTATTATTTTTCTTGCAGTGAAAACTCTTTAAAACTATCAGATAATAATAGTAGCTCAGATACGGATCATGGCAAAAGTAGGGTGTCTGACAATTGGTAAGTCCGATAGTGCAAAAGCTACACAAGTTCATAGAGATTCGAAACTATTTGTTGTAATTTCAAAAATAATCTCCCATATGATCTCTAATTATACCCTACAACACTATGTGTTGGGGGTATTATAAGTTTGATTGGGCCAAAAATTATGTAACACCACGAAATATTGGTTTCCCACATAGGAAAGTATATATGGATCATCCTAGCTCGCCGAGCTGAGTCGATCTAGCTATGTATGTCCGTCCGTCCGTCTGTCCGTCTGTCTATGTTAATTTGTAATCACTCTACCGGTCGCAATTATGGCCCGATCTTCACGAAATTTGGAATGGAGGTCGGGGTTGGGCCAGAATAGAACCCTATTTCTTTTTGAGATGATCGCCAAATGTTTAGGGGTTAAAATAGACCAAATACTGAAAAAATGTCGGATTTTGCAGTAGCTATACAGGTCGCAATTATAGACCAATCGACGCGGAATTTCGCATGTAGCTAGAGTTTAGGACGGGGAAGAAGCCTACCAATTTGGGTGGTCATCAGATAATAATTAGCGGGTAAAATAGACCATATCTTTTTTGTTGAAAAAATTCAAAATTTTTCATTAAACCGCGAATATTTTAAATCCCGGCGAAATCACAAAGCCATGACAAGGTTACTTCTGACCTTTACATTGATGTTAACATCCAACAAATCGGATATGTAGCAAAATATGTGCGATATATATGTTTATCAAAGAAGATATGCTTGAAAGATCTCTTATATGTCGAGAACGGCTGAACTGATTTCGACAGTTCTCATTAATTCAGAATGGCCTCTAGGCAGGAAAGAAAAAACGTCTAAAAAAATCGCATAAAAATATCTCTCTAAAGATGAAAATATTTATTTTGTAAAATTTTCTCATATTTTTTCAATTTTGTCATATTTTTGGCATATTTTCTATTTGAAATAAACATTTGGTAATATTTCTACAGCTAACAAAACTAAGTAGTTATGACATCAGAATATCATATACAGATCGCATTTATGGCCCGATCCTTACGAAATTTTGCATGGGGATAAGATAAGGGTCAGAATAGAAGCCTACTCTTTTTGGAGATGATCGCCATATATTTAGGGGTTGAAATGGACCAAAAAACTGCAAAATTGTCGGCAGGTCGTAATTATCGCCCGATCATCACGCACATTTGAAAGGGGGTTACCGGACATTGCAAAAGCCAAGCAGTTTTGGATGGCCATCCAAAAATTTTCAATGTGTGAAATAGTTTGCCAACTTTTGTAGACAAAATACGAAAATGTCCATTCCAGAGACTTTTTGGAGAATTCACAAATACAGGAAAGACGCACTTCTGACTATTTCGTTGAAGAATATAGTCAAATGTCTGTATCTCATATAGATGCGTTTCAGTCAAAAACCATTAATAAATGTTAATCTTTTGCCACTTCTAAGAAATTATAGGTCTTTGGGAAATATTGGTTCCAGATCTAGGAAGACCATTTAAGTGCAACATCTACCAATAAATTGGAAATGAGCAAATTAGTTTAAGTTGCTATTATTCGAAAATTAGAGAACGAAACCTGATGGTTTTCTTTTATAATTTGTCACAATATCTTGTGGAATTCTTTCGAGTATCTCGCCTATATAAACTATATCGTTTATTATAGTGTTGTAGGGTATTCAACGGTCGGCCCCGCTTGACTGTAGCCTTTGCTTACTTGTTTTTCGTATACATCTGATGGATCTTTTTGCTAAGCTATTACTTTTCTATTTTCTATAAGAGTAAATGAAATAAATAAATTTAATTATCCTCCCTGTTTTCTATCCGAATTTACTTTCAGTCTTCCAATCAAAAAGCATTTTTCCATAGAACTTCAGAATTTGAATTTCGGGAAAGGATCACCCATTGTCTCCTTCAGAAGAACACTCCAGCCTCAAAAAACAAGAAAAGAATAAGAACATTATTTTGGTATTCCACAAAAAATAACGTACAAAAGGATATCTTCCGTTCCTCTATATATTATGGCCAACTGCTTCCCTATTAAAGAAGACATTTTGCTTTTCTACAAAAGATAGCTTCTGCTTTTTCTACTAAAAAGTTATAAGGTCCTGTCCTTTGTCATTTTCTCAATAAAAGAAAACCCTTTCTTCTACAGGCGATGACTTCCATTTTTCCGATACTCTTCTACATGACTAAAAAAACTTGACCTATTACTCTCTTTTCCCAAAAAGATTCTTCTTCACAGTATGACTTTTCGGCGCGTTTAATCAGTAAGTAAAAGTCAAAAGTCGGGCGGGGCCGACTATATGATACCCTACACAACAAAAGAATTTATTTCAAGTAAATCATACCACTTATCAACATTTGACTTTAGAACAGTTACAGTTTGGTTCCAGAGGGAACTAACATAGGGGAGGCATATCGAATTCTGAATCGATTTTCACTACATTTAACGGAGAAATTTTAATCTTTTATACCAAATAACATTGCTAGGGTGCATGATATCACTTCGGGAAGGATTATATTAAAAAAATATGTATATCGAGGCCAAGTTTCAAAAAAGGGAAACGTACTTCCAGAATTCACTCCATTTGGGCTGATATTAGTCATTATTTGCACAATGAACCTGAAATCGGATTAAGGATACATATGGGAGCTATATCCAAATCTTAACCGATTTTGATAAAATTTGCCAAAGGTATTTCCGAGTTCTATAAGATATCTGGCACCAAATATCATTGTTGGCAAATGCATATTACGACTGTGAGAGACTTTAACACCAAATCGGATGAAACATATATATGGGAGCTATAGCTGATTTTCTCTAAATTTAATGTACTTACTTCTAGACTGATTTCGGTCAGGTATGCCAAAATTCACGTCATTTGGACTTATATTGGATATTTGGAGCACAATTTAACCGAAATCGGTTGAAATATGGAAGCTATATCCAAATATGATCCGATTATCACCAATTTCAATAGAATTCGTCCTTGGGTCAAACAAATATTCTTTTAAAAATTTCATCTCAATCGGATATAAATGTGACCTGCATTTTGTTCACAAGAAAACATGGACAGACGGACTGACATGAATAAATTGAATCAGAAAGTGATTCTATAAAGATCCTCAAAAGTAACTATGGGTCTATTTCCCTTCCTTCTCCATGTTATAAGCAAATGCACAAAGACTCTGCTGTTGTAGAGCATCATCAACTAACCTGCTTTCCTATGGAAGAGCAGCTTCAGCTCTTTAATGAGTGGACAGCTTTAGCTTGTCTATGGACGATTAGCTTTAACTACTTCCGCTCTTTTATGGAAGAGTAGCTTTAGCTCTCCTATGGAAGAGCACCACTTTTAGGAGTATCTTTCCTTGAACTCCTAAAAGCGGTGCTCTTTTAGTTTTTCTGTAGAAAAAGAGTGACTTCTATGTAAGACGATTTATATTTTGGATAAAAAAAAACTTAGATTAGAAGAATACAACTACTGTTCCTATTAAAAAAATAATTTACACTTCTTCAGAATGATGCATCCCTGATCCTAATTGTTTCCCTTAAAATCTCTGAAAATTAAATGCCATGTTTGTAACGATATTTTCCAAACGAAACCTTGCAAATCTATATTATTAATTTATATAATATTCTATTTCAGCACAAGTCCATCCAAACTTTCAGACTCCAGTGGATCCACGAAAATTACCCGACGTTCAAATCGTACTTTGGTAACAAATCAGACTAATAATGAGGAACAAGAAAGATTACAGTCTTCCCAAAAGTCATTAAATGAACAGGATACCCTGGACAAACAGAAATCTTCAAAACAAAATGGAAATCACCTTGAAGAACTCCCAACTGGCAAAAGTAACTCCTCTATACAGGGAACAACTTCAAGCAACAAAGAGATACACACGGTTTCGAATGGAAGTATAGAACAAAATTCAACAGAGAAAGCTATTGCTAACGATTCCTCTATCCATGGAGAAGATAGTACCACTGATTTATCCATCCCAGAAAAAAATAGTACTGGCGATTCTACAATTCCACTATTGGAGAAAAATACTAAAGCTGAATGTGTCCCAAGAGAAGTTAGTACTAACGATTCTACTATCCCACTATTGAAGAAAAATACTGAACCTGAGTGTGTCCCAGCAGAAGTTAGTACTAAAGATTCTATAATTTCACCATTGGAGAAAAACACTGAATGCGATGCAAAGAAATACTCCTTTGGGAGTTTGACTGTAAATGGGAGTCAGTCAGAAGAATTTCATCAAAACATAGAAACCTTATTAAAATCAGACAAAAATAATTCTCCAAATACTCAAATATGCTCAAATTCAAAAATTCATTCCAAAAATGAAATCGTATTAACACCAGATAAAAATAACACCCCAAATTCACAGGAATGCTTGAATACAGATATAAATCTAGCGTCCGCCGAAGAACCTCATAAAAATACAAACACATTGCCGACACTGGACACAAATAGCAATCCAGCAGTGAAGAGAGTCTATCCAGTTAGTTTAATAAACAATGGAATTCCAGAACAAAATCTACCTCCTGGCAAAAACGCCTACCTAATGCTGAAGAAAAATAATGGTCCAGATATAAAGACGACATCAAATATTCATATAAATGGAACAAGTACAGAGGAAATTATACCAGATAAAACTAATTTTTCATTTTTGTTGAACAATCATGATTCTGAGATACAGAAAAGCTCAAATGGTGTTGTTGTAATTAACAACGTTGCAAAAGATGTAACAAATCCAAATACGGTGCACTTGTTAAATGGTCATGACAATAGCTATTTTACAACTAAGGAAAATCCAGAAATTCTTAAATCGCAAAATGGATATAATATAGCCTCCAATGGAGATAGTGTTTCGTTGGAAGATGAATCATTAGTTGCTGTTTTAAAAGAATTAAATCTTTGTGAGGAATTATACAATTTTATGAAATGTAAGTGCAATTGAAATTATTCCCAACACAGTCATAATAGTTCGTAAGGAATTCCCATGGTACAATTTATTTAAGGTAACCTCATTTTAAGTAATACTATCCAGCTCTGCATTTTACGTAATTTATATTGACAAGTTTGTCTTCATTGAGAACAGTTTTCGATCTTTGATTTGTGAATTTGAATATGTTGTCAAAGATATAATTTTAAAAAGAAAGAAAGTAAGGAAAGTTCAAAAGTCGGGTGATAATATGATACCTCACACCACTACGCACACTTAGTAGAGCTCCCGTAACAAAGTAATTTATTTGAAGAAGAGTCGTCACAATTTGGGAACTATATTCAACTCTGAATCGATTTTCAACAAATTTGACGCGGGCTTTTGTACCTCTAGTACCATATAACATTGCTGTAAAGTGCATGATATGACTTCGATAAGAATTATTATATGGGAGGCATACTGAATCCAATGCTGAAACGATTTTCACTAAATTTGACGGATACATTTATGTCGTTTATACCAAACTAGCTGAACCCGGTGCGCTTCGCTAACCCTTTTGATTTTATATGCATTCAAAATTTTATTTACGAATATATGTTGGATAAAGAAAAACAAATTTAAAAATTAAAAAAAAAAAAATATTGCACTAATTTAATGCGTTAATAAACAAAATCATTACAAAAGCAGTAACATGACATGCATACACGAAGGGTTTGTCCTTTGGATTTATTTATTTCATAGCAAATACCAAGCGTGCAGGAAACTGCAATTTTTTTAAGTAGAGTGGTTTTTCTATTGCAATTAGTGAATTCGATTTTTGCTGGTGCCAGATTTTGTCTCTCTCGCTTTGGGTGCATCAAATATGTGAAATCGGCTGAGTATATATATATGGGAGCTATAATCACATCTGAGCGTATTTGAATATAATTTGTCAAATTTATTTTTGTACCAAATTTAGCCACTCATGCCGAATTTCGTTGGAATCGGAAATACGTATCGTGTTTTGTGCATCAAATATGTGAAATCGGCGGAAAATATATATGGGAGCTATATCCAAATCTGAACCGATTTTAATATAATTTGTATATAAATTTGTATAATTTATTTTCTAATCAAAATCCCGTTACATATTCCAAATTTCTTTGGAATCGAACATACATATCGTGTATGGTGCATAAAATACATGAAATCGGTCGAAAATATATATGAGAGCTATATCCAAATCTGAACCGATTTTAATATAATTTGACAAATGTATATTTGTTTTAATTTCCGCTACACATTCCAAATTTCATTGAAATTAGAGATACATAGCGTATTTGGTGCATCAAATACATGAAATCGGTCGAAAATATATATGGGAGCTATATCCAAATCTGAACCGATTTCAATTTAATTTGACAAATTCATTTTGGCTCCAAATTCCGTTACTTATTTTAAATTTCATTACAATTGGAAATACATGTCGTGTTTGGTCCACCAAATACATGAAATCGGCCGAAAATGTATATGGGAGCTATATCCAAATCTGAACCGATTTCAATATAATTTGGGAAAAATCTATCACACGTTTCAAATTTCATTGAAATTGGGGATACATAGAGTGTTTGGTGCATCAAATGCTTGAAATCGGCCGAAAATATATATCCAAATCTGAACCGATTTCAATATAATTTGACAAATTTATTTTCGGATTAAATCCCGTAACACATCCCAAATTTCATTGGAATCGAACATTCATATTGTGTTTGAGGCATCAAATGAACGAAATCGGTCGAAAATATATATGGGAGCTATATCCAAATCTGAACCGATTACAATATAATTTGGCAAACTTGTTTTTGTTCCAAATTCCGTTACGTATTCCAAATCTTCAACCAATCAATAGATATGTACATATAAAATCTAAATTTGGGAGGTACCTCCGATTCTGATGCTATATCTCCAGTTCCAAGTGGAAATTCAAAAATGTATATAGCCTATGTTACTTTCAGGCGATGTTGCAGTATATATGGAAATTTTCAGGAAAATCTATTCAGCGGTTTTCGAGTCCATAAATTACAAACAAACAAACAAACATACAAACATTTTCCTCTTTTATAGATATAGAAGAAGATAGCATTGCCATAGAGTGCATGATATCACTTCGAGAAGGATTATATTAAAAGAATATATATCGGAGCCAAGTTTCACAAAATGGAAACGTACGTCCCGAAATTCGCTCCATATGGGCTGACATTAGCCATTATTTGCACAATAAACCTGAAATTGGATTAAGCCGTTCTCGATAAAATTTGGCAGAGGCACAAAGAACATTGTTGCCGAATGCTATTACGAATGTGAGGGACTTAAACATCAAATCGGATGAAACATATATACGGGAGCTATAGCTATATCTGAACCGATTTTCTGAACCAAATTTGATGTACTTTCTTCTAGACTGGTTTGAACTTATATTTGCCATTTGATGTACAATTAATCTGATATTGGATAAAGATATATATGAAAGCTATATCCAAATCTGATCCGATCTTGATAAAATCTGGCAGAGGTATTTCCAAGCTCTATAAGATATCTGGTACCAAATATCGTTCTTGTGGAATGCATATTACGCATGTGGCGGACTTAAAATCCCAAATCGGATGCTTACTTCTACTCTTGTCGAATGTTCCAAATTTCAGGTCATTTGAACTAAAATTGGTCATTTGGTGCACAATTAACCTCAAATTGGTTGAAGATATATGGAGGCTATATCTAATTTTGAACCGATTCACACCATATTGTTTGGAAAATTTCATCTCAATCGGATAATAAATGCGACCTGAATTTTGTTCACAAAAATATATAGACAGACAAACGGATTCGGATGACTCAGAAAGTGATTCTATGAAGATCCTCAAAAATAACTATGGGTCTATCTCGCTTCTTTCTCCATATTACAAAGAAATGCGCAAGACTATGTGGTGTAGGGTATAAAAATGAAAACATAAGATTTCATGAGGTTACCTCCACAGCTCTACCATGGAAAAATTAGTTAAAAATTAAATCATTGAATCTTTTTAACAAATGCTGCCATTTACTTATTTCTTTTACTTTTAGCAAAAAATATTACCGCAGATGCCTTAAAATGTATGAAAATCAGACACATCGATGAACTATTTCAGGGAATGAACCTAAATTTGAAAATCATTTTCGAACATCGCCTATTCGAATGGCAAGAAAGACTTAAGAAACAAACCTATGTCGCAGAAGAAGGAGAGACATCATTGAAGATCTCACAAAAAGTTTGTTATGGAGAAAATTGTCAGTTACTAGCAGTGGAGGTAATATACTAATGACTATTATTGATCTGTTCCAGAACTGCAAGAATGTAAAAGATTTTACTACGATAACCGATTTTCCTTTTAAAGAACGAATATACAAGAATATAAAAGTTTTCACTGCAATAACCGATTTATCCTTTATGATATAAAAAAAATGCAAAACTAGTAGATTCTTGCAGGTTCTGGAACAGAGCAATTATGGACTTTTATTGTAATGGTCAGACGACTTATCGACTTTATAATGGTGGGCATGAAAAATCCACGATTGTAAATCTATTCAAAAATAATTTGAAAAACCATAGTAGTCCCAAGGGAATTATTAAAAAAATTAAATTCAAGCTTTTAATTTTTTAAAAAAGCTATATAAAAAATAAATTTAAAAATCCAATATTCCATAAAATAAAAATAATTTGAAATGTTAGGAAACCCTTTTTTCAAAGAAATCGACCTCCTTCAACTTAAGGACATTTTCTACGTGCTGTTAGTTGTAGCGTAGTTCTCGAATAGCCTTTTACTTTTTATTCAGTCTTTAATCGTAAAAAGTGTATAGTTATTCAAAAAACTTTATGAAAAGCCATGGTAGAATAATACAGGTAACAGCAAGTGTTGTTGTACAACAATCATAACAACGACCACATACAAATTTGTTTTTGTACGTAATACAAGTGTCAGAGTTATATGTCCAAAAATGTAAACAAAATAATTAATTTTCTATAAATTATTTTTAATTGGAAAATATACTTATTTGGAATTTGGATTATTAAATTTAAAAAGCAGAAGAATAGTTCTTAAAATATTTAATTTTAATTCTTTCACATCATTTCCCTGAATGTATAGTTGTTAGCTGTTGGTCCTAATCTCTCAACACTTCAAGCAATCGCTGGAAAACTTCAAGCGATCGCTGGAAACAAGTTGAAACCAAACTAAAGTAGACGACGTGGTCCTGCATATGCAAATTTTGTCATAAGCTATTGCAATATTCAAATGAGAAACTTGAAAAATATCCGTTTATAATGTAGTTAAAATCATCAGAATACTGAATATAGGGAGTTGCCATGGGGGTTATAAAACGTAAGCCTGCATAGACAATTTTTTGGCATAGGCTGTAATACCCATTACGAATTTCAAATACAAAAATTTTAAATAATTCCGGTAGATAATGTCGCTAAAATCATCGAAATACCGAATATCGGGGGTACCGTTATATGCTATACGAAGACTTGGACCTGTACAGACAACTTTCTGTCATAGCCTGTAGTATCCATTACGAACTTCAAATACCAAATTTGAAACAATTCCGGTGAAAAATGTCGCTAAAATCATCGAAATACCGAATATGGGGGGGTACTGTTATATGGGGGCTATACGACGACGTGGACCTGCACAGACAATTTTCTGTCATAGCCTTTAGTATTCATTACGAACTTCTAATACCAAATTTGAAACAATTCCGGTAGATAAATTAGCTAAAATCATCAAAATATCGCATATCGGGAGGTACCGGTATATGGGGGCTATACGAAGACGTGAACCTACATGGTATATTTTCAATACCAAACGTCCTGCAGATATAATAAACATTTGAGTAAATTTTTATCAGCTTCCTTCATTTCGTTCGGAAGCTAGAGTGATTTCCACAGACGGATAGACGGACCTGATCAAGAATATATATACTTTGTGGGGTCTAAAATGTATATTTTGAGGTGTTACAAACGGAAGGACAAACTTAATATACCCTCCATATGGTGGAGGGTATACCTATTGTATATCAAGAAATGGAATTAAATCACAAAACGTCATATCGAGCATGACACTAGTATTACTATGGAATCAAATCAGCTGGGAATTGCTGTTACCTGTAATAATTATAAGCTTTGCTTATAGCTTTGCTTATAATAATCACAAAATTCTACAATAAGCCTAATAGTCCTTAAAAAAATATGTTTACAGCATTCCATATCGGTAAATTTCCTAATTTCATCATTATTCCTAGTTATTGCACATTTAAGTTTTAATTAACATAAACGTTTTAATAAAATTTTCAGAGGAAACCATCGGGAAGCATTTCATCATATCACATAACCGGAGATCAGGACCTAAGTAATTTTTCAAATGTAAATATAATTACTTTTCAATAAAAACAATTCTTGACAATCCTTATTTATAAATTATATCAATCATTTTAACAGCAACTTATGGATGTAATACAGAATGGTCTTAATTCGTTACTAAAGCAATTTCAAGTTCCATCGAATGGAAATCAGGTAAGGAATAATAAAAATTCAATTCAATTTTTAAAATATAATAAAGCTACATTTTTTGTTTTGTTTTTTTTTTTTTTTAGAAAGAAATAATTGAACAAACAACCAGCAAAGAAATAGTAACTGAAACTCCAACTGCGTATGTTATTGCGCCCGAAACAAATCAAACTTCTAATAATGTAAGTGGCAAAAAAAATGTTTTTCTCTGTGTTTTTTTTATACCCTACACCACATAGTGGTAAGGGTATTATGTCTTTGTGCATTTGTTTGTAACATGGAGAAGGAAACGAGATAGACCCATAGTTACTTTTGAGAACCTTCATAGAATCACTTTCTGAGTCGATTTATGCATGTCAGTCCGTCTGTCCGTCCGTCCGTCTGTCCATGTATTCTTGTGAACAAAATGCAGGTCGCTTTTACTATCCGATTGAGATGAAATTTTCCAAACAATATTTTTTTGGCCCAAGGACGAACCCTATTGAAATTGGTGAGAATCGGATCAAATTTAGATATAGCTCCCATATATATCTTCATCCGATTTCGGCTTAAATGTGCACCAAATATCCACTATCAGTCCAAATTACCTGAATTTTGGCACACCCAACCGAGTTCGGCCTAGAAGCAAATATATCAAATTTGGAGAAAATCGGTTCAGATATAGCTATAGCTCCCATCTTTCATCCGATTTGATCTTTAAGTCCCTCACATTCCTACTTTACACTCCACAACCGTGATATTTGGTACCAGGTATTAGATGGAGCACAGAAATAGCTGTTTTAAATTTTATCGAAATCGGTTCAGATTTGGATATAGCTCCCATATATATCTTCATCCGATTTCGGGTTAATTGACCACCAAATGGCCAATATCAGCCCAAATGGCCCGAATTTTGGCACATGTGACCGAGATTAGCCTTAAAGCAAATACAACAAATTTGGAGAAAATCGGTTCAGAAACAGCTATAGCTCCCATATATATGTTTTATCCGATTTGGTGTTTAAGCCTCTCACATTCGTAATATGCACTCCACAAGAATGATATTTGATACCAGATATAAGATACACCCCAGAAATAGCTGTTTGTAATTTTATCGAAATCGGTTCAGATTTGGATATAGCTCCCATATATATATCTTCATCCGATTTCGGGTTAATTGTACACCAAATGGCCGATATAAGTCGAAATGGACTGAATTTTAGTACATCGGACCAAATTCAGCCTAAAAGCAAGTATATCAAATTTAGTGAAAATCGGTTCAGATATAGATATAGCAACCATATATATGTTTCATCCGATTTAGTGTTTTAGTCCCTTACATTCGTAATATTCACTCCACAACCGTGATATTTGGTACCAGGTATTAGATGGAGCACAGGAATAGCTGTTTTAAATTTTATCGAAATCGGTTCAGATTTGGATATAGCTCCCATATATATCTTCATCCGATTTTGGGTGATTGACCACCAAATGGCCGTAATAGCATCAATTTTGGCAAATCCGACCGAAACCAGCTTAGAAGCAAGTACACCAATTTTAGTAAAAATCGGTTCAGATATAGCAATAGCTCCCATATATATCTTTCATCCGATTTGGTCTTTAAGTCCCTCACATTCGTAATATGCACTCCACAGGAATGATATTTGGTACCAGATATCAGATAAAGCCCAAAAATAGTTGATTTTTATTTTATTAAAATCTGTTCCGATTTGGATATGCCTCCCATATATATCTTCATGCGAACTCATGTTAATTGTGTATCAAATGGCCAATATCAGCCCAAATGGCATGAATTTTGGCAAATTCAACCGAAACCAGCCTATAAGCAAGTACACCAATTTTAGTAAAAATCGGTTCAGATATAGCTATAGCTCCCATATATATGTTCATCCGATTTCGTCTTTAAATCTCTCACATTCGTAATATGCACTCCACAGGAATGATAGTTGGTACCAGATATCAGATAAAGCCCAAAAATAGTTGATTTTAATTTTATTTCGATTTAGATATGCCTCCCATGGTCAATATCAGCCCAAATCACCTGAAGTTTCGTACATAAGACCGAATTCAGTCTAGAAGCTAATACGTCAAATTTGGAGAAACCCGGTTCAGAGATAGCTATAGTTCGTAAAATGCACGATAGAATTAGATAGATTTTGATTTTGTACCAAATATCTCATAGAGCTCTGCAATGCCCTGTATAAACCTTTTTACGAGAGCTCTACTAAATATGCATAGTGGTGTAGGGTATCATATAGTCGGCCCCGCCCGACTTTTGAGCTTTCCTTACTGGTTTTATGTTATGTTTCCATTTAAGGTAAAAATTCTGAGCGTGGTCAATTTATCAGAATCTCAACCGCCAGGGACAGTGATTTTGGATCCGGCAGACCTTGAATATACATCTCTAGATGCAATAATACAAGCCGAAACAGCATCTATGCATTCGTCGCAGAATAACCAAAATGAAGTGGCCTCGTGTGATGATGACAATAGTCCAAGAGTATGTATGAAAAGTACGGTAAAGGGAAAGTGTTTAAAAAGTTTGGTTGGTTATATATTTTAGATGAAAATACCCTCAAAGCAGATTATCAGAAGTAATATGTTGGAGCCATCACCGACACACTTTGGCAAAAGGAAATGGGTAAATAGTGAACCCTAATTCACAGAAACCATATTCGTATGTTAAAAATGCATTAACTTGTATCTTTCTTTTTTTCGCGCAGGGCATTGAAACCGAATTGAAAGAAATCCTCCAAATGTACAAACCAGGAAATTTAATTATGAAACACTATAAATATTTCGGAAGCCTGACATCAAAGCTACGTACCGATCTCGTGCACATCATTGTGGATCATTTCATTGCGAACGATGAATTTATGTGTGTCAATCAATGTCGTGATTTGGCAAAACAAATTGTCGAACTATTTCCCACCGAGCATGTGGAAACCTATTTCTATCAACAAAATAAAAGTTTAACACCACGAGGAAAGCTGTGGAATCACCATAATAACGAGAGACGAGCACAGAAAAAGGTTTCCTCTAAATCCTATTCGAAATCGAATCGCCTAAAAATGGAATCAACTTGTGGCCATCTAAAGAAGATCGAGGATGTAAATTTTCTATTAAAGAAATGGAATGCAACATTTGATTATCGGCGTTATCAATTGCATAGCGGATTTTTTAGCAATTGGAAAGCGTATTTTGATGAATATCCTTTTTGTAAACAACAAAACTATGCGACATTTGTGAGTATACATAAAAATGTTTTCTAAAGTATCTATTTTGGAAACAGAATGATAGTTTCTATTGGATTATAGTACATTAACAGTTTACCGGATTTAGCAAAACCAGTGGTATTAAAATGCCAAATTTATTGCATCAAATAAAAAGATCTAATGTAACAAGTAAAACATTATGTTCGGCCGGACCGAACTTTTAATACCCTCCACCTTTGGGTAAAGAAAACATTTGTATATAAAAGTATTTGAATTCAAACGTGTACCACTTTAAACTACAAATACCAGTAAGACTGTTTGGATAATGCTGCTAAACTTTTCAAAAAACCATAAAGTGGGCGAGGCCGTTGTATGGAGTCTATTCAAAAACGGAAACCTCAATAGACAATTTTATAGTTCAAGGATTGTAGATGACAATCTTCTGACAAATCTTCTTAAAAACAAACAAACAAAATTTGAAACATATTCATGTGTAAATGTGACTAGGATTATCAAAATACCGAGTATCGGTGGGTATCGTTACATGTCCGCTATAGGAAAACGTGGATCTAAATTTTCAATGTTTCGCCACCGGAGCTAGAACCCATTATGAACTACAAATACCAATTTTTAGACAAATACGTCATCAAAATACTGCATATACGGAGGTAACATTATGTGGGGGCTATACGAAAACTTTGACCGCCACTATACTATGCTCCGCCACAGGAGCTAGAACGCATTACGAACTACAAATACCAGTTTTTGGACAAACCCGTGGAAATATGTGGCAAAAATCATCAAAACTTGGAGGTACCGTTATACGGGGACTATACCAAAACGTGGACCGATATATCTCATTTTCAATACAAACCTTCCTAGACACAATACAAATTGCACTGCCAAATTTTTAAGCTCGACGTCAAATAATGTGAGGTGTATCGTGATTTCAACAGACATCGTTAAATCGACTTAGTTTATGCTGATTATGAATATACAGGGTGAGATGAAAAAAGCAAATCAACTTTAGACTGCTTTCATTTCTAAGCCACTCGTCCAACAATTGTTAAAATTATTACAGTGACAGCTCACTATATTGTTTACAAACGTACAAAAGCATTTTGGTGAGAATTTTCCGGAAAAAAGCTATTCGTGATGGAATTCTAGCATGATAGTGTGATTTCTTTATATTTGGCTCGAAAACCACAAGTGGCTATCGTTAGACCACTCCAGCATTTAAATGTGAATAAATCTTTTGTGTCTCGTACCATCGCTCGTTACCGTGATACTGGGTGCGTAGCCAGACGTCAAGGAAGTGAACGGAAGAAAACAGCAAGAAGCGACTTGTTCAACTTGTCTTGTTCAACTTGACTTGTCCAGCAGTTCCTAAACAAACAAAATGATCATGTTTACTTACCAAAGAGGTTTGCTGAAAATGTGCACTTCTGTTGGCCACCAGAACTCAAGCGCCGGCTAAAGCAATGGTCGCTCTCCACTCGTATTAATCGACCGTGACATCAGAATAAATGCCGAATATTATGGCGAAAATATTCTAGAGGGTGTATGAAAGCCTTGGGCACTCAAACATTTGGCCCCAGACCTTGGACATTCAATCGCACTCAGCACGGGCCACCCAAGAATGGTTACAAAATGAGGTTCCTCGCTTCATTTAATAAAATTAAAAAAAAAAGTAAAAACTATGGCGTTTGACTGTGTTGCAGTTTTTTTATCTCACTCTGTATTTACTTTATGGGGTCTACGACGAATATTTAGGGAATGACGGAATGACAAAGTTAATATACCCTCCATTTCAAATACTACCAAAATATTGGTTTAAAAAATCCAAGAATTCCTTAATTCCTCGATGCTTCATCAATTGGAATTTGGTTTCCTCCTATATATAATTCGAATTAAGGGATTTCGTCATTGGGCTTCCAGAAAATGTTTCAACAGCGCTTAATGAAGACGTTTTGTATATGCCCACTGGAGAATTCACTGCTCCAAAGGGAGTTTTGGGCGTTATTTAGCCATCTGCATAACAGACAGGGATAAATCCTGAATTATTCAGATCCCATTAAGGCAGATTTGGTACTGTTGTATATGTAAACTCGTATTGACATCACTTTTATTTTATCTGCCAGATGGCAACCCTATTTTCACTAACATTCTCAATTCCGTTATTAGTTCATAGTTTACTCTTGTAACTTGTACATCACAATCTTTCTTAATGAAATAAACTGAATTAAATTAAAACTCCAGACTTTGAGTATACAATAGGTACTATAATCGCTCCCCTATATGATTCGATTTCAAACCTATCATCCTACTAGAAGCATTGTTTCAAAGTGTAATTTTTAATATAGTGTCATCCATACAGTTTTACAACAGACATGCAAATCGTTCAAACGCCGAATATTGGAAGGTACTATTAAATGGGATTTTAAGAAAACGTGGACCTATATATACTATTTTTCCACAAGAGGTAGAACCGATTATGAAATCTATTTACCGTATTTTAAAAAATTTTAAATGTAGTTTAAATTCCTAAAGTTCCGATTATTGGAAGTGTTGCTCTATGGGTCTATAAGAAAACGTAGAGCTATATGAACAAAGCTCCGTCACAGGAACTAGAACCTGTTACAAACTCTAAATACCAAATATTGATCAATTCTGTTTAAAAAATTTGATCTAAATCGTTAAAATACCGAGGTACTGTTATATGAGGGCTATACAAAAACGTTATCCGACGTGGACGAGGAAATTAATTGTACCACTGACAAAATACAAGTGCCAGCAAAATTGTAGTCTTCTATCACAATTTGTTCGAAAGATAGCGTGATTACATTGCTACTGACTAAGACTTGTACGCTGATCAAGAATATATATGATTTATTGGGTAAAACATAAGTATTTCGAGGAGTAAAACACGGAATGAAAAATTTAATATACCCTTTTTAATATGGTTCAGGGTATAAAAATAAAATGTATTTACTCTACCATTGTATAATTATCTGACATTTATTCAAATACTAATGATACAATTGTTCAATGGTTTTTCGAATGAAATATCTCTAATATTTATGATTCAACTCTTTTTTTCAGATCGATGCCGATTTATCAACTCTATATTCCGATCTGATATTTGACGACCAATTGTGGGAAGATTTTCTAAATAACTTTCAAATACACTTGTGGAATCGGTGTAAAAATGAATATGCCAAAGATATATACGATGAGTTGTGTGCCATGAGTGATGTAGCCACTACAACGGACTATTTTCCAATACGATTATTACAATTGTTACATTGTGTATTCGATGGTAATACGAAAGATCAAACCTACATGGATGACCCCTTACGCCAATTCACTGTAGAAGTGTCTAATTTGGTGGATCTCAAAGAAATTGTCATCGAACGCAAACGATTTTATTTGGAAAACAATCAGCAATGTAAGCCTTATATAGCTGTGGTCCGAGAGAATAATACCTATGTCCATTATTCGGTGGTCATCGATTCAACCGGCTTTGGATGTGACAATTACAAGGAATCTCTAATACTATGTTTTAAATTGTATTTATTTTTTGACATATGCTATCCGGAAGAGTCATATTGTGTATGGCTATTTATACAGAAGTATTTTTTCAATAAGCAATCATTGATTATTGAACCAATTGTAGATAGCTTTATTGATGAGATACGAGTTCAAAATAAGGTTGATTTGGAAGTACATGCCGTGGAGGATGGTGAAATGTTATAAGAATAAATTGTTATAATCTCTTATAACTTGCTAAAAATGTAATATTACTTATAATTGTTATCCAAATAAGGGATTATATTTTTACCTAAAATATTAAAATTAGTTCCAGGCTAGAATGTAGATGGAAAATGGTCCAGATCAAAAACTATTTCAGCTTTACAAAGCAATAATAAAAACAAACTAACGTTACGAGCCATTATTATATATTACCTTTAGCCATTGGTCTGATTTTTAGTAGCAAAATCAAAGTATTGGAGGATTTAAAGTTAACATTCAAAATAAAACAAGGTATAACCTTTCCTTTGATACATCATGTTTAACTTTAAAATTATTTTATTCCTAGCTTATCCGTTCTAAAAATCTCACCAATGACATATGGTAACTTATAGCAATGGCCGTAAAAGGAATTCATTCTAATTTGTAGATATGTTTCATACGACATCACCATTCGTTTTTTTATCATTTCCCAATATGTCTCAATTAATTAATCGTCATTAAGTCTCATTTTATATTAATTCATATTCACATTGAATAGTTGATGTTTACATATTTTGTACTTACAATCTTTACATAGATATATAAGAGAATTTGTAAATTGAATAAAAAATATTTATTAAAACTTAAAAACCTAAGTACGTTTTTATGACTATATATATTGGAAGCTATCGTCAAAATATTTATGAGACCACATAGTAAAATTGTTCTGAGTTGAGACATGTATTCCAACAAGGCTACACAACTGTCAACATGTCTTCACAAATTTAGATGTTTTTTTTTTTTCAAATCAAGTAATTCCTTCTGCAAAATTTATGAGAAATTTACTAAATTGTGTGGAGCGCAGTTTATACCATTATAAACTAGCCCTCCGAAGTTTTATCCAAAGCGAATGCTTTGGAAAACCCGTAACCCTCACAGAAACTTTGTGTTAAAAATTAATTTTTATTAAAAATACAAACATGATTTATTTACATTATTTAACAAGTAAAATCTTATAATCTAGTTACGTTTTTTCTTGGTCATGGTACCAATGGCATTTTGAAACATTTGCGATAAAAGCAAATTATTTAAATGTTGATTTGTAACATTGGGGAGGTTAGGTATTCCAGTATTCAGTGCTAATGGAAAACTAACTGGATTGTTTGGCAGGAAATTGCTCACGTTTAAGGCAGATAATTTAGAAGATTTATTTTTAAATCTTTTATTACTGCCGTTTGCACTCGTTGACGGCTGTTGCTGAAAACCTTCCGACGAGCTATCACTGTCCGTAGATGTACTATCTTCATCTGAATCAGACGAACTATCTGATTCATCATCATTGTTTTCATATTTTTTCGTCACGGATAGTTTACGTTTTTTCTTTGGAATGTTAATATTTAATTCCTTGTATTTTGTTGGATTTTTACGTTTTCCCATTTTATTTTTACTGGTTGTTGGAGTTGGCGAACCCACCAGGGGTTGTGGAACGTTAGTGTCTCTCGTGCTGGTTGTATTAGCTAACCACTGTTGAAATTCTACTTCAGGTTGGAAATGCTGCAATTGTTGCATACAAAATTCTAAATAAAGCTGCATCATTACATTCAGATTAGCTGGGTGTGGGCATGTTCTATAGCCGTGATATGGGGCAGAGCAGTTTTTACATATCATTTGACATTGAAACGATGTATGTCCCTGAAAGATAAATTTTGTAAAAAATAAACATTATTAAGTAATGGGGAAAACATATTTAAAACTACTGAAATAAAAATGTTGACACCATACCTTTTTGTCACATAGCATACATTGTTCTTTTCCAGACTTTGATGATTTCTTTGATTTCTTCTTAGATTTTGAAACATTGCTTGATACATCTGCTGCCGCAGCATCATCGTTGCTTTCATTGATCATAGCTTCCTGTTCATCATCATCATCGTCGTCGTCATCATCTAAAGTTACTTTATTTTCCAACTTCCCAATACAAACTACTTCTTCTTCCGAATGTTTGCTCTTTTTCTTTTTTGATTTTTCCGATTTTTTTCCACTCTTCTTTGGGTCATTTTGAACGGGCTGCGGAATTGGTGGAGGACGTTTAAGAGGTTGTGGATTTGCAGCTGTATCCTCATCTTCTGACGATGAAGAAGACGAGGACGAAGAAGACGGCGCCGTCTTTTTATTATTCTTCACGGCTGGGGAAACGAGTAATGTTGCCGTTGGTTTTAGTCTTATATTCAAAGGACTTGCTGGAGTAGCATTAGATGATACATTAGCTTTTTGTGTGGCAGCAGTATTTTTTGGCGCTACTTCCTCATCCGATGACGTCGAGTCACTTGATGATGAAGACGAACTGCTGGACGACTTTCTTTCTGTCTTAATTTTTTCTTTTTTTATATTTACCAATAGTTTATTGGTCTCTGCGGTATTTGGCTCGCTTTCGATGGGTTTGGTCACAGCATTTGAATTTGTTGAAGAATCATTTTTTGCGGAAATAGGTGTCGATGAATTGTTCCACGAATTTGTGTTGCTATCCATTTGCTGTTGTTGTGCCCTTTGTCCATTTCTTGAACTATCATTAGCCATCGTGGGTTGTTCATAACTTGAAGGATTGTTATTGTTGTTATTATTTGGCAAATCATTGTCCTTATTGTACAAATAGGATGTTCCACCAAAACCACTTTTGCGTGTTTCAAAACTGTTTTGAGTATTATTATAGTTGCTGTCATATCCCCATGATTGTTTTCCCCAATTCTGTTCTTTTTCTCTCGATTCAACGTCAACAAATTTCTGAAAATTATTTCTACCACCGCCACGACCTCTACCTCTTCCACGGCCACCACGTGTTTTTCCACTACCGCGGAAATTTTGATGATTTCCTCGGGATCCTGCCCCACTATCCCAGCCACGATAGGACATCTTCAGTCAACAATCACAAGAACAAAACCACAGAAAAAGAATGTAAACACTTGCCGGCCAGAGAGCGCGCACAACACGTGCATAAAACGGAGACGTTTATTTTAGTAGTAGATGGATTTTTTAGTCAAAGGTGAAGGCAACATTACGAATTGGTCGACGCGTACGGTTTGCTTCACACATTGAGCATAAGCTCTAATTATTTTATGATCGGTTAAAGAAGAAGAACAAGAATGTAATCGTTTTTACGATATTAATTATATATTTGTACCATGACATGTATACAAAGTCGTTATGCCAATTATAGCGACAGCCTGACAAAAGGAAGCAACTAATATAAAAATAAGTTAAAAAAATATTTTTATTTATATATACAAAATAAGAAAAAAATTGAGAAAATATTTCTTATTCTGATAAGCTTACATGATGAGTGATCTACTCTAACAAAAAGACATTTCAAAAATGTCCTTATGAATCCCCATGGATAAAAAAATGGCTCAATAAGAAAGGTTGATCAACTTCAGAGAAACCAGAAAAATGCAACTCTGTGCTGGAGTCTTATAGTGTCAAATAGACTTTTTAATATACAATAGAAGGCTTTGTTTAATTTTATTTATTTCTAACAAAATTCTTATATTGGGAAAACCCGCGAAACAAGAATGGAATTTCGGGGTTATTCCACGAGATGGAATCTAAAATAGTAGGACAATACAGTTTTATCAGAAAATTGTTCAATTTGTTTCCCATTTAAGCCGAAATTTTGCGTTTATTTTGCAACCAAATTTGAAATAATTTCATTTCCTGTATTTTTTATTCAGACTTCAGACTTTTCTTTGAAATTAAATTTAAAAAGGTGAAAGGAAGCTGATAACACTCTTGCTAGTTCTTGAACAGAGCATTTGTGTTTCACTTATAGCTCCCTATAAGACATACATTAAACTGTCATAGTCGATAAGACCAAACTCGGCCTATTCATCCCAGTCACAGCATAAACATGTTTGGTGGAAATAAAAAATTAAATTTAGAAATACAACACGAAAATAGCAAAAATAATGCTAACGTTGATAATTGGGGTCAAAAGAAATTTGATCCGGTTCGCCAAACACAGGCGGTAAAGGAGTCATTTAATCGCTTCAAGGCGCATTTAGGTAGAAGAGATAATCATCAAGGGAACAACAAGCAAGGCATGGGTCCTAATCGTCGCGATGGACATAACAACAACAAGTTCAATCAAGGTGGACAGCGGCATAAGGAAGGAAATAACAAATTCAATAATGGTGGACAGCGGCATAAGAAAGGGAATAACAAATTCAATAATGGTGGACATCGGGATAAGGTACAGAACAACACATTCAAGCCAAATCCCTTTCGTAGTAATACTCCACAAGATATAAGAACCGAAGCAGCAACACCATGGGTTAAATTTAAAGATGACTTAAATAATCTACGACGTGAGGAGGAGCATGCTTCCAGGCAGTCAAACTTCGATACAGAAGAAGGTAAAAAATTCCTCAAAGAACGTGAGAAAAATTATAGAAAAATGTTAATGGAAGAAAAGAAAAAAGAACCCACCCAATGGGAAGATTTCGACGAAGAAAAGACACATGGTTCGGAAGTTGGAAAAGTTGCACAATTAAAGAATAAGAACAAGAAAGCCAAAAACAAGGTTACTGATCAACAGCCAGTTTGTCCACCTCAAAAGGACAATCAACAGATTGAAGATGGAAATGTCAAACAAAAAAAGAATAAGAAAAATAAAAACAAGGGAAAAGACGGCCAGACAATGTGTCCGACAGAGAAAATGACGGACTCTTCTCAGGATTTGGGACTAAATGTGGAAAATAAAGATGTAGCGGCGACAAAAATCGTTGAAAATGTTCCTCAAAAAGGGAAAAGGAAGAGGAAAAACAATGAAACTGCGTTAGAGTGCCCGCCCGAAAAAGAGATAAAAGTAATGAACGCCCAGGATATGACCTTTGAGGAAAAAGATAGAATTCGAAGATTGTTGACAAAGGCCAATATGGCTCGTAAAGGCAATGTAATTGATACAATTTTGCATTATAAATGGATAAAGAGGAATATGACAAAAAGCTCAAAATAATTTTAGGGTTAACAATTTCTTGTGTTCGCTTTTAAATAGTGTATGTTGTCTTTATTTAAGAAATTCATTTTAATAAAATGTTTTTATACATGAAAAATGTTTTTTTTTACTGGGTTGGTAAAAATCTAAGGAGGAAAAGAAAATTTTAATAGAAATAAATTATACTTCATATGATAAATAAAAAAATTAAAACGGTACACAGAAATAACTCAAATGAGCCCATCAAAAAGTCGAACATTTTTATATATATCTTAGGCCTTCCCATGGAGGATAGAGCAAATGTAAAGGAACTTATAGATGTTATCTTAATCGTGCTTTATTTAAAGAGTATGGAAGTCCGAAAAAACCAAAAAAACACTTCTCATGAAACTCCATAAAGCCGTAATTTAAACATTTCACTAAAATAAAATCAGGCACTTTTCTATTAGGCAACTAAAGGGTATTCTCACCAACGTAACCATACCATTTCAAGATGACCCAACATATTAAAAAATATCTACAAATTTATCACTTCGGTGGTAAATATTAAAGGTGGGTCCGAATACTACAACGTTTTCCCAAGCCTAAAACATTTTCAAAAATGTTAAATATTTTTATATTTCTTCCAAAAACGACCAAATTTAATTTTTTTCAAAAAAAAAAAAAAATAATAATAAAAAAAAATAAAAAACAGAAACATTTCCATATTGTCACTGACTAGCTGTGCATCCATCTACACACATTCCCTACATATGTTGAAATAGATTTGTCAATTGTAATGGACGCAGATAATTGGATTACTGACATGCCAAAAGAAAGGCCCAAATGTTAAAGAAGCAACAAGAAGCTTTGCTAGTTAACATTATAACGTTGGTCTGTACAAGGCAACACGCTTGTAGTGAATTAAATATCAAATTTTTAGAAAAATGGATAAAAGTTACTTATATGAAATTGGCGATATTTCAGAAGACCACGCAGCCCAGCAACATCCTATGAGAAAGACATTTTCCGAGGAAGAAGATGAGGAAATATGGGAAGTACCAGAAGAAAGTTTTGAAAATGCCTACCAACAGGTGGTAAATGACGACGATGATGACGAAGTAGAAGAAATTGCTCATAACCAACAATGGACAACAGGAAAATCCAATGAAATTAATAAAAACGAATCCAGTAAAGCGGAATTGCTCCATTTAAGCTTGAATAGTGAACAAATTGCTTTAAAAGTGCCTCAGCAACAATCATTTAATTCACAGATTACGACATTCGAAAAATCAATCAATAAATCGATGAATGCGGATACGGATGTAACAAGGCCAATGACCGTTAATACAAATATCACAAATGTCACTGCTATGGGCAATACCAACACAACAACATCGTCTGGAGGTGGTAATGTAAAATGGAAAAATATTAAAATTAACGAATCAAATCATAAAAGCGAACAGCAAAAGAAATCTCTATCGTTGGGTATTATCAGGCCAATGAATAATATTGAAACTATTTCCAAATCGAGTCCGTCCAATGGTGGCAAGTCATTAACAATTTCTAATAAATCGCATGAGGCAACACGTAAATACTCCCTGGGTTCGGCACCCTATTGTCCATCGCCAGAATTTGTCCTTGAGAACATTTTGAAGCCATCCACTTCTATATTTCACCAACAAAGCAACAATGATGGTAGGAAATTTATTGAAGAATCTGACAGAGTGACACCTAAGGATAACAATCCATTTAAAATGAATTCACCTTCTCCAAAATTAGTGGAATATAAGCGAGTTCAATCCGATATAACATCTGTTGCCCACAAATGTCAAATCCATGAACAACCCTATCACCACCATCAGCATCACCAACATCAGTGGCATTCCAAGCCATCTATTGTAGTAACTCGAACGTCTTCTTCCTCATTGTCTGGATATCATAATCCTCCAAAGTATAGTGCATCCACAGAAACTTTTGAAACGGCATCGATTATATCAAGGTAAGTACCTGTTTGAACTAAAGTTCTGTTAAGGATCAAGAACATATTTAAAAACCCATTTCATTTGTTGGAAATAATAATAACAACCAATAAAAAGAACCAAAGTCCGGCCCGGCCGAATTTTTAATACCTTCCAACATTTGGAAGGAACTTAAAAAATTTAAAAAATTTCGTCTAAAAATATGTTGCAATTTTAAAAATTACAAGCGAAAATGTGGACCTGTATATGCAATTTTCCGCCACAGTATGTAGTAGCTTTACACACTGCAATTCCGGTGAAAACTGTGACACAAATGATCAAAATAAAGAATATCTGGAGGTACAGTTAAATGAGACCTATACCAAAACTTGTACCTACATGTACAGTTATCTTCAAGGATGATTCCTACATACTGGGAAGACATACTACCAATTAACAATAAATTCTGATTAAAATTGTGACTAAAATAACCAACATATTTCATTTCGTTCGGAAGCAAGAGTGATTTCCACAAACAGATAGACAGAGAAGCCGGACATAGCCAAATCGACATCGACGACTAATCAAGATTATATTTACTTATTTCTAATTCTTATTTCGGCGAGTTACAAATGGAATGAAAAACCATCTATATGATTTAGGATATAATAATTAATTTTTTTTTGGAAATTGTTGGTTAAGAGAAATTGGATCCGTCTTTTCAAGCCATTCAAAAAACTATTATTAGTTTTCTTGAGTCTGGAATATAAGTCATATTCGAGACATATATGAGTGCTAAAGACATATTTGAGGTCTTCATATATCTTTATGCAGTTCACAATGGTATAATTTCGTTCGACCATAGTGTCCTACTTGTCTGAAAAACATCTATAGTCCTTTTGAATTTATTACCTTATTACACCCTCAGTCTCTTTGAAATAAATCCGTTTCAGGACATTTGGAGTCGATCTAGCGATGTCCGCCCGTCCGTTTGTCTGTCTGGCTGGTGCGCACGATAACTCTCGAAGGGAATATCCGATTTGATCCGAACCTGGTACATCGTAATATTATTGTCAAACTTAGATCGAGTTCAGAGATGAACAATATCGGTCCACTCCTTCTGCTACCTCCCCCACAAAATGTCAAAATTTCCAAAGAAAACAATTTTCTGCACAGAAAGAGAAAGGATTATCCGATTTAGATCCAACTTTGCAAATCTTAATATTTGCATCAGTGCTAAGTCCGACGTGAAAATGGATAATATCGATCCTCTTCATCAAGTACCTCTCCCACCAAAGGTCAACATTTTGAATAGCTATAATTCCTATAAAATGTGATGTAAGGTTCCGGTTTTTATTAATCCAAGGTCTGGTGTGAAGATATATCAAATATATCAGTCCACTCCTTCTGGTACCTCCCACACAAAGGGTAAAATATTCATAAAGCTCATAAAACACGAAATTAACATCAGATTCCATTCAGACTTGGTACATCTCAATATTTCCATCTACAGAAAGTCTGTTATAAAGATGGTAGGGATCGGACCATTCCTTCTGGAACCTCCCCCACAAGGGTTCAATATTTTGAATAACCAAAACGATCATAAAATCCGAAATAAGCATCCGGTTCTCTTCAAAATGCACACATCACAATATTTTTATTGGCATAAGGTCTGGTGTGAAGATGGGATATATCGGTTCACTCCTTTTGGTATCTCCCCCACAAAGTGTCAAACTTTTGAGTATCCATGAAGCTCAAAAAATGCGAAAATAACATCAGATTCCATTCAGATTTGGTACATCTCAATATTTCCATCCACATAGGATCTATTATAAGCACCAGAGATAGCACCATTTCTTCTGGCACCTCCCCCACATAGGGTTCAAGATTTTAAAGAACAAAACGATGAAAGAAAGCGAAACAAGCTTCAAATTTCACACATCCAAAAATATCCAAGATCTGTTGTGAAGACAATATACATCTGGTACCTAACTCACAAAGGGTCACAATTTCCAATACCTTTCTGTCATAACTTGCGAAACAAGTCAGCGATTCTTTACAACTTGCTATATCTAAATATTTCTCTTATCGAGAAATCTAATATGAATATGTAATTTATCATGATTTCGCATAAAATTAGATAAAAATGTTCGATTTTCTTGTAATTGTGCCTATACCAATATTTTTATCTGTATTAAATGAAGTATGAAAATGCACATATAACATTTTATCACATATCTCATATAAATTGAAGGAAGCAACCAGTATAGTCCAAACCTGGCACGTGGTATTATTTATATCATATTTATTTAGGTCCGATACGAAATAGACAATATTGGTCAACATTTTGCATAATCATAGGGGAAGTCAAAATATATTTAAATAATCGAACACTGGCTTTAAATTGATTTTATCTTATTTTTACCGACTCGAATAGTAGTATTCAAATAAACCTAGAACTTCGATATTCATGAATCGATGGGAATACGGCAGAAGCTACCTAGGCATCCCCAACCAAATCGGTACTGGATTTTTCAGGAACTTTACTGTAATTTTGTGATCTTTGAACCTTTTTCAATACCGATTGACTTTTAGCTGTCGATCGGTTTTGGGCTATGGAGACTAAAAGATTCCCGTAGAATTGTGAAATACCAAAACCTATGATTACCTTGACTGAGTTAGTTCTTTAAGCCCTGCGGACCAGTGCCTATTTCTGGTAGGAGACCAATATATAGAAAGTATTATAAGATTGAACTAGGATTTTATTGATGATATTGACGATTAATGATTAATTTAATTAATTTTCTAATCTAAGTATGATAGAAACGTTACATGTACAAAGTGTACACAGAGTCACATACTTGCTTGTTGATGGACAAACAAGACAGGCGATCAAACATGGGTAAATCGATTTCTAAACATGAATTTGACAAAGCACATATATGTCATTTTTCATATGGCACATTTTTTACCATGCCAACTGATACACATCCACAATGATGTGACCATAAATTCTTACATTTCCATGCTTCCCGAAGATTATATATTGTTGGCTTTTATTTATTATTGTATTGTAAAAATAAATCATCGAGAAATTAGATTCTTTTATAGCAAATAGCTTTTTACCACTTCCCATACCATACCATACCTTATAACAATCAAAATAAGTTAATATCAAGCTAAGCTGTTCGATTCTTTTGATTCTTTTATTGAATACAAATACAGTTCATGATTTGTATGAAATTATGAAATGATTCATTTTATTAATTTTTGGTTTCGAAACCAAAAAGCAAGCAAATTTTTTTATTTATTTAAAATTTCTTTCTTCATGATCCAATTAAATAACTAAATCATCCGTAAATAAATTAAATGTATAAAGGCGCATTTTTCTCATAGTTTTATAGAATATAGAAAGACGTACGTAGGAGATAGAAATAAAACATAAACAAAAACGAATTAAACTAGTGTATGAACAATTATGAAAACTAAATACCTAAACCTATGCTAATATTACAAAACATTCACCCTATATAGCGAAAATGAAAATTTACAATAAAATTTTTAGAAAAAAAAAAAAAACCACAGTCGATTGCTACGGTTCCCGCACAGCGGTACTTGACTAGATGTTGACTTCTCCGTGTTTCGAGTTTCTTATTTAACTTTATTAGGACCTTTATGCAGCAAGAGTTATGACAATAATAACCTGGAAAAAGGGAATAATTAAATATTGTTTTTCAACTTTGTTTAGCAAAAAAACTTACCTTTTGCTTTCGGCAAGGCCACTGCACTACTGAATTAGTGTTTTGTACTGAATTAGTAGTGCTCTCTCTCTCTCTCTCGCTCCGTTATGGGTTAAAGGCAGTTTTTAGATGTGAGGTCTGCACCATTTGATCAATTTTGTTTGGTTGTAGGACTTCAGGACACCATCATCATTCATTTTGTATGGAAGTTGGGTAGCATATTCAACCATGGTGAAATGAGCAATAACATTTATGGGAATTTATTCTATGCCTTTGTTTCATCCTTTCTCTTGATACGGGTAATTTAAGAGCGTTGTGGGATTTTCCTTAATTTTTTGAACAGTACCAACCATTGCCAGTTGAAGATTGGGATTTCAATATCCCAAAAAATTATGAAGATATTTGTTGATAAGCTATGCAAAGAAAAGAAGATTATTAGTAAGACATTGTTGTAAATAGTTTGTTTAGGATTTAAAAGCGTTTATATCTTCCAACTCAGAGTTTTGATTTATTTTAAATTTTTGTTTTGTTCGTGCCAAACACAGTTTTATGTTTGGAACCCTAAGGACTTTTCCCAGTGTAATGCAAACTCAGTGGTAAACATAGCAAGCCATCTACCGGTCATGCTATGTATTCCACGTTTTGTGTAGAAGACAGTATAGAAGGCTACGTCAGTCAGACCAGTGAAGACGGAGAACAATCAATGAAAACAGATTTTCTCTACTCACCAGAGCTTAATGAATATACTCGTTGAAAACATCAGGTGTTTACCTTTGAAAATGTTTGTGATATAAAAACGCCATCAGCCATATGGCTAAAGAGGGTATATATCATTTTCTACGGCCAAAACGTGCCATATCGAAATAACGGTTTTAGACCCTAGGACATATCTAGGAGTCGATCTAGGTATGTCCGTCCGTCTGTCTGGTTCGCACGATAACATTCTCAGGGAGTATCTGATTTGATCCAAACTTGGTACATCGTAATATTATTGTCAAACTTAGATCGAGCTGCTACCTACCACACAAAATGTCAAGATTTTCAAATAAAAATTATTTACTGCCCAGACAGAGAAAGGTTAGTTCGATTTTGTTCAGACGTGGCATATCTCAATATTTCCATAAACATAAGATCTGTTACAAAGATGGTACAGATCGAACCAGGGCCACACAAAGGGCCACAATTTCCAATTCTTACATCTGTCATTACTTGCAAAACAAGTGGGCGATACTTTACAACTTGCTATGTCTAAATATTTCTCTTGATCAGAAATTTATCGCAATTTATGATTTCGCATAAAAGTGGATATAAATGTTCGATTTTCTTTAAATTTTGCACATACCAATATTTATATCTGTATCTCATATAAGGTATAGGAAGTAGTCGATATAGTCCAAATCTGGCACCTTGTAATATTTTTATCAGTTTTAGGTCAGATACGAATTTTTCAATATTGTCCAACTGCTTCGGAACCTCCCCCATAAAGAGTCAACAGTTTGAATAATCATAACTCAAGGCTAGGGGTATACATCTGTCTACAAAACCGACGCATACTATTTTACTTGTTATACCCTCCACCATAGTATAGAGTGAATATAAAGTTTGTCATTCCGTTTGTTACACCTCGAAATATACATTTTAGACCCCACAAAGTACATATATTCTTGATCAGCATAAAATTCTATGTCGATTTAGGGTTGTCCGTCCGTCTGTGGAAATCACTTTAGCTTCCGAACGGAATAATGTAGGTTGATAAAATTTTACTCAAATATGTATTATGTCCGCAGGACTTTTGGTATTGGAAATGGGTGATGTAGGTCCACGTTTTGGAATAGCCCCCATATAATGGTACCTCCCCGATTGGTATTTTGATGATTTTAGCGACATGATTCACCGAAATTGTTTTAAATTTGGCATTTGAAGTTTGTAACGGTTGCTACAGCCTATGACACAAAATTGTCTGTGCAAGTCCACGTATAACGATACCTCCCGATATTCGGTATTTTGATGATTTTAGCGACATTATTCACAAATTTGGTATTTAAAGTTCGTAATGAGTACTACAGCCTATGACAGAAAATTGTCTGTGCAGGTCCACATGTTTGTGTAGCCCCCATATAACGGAACCCCCGATACTGAAATACTGAATTCTGATGATTTTAACGACATTATTCACCGAATTTTTTTTATTCAAATTTCGCATTCAAGACAAAAGTTGCCTATGCAGGTCCACGTCGTCGTATAGAACCTAATATAACGGCTACATTCGGAATTTTTAAGATTTTAACAGAATTTTTAACAGATTTTTTTTTTTTTTTTTGAAAATTGCCAAAATCGTTTTAAATGGTGGAGGTTATTCAAAGATCGGCCCGGCCGAACTTACACCTTTTTTACTTGTTCTTTTTTTATTATACTTACCCAATTGCAGTTTTGGTAAATGGCCTTATTCCTGGCAAGGATGAAAGGATTTCAAACTTATTCAAAATCCATTTACTTAAGGGAGTATAGATTTCACAAAGCTTTGCATTCTGTGATTTAACGTCATCAATTTGTTTAGGAGAGAGGTTGTAATTGGCATTTTGTTTTTTTTTTATATATACATTTGTCATTTTTGTCATCCATTGCAAAATATTTTAGACCATGTTCTTTTCTCTGATTCGCAAAGGAGTTTGTATAGTAAGTATGTATTTGCTACAGGGCGTCCATGGTGATATCTATTTAATAATATTTCGGTGTCAAGCTCCAAATCTGCTAACTGCACACAACGGACCACCGATCCACCAGCTTCCAAAAAATAAGAACTATGTGGTTCGGAATAAAATGCAATCTTGAAAGCTGATTATAGTTATCAGTCTCGAAGATGAAACAAATGTTGAAAGCCATTTGGATATTTCAATCAACATTTGAATTGAATTTGTTTTCTTTTTTGTTTTGCTAAGGAGGTTTTGAGTTGGGCGCGGGGTGAAACTTTTCATTTGTATTGCACAGAATTTGAGTGGTGTGGCGATGTTTCTTTATGAAAAAAATCCAGGAGGAGATTGGAACAAATAAACACATTGGTCCAAATGTAACATATCATCATATCTTCAATATCAATCAATCAATCAATTGTTTAACAAATAATAACATTGTTTTGTAAAGTTAATCTGGAGATTTTGTTGTTGCTGTCTTCTTCTTCTTCTCATTCTTTTCGTAATTTTGCATTGGATTTGGTAGAATTTTGGTATTGTTTTGTGTTTCTTTTTTTTTTTGGTAATTATTTTCTCTATAATTGCAGTTTTTTATTTGTTTTGTTTGTCATAGCCGCATTATTGTTGCATTGCATAACCAGAAATATCCTTTATTTCAACATAAAATTCATATTCAAATATTCTTCTATTTAAACTTGTTAGTTTATCTTTGTGGTTGTGGTTGTTGTTGTCTTTTTTCCTTAATTATCAGCATCGCGTTTAGTTCGGATATATGGCACACATGTACAAAGACAGTGGTTTTCGGCTCACCTTGTCTTTGATATGTAGGGGCTCTGTGGTGGCTATGGGCGCTGTATCGACATCGTTTTGACGCGGCAGGTGCTCGGTGCCGCTTATATTGGATGCGGCCACAGTCATTTGGGTTATATTGCCTGGTATGTAATCGTTTTTAATTTGAGCCGGATTAGTTTGATTAGCTTGGCTACAGGTAATGGTGGTAGGAACCGTTGTCCCACTAACTGCATCGACCTTCTCCCAGTCGTACGGATCGGACTCTTTGACGCCCCGCCGTTTCATACAACGTTCAAAGATGTTAGTTAACATGGCATAGTCGGGCCGATCCGCGTACGTTAACGATTGTATGTGTTCGAGGAATTGTTTGAAATCAGAAGGCAAATGTTTTAGTAACATACGGTGGTCATATTTCTCTTTGGTCAGGCCCACCTGTTCCTTGTCCTTGATCTTGCGCCATGGCAGTTGGCCGTTGACAAATTCGACCAGCATATAGAAGAGTGACCACAGGTCGTCATGACGTCCCATTTCCCGATTGCGATGGGCATTTATTGAGGCATAGCGCACAGTGCCACGAAAACCGGCAGCTGCGCGTGGGCAACGCACCTCCCCCGTTCCCGTTGTGTATTGGCGCGCCAGACCAAAATCCAACATATACACTTTTCGACAGTTCAACGGCAGCCGGCCCATTGAAAAGTTGCTAGGTTTAATATCACGATGTAGAAATCCTACAGAATGTATAGATTCGATTGCTCTAAGTATCTGCAGTCCGAGTCGCAGTGTTGTGCTGACAGAGAAAGCACCCTTTGGCTGGGAACGTCGCAGTTCGGCCAAATTTTTACCCTGCAATTGCATAACAACATAATTGAAGCGATCGTTGCGACCGCAACCGATGAAACGGCAAACGTGTTCCTTGCCTTGGAGCTTTTTCAGAACGGCCACTTCCATTTTGAGTACTTGTTTGGGCTGGCGTGCTGATTCAACTTTTAAAGCAACTTGTTCGCGTGTTATTAGATCTTGACCTTCGTAGATTTCGCCAAAACCACCACCGCCAATTTTTCGTATTACCTTCCATCGTTCCTTGACGACATGTCCGGCTTGCAAGAGATCTTCTGAAGTCATTTGAAATTTGTATTTGTGTGTGTGTGTGTAAACCCTCTACTATTTCCTAGTCCGCTCGCTCGTTCACTCTTCTTTTTTCTTTCTCTCTCTCACTCACGCTTTGCACACAGGAGCTCAGTTAGAAATCATCAGATCATTTTTATCAGTAAGCCATGGAGATGTTTCTTTTTGATTGTAGCAGTATCTAGGCTTTCGATGATTGTTGTTCGGGATGTAAGGTTTAAATATTTTTTGGTATATTTGAAGCTAATGTCTTTTGTTTATGTTGCTTTGGAAATCAATTGGAGATCGTCGATGTAAGACTGTGAGGATGAGAAAAAAAGATAAAGATAATTACTATATATTTTACAAGTAAGAAATATAGATAAAATAGCTAAATAGGGAAGAATTGTAATAAAAAAAGGTTAAGCTTTGTTGGTTCATTTGTTAATTTTTTGTGGTGTTTAGTCGTAGTATTGGTGTTATTTGTTCTATAGCATGCCATTCATGGGTAGGTTGTTAAATTGAACTCTTTTATAAACAATTATAAATGTTATCGTAGTAGTGGCCCCAGCTGAACACTTGTTGTCTCAACGTAGACCCAGCAGCCATAGAAGCTACTTTACAGGGTGAGATAAAAAAACAGCGTAATGATGAGCAGATCCGATGATTACTTTGAAGACGACAACAAATGTTCCTTGCTCTGCTCGTCTCGCCTAGAGTCTCAAGAACTCTGTTTTGAGAAGGTAACCGAGTTCTTCAAAATAAGACAAAGTTGTAAACTGTTGGTATATTAACGCCACATGCAATTCCTAGTTTTATTGGTCTTGATAACATATGCTGATGTAAATATCTTTTTTCCTCCTTTCCAGAAATTCAACACATATCCCTCTTGAAATGACATCAACCACACCGTCAACGCAAATACCTCCAATATTATTGTGTTCCTTGTGCAAGGAAATTTTCAAGGATCCGCGCTGTTTAAACTGCTTGCATACATTTTGTCTTGAGTGTATTGTGGAAGAAAGTTTCAAACAGGACGAAGAGGAATGCAGTAATCCATTTATTTCCAATATACCAACGCTGCAGCAGCATCAGCAATCGAGCAGTGTCTCAAAGAATGGTGAAAGAAATGTAAAAGGTATTTCCATAATTCTATATTCTAAGCAAATTGTTGTAGTTTTTAGTTCAGAACATGAAGGGATTTTATTACCGAGAATTAGGATATAATTCGTGTTGAATTAGGATCACAGGCTATATACCAATAGGATTATTAGCATTAGCGATTGAAGCTAGAATTTCAATAGTTTACACCAGGATCACTACTGATTCCAATGTGGATATAAAACCCTTTTTTTAGTGACTCAATCTTGACGGTATTGAAAAATGCAGGCAGACTATATAATATATTCCAAAGAACGCCATCGATCTTTATCTATCTACCTATAGATTTTGAGCGAAAAAGTAATTATCTGAGAAATAAAAATAAAGTAGCATATTTTTTCCACTTTGTGATTTCATTTGAATCTCTTTCAAAATTTTTAAAAATTAAAGTCGTGGTTATTTTTTTGCTTCCATTAAATGAATTGGCGCCTAACATGATATTCTTCTTTTTATATACTAAAATATCCGTAATATGGACAAAACTTAATTATAAAGTATTCTTAAAATGGGGTGATCGTCAGAAATGCCAAAACACTATGATGGCCGTTACTATATTATAATAAACGCCATCTATACTTCAATATTAACACTGTTATATTGGATTGATTATTTTTAAATAAATTAAAAACCAGTAAAGAAGGTCTTAAAGTCGGGCGGGGCCACTTTGCTAATTTAGTAGAGCTCCGCATAACAATTAAATTTTTTTATGGGAGAATTCAATCATACTCGCTATGATTATAATTATAACTTAAAGTTCAAAGGACTAAATATGCCGAAGCATTTGTATCTTTTAAATTCGGACTTGTATTGCCCATTTGGTGCACAATGAATTTGAAATCGGATAAAAATATATATGGGAGCTATATCCAAATCGGAACCGATCTCGATAAAATTTTGCAAAGATATTTCTGAGCTGTATTTGATATATTTCCCTGAATATCGTTGTTACGGAGCGCATATTACGGCTGTGGGTAACAAATATAACAAATCGGATGAACAGTATATATGGGAGCTATAGCTATATCTGAACCGATCTTCACCAAATTTGACATACTAGCTTCTAGATTCAATTCGGTCGTAAATGCCAAATTTCATCCCATTTGGGCAAATATTAGACGTTTGGTGCACAATCAAAGGTAAATCGGACGAAATTATATATGGGAGCTATATCCAAATCTGAACCGATCTCGATAAAATTTGGCAAATGTATTTCTGAGCTGTATTTGATATATTTCCCCAAATATTGTTGTTACAGAGTGCATATTACGGCTGCGGAGGACAAAAATAACAAATCGGATGAACAATATATGTGGGAACTAAAGCTATATCTGAACCGATTTCGATCAAATTTGGCATACTTATTTTGAGGTCCAATCTGATCGTACGTGCAAAATTCCATACTATTCGGACTGATATTACACGTTTGGTGCACAATAAAAGGCAAATCGGACGAAGATATATATGGGAGCTATATCTAAATTTTGACCGATTATCTCCAATTTCAATAGGGTTCGTCCTTGGGCCAAACAAATGATTTGTGCAAAATTTCATCTGGATAGGGCAATAAAAGCGAATTGTACTTTGTTTACAAAAATACATGGACAGACGGACGGACGGACATGCATAAATCGACTCAGAGTGTGATTCTATGCAGATCATCAAAAGGAACTATGGGTCTATCTCGTTTCCTTTTGCCTGTTACAAACAAATGCACAAAGGCATAATACCCTGACCACCTTGTGGTGTAGGGTATAAAAACAGTAAGTTCGGCTGTGTCGAACTTTGAATACCCTCCATCATTTGAAACAGATTTGGAAATTTTCAAAAAAAAAAAAAAAAAATAATAATAATAATAATATCCGTTTTAAATTCCGTTAAAATTTTAAAAATACCGAATATAGCCGTTATATTGGGGTCTATACGAAGACGGGCAACTTTTTTCATTACAATATTCAAATACGAAACATGAAAAAAGTTCTGTGAATAATGTAACAAACAATTTCGGTGAATATTGTACCTAAAATCGTCAGAATGACGAATATAGGGAGGTACTGATATATGTGGCCTATACGAAGACATGGACCTGCATAGACAATATTCTGTCATTGACTGTAGTTTCCATTACGAGCCCTAAATACGAAATAACTCTGTCGAATAATGTCCCTAAAATCGACAAAATATCGAATATCGGGGGTACCGTTGTATGTGGGCTATACGATTCGTGGACCTATGTAGACATTTCTCTTCCAGTGGCTTAAGTGCTTAGAAAGAACTTCTGGTATGAATTTTTATACAATTCCATTGAAAAATATAGTTAAAATCATCAAAATACCGATTATAGGGAGGTGCCGTTATATGGGGGATATACTTTAAACTTGACCTGTCTGCAGACAAAAGACTGATCTGTGCAAAATTTTAGCTTCCTATCTTTATTCGTTTCGACTCTAGCGTGGTTACAACAGACGGACGGGGATAAATCGTCTTAGAATTTTACGCAGATCAAGAATATGTATGTGCTTTGTTATTATTTCGATGAGTTACAAACGGAATGACGAGCTTAATATACCCTCCATACTATGTTTGGTGGAGGGTATAAAAATGTTGATGATTTAGTGAAGGATATAATAATAGTAGATATCGGCCATTCTTTGGCATGAGTTGTAATGACACTTTCTTTCTATAATACTGAAAAATTGAAATTGACTTGCATGTAGCGGAACAAAGCTTATGCCAAAATGAACGCCATCTGTACTTAAGATTTAATACTATATTGGAAGAACGGGAACTGTGTAGGAACAATCTATAGCAATACATATTTTTGGGTGGCAAAAAAATTTAATAATTTATGTTAAATGAAAAAGAATATATAACATATTCCTAAGTAGATATACGATCTTCTGAGAACGCGAAATGTTTAATTGCCGAGGATTTGGTCAGCGAAGGATATGAAAATAGTAAATATTGCGACATTAAAACCACGTAAAGATCTCCAATGGGGTAATGAGGAAAGATAATTTACGGTCTTCCAAGATAATTAGCGGATCTATAGTTCATATTTAACAGCATTGAATGTTCTCAAATAATTCGGAACAGAGAATAATAAATATTGGAAGATTGATAATTGATAATAATTCAGTTTTAAAAACATTTACAATTAAAAATGAACGACATATATACTTCATAAGCACTGTATTAGATAAAAGGGTAAGTGTGAGAAAGGCACATAGAATGGCATACTTTTGGGCCGTTCAAATATTTGAACATACACTGGTGGCCAAAACTAAAGCAACTAAAATCGCAAAGATAATAAGTGCCCTGTAACTTTTACAAAAATAAAAAAATCGTAATTATTTTTCCAGTTTTAAATGAGGTGCTTAATTCACTTTTGAAAAACTAAAAATAAGAATACAAAAATAATATTGAATGAAAAATATATATGGAAATAATATATGGAAAACTAAAATGACCCAAATTTTGCTTGGTCAAAACTAAAGCAACTTTTTGATTTTTTATTTTTAAATAATTAAATTTTGGCTAGTAGTCGATAGCATCTATTATTTTTGATAGCAGATGCACCCCTACGAGGCATTGAATCTATAACACGCTCCATTTGATCCTTGGGTATGCTTTTCCAGGCACCCTGAATTCTTTGGAAAACACTGTGTTTATTTCACCGATTTTTTACCCCCCAACCAATCTTTGGCAAGTTTTGATGCATGTTTGTGATCATTGTCATCTTGAAACGCCCAAATAAGCAGAATATTTTCCTCAGCGGAAGGAAACAACGTGATGTTCAACACATCTTTGTCAACAAACCGATGCATAACTTCCTTTATTTCATGGATAGGCCCACGTCCATAGAAAGAAAAACAATACCACACCATTTTTAACACTCCCTCATGCTTCACTGTACCCTTGCAACACTGCGGCTTGAGTCTTTCATTTTTTTGGTCTTCTCATCGTAACATTTTTCATGTCTGAGCTTTAATATTAAATGTAGAATCATCCCAAAATAAAACGTTTTTTCCATTGAGCTGGATTCCAATTAATATTTCCGTTTCCGGAAGCCATCCCAGCGACTTAGTATACGAGAAATCACAGAAATATTTTTTAAATATTTCTCGGAAATCATATTCTGCGATAGCTTGTTTTCATAGACACTGATAATTAGCTGTTTTATTAATGTACAGTATTTACTTCTAGCCATTTTTAAACCTTTTTGGGTAGTACTTAAAAAACAAAAACAAACACGTGTTGTTGTAAAAAAAACTATTCAAAAATCATTTATGACAAGCGAAATTGTTAAGGGAAGCAAAAAACGATAAATATAACAGAAAAAACAACTGACATTACAGCGATCATATGAATGTACAACAGAGTTGCTTTTGTTTTGTCCACGCCAAAATCGGGTTAATTGACTTTACCATACATTATTTTTTTATATAAAAAATAATTTTGGTTTTTTGTTTTAAGTTTTTAAAAAGTGAATAAAGTGTCTAATTTAAAACTTTCTAATTCCTTATCATTGCAATTTCAGTTGCTTTAGTTTTGGCCACCAGTGTATATAAATAATAAAATTTATTGTATACTCAAATCTACTGCGCTTATTGCTGTTATGGACGTATGAAGTTAGTTGAGGCTAAAAAAAAGTAATAAATGGTACTAAATACACGAGCGAACGACATCTGTCTTTCATATTTAAAACTGAATTAGGCGAAATAGTGTTTATATGAGAGAGACAAATCGAAAGGCATACTTTTGGGCGGATAAAATATTTCGATTTAAGTAATACTGATTGTAGAAAAAAAGGATTCGGGTGTAACTAAGTGTGGTTTATAATTTGTTGCCTCTTTCATATTGCTATAAAACATATTTAGCTTGTTTCCTTTTTATTTAAAGAGATTTTTATTAAGTCAGTCATTACAAAATTCGAAAAAAGGGAGAGAGAAAAATGTATTAATTTTTATATTAAAGCTATGTCTGTTTAATAATAATAATATCTATATGTATGTATTAAGGAAAAAATCATTACTAAATCGATTATATATTTGTTAAATATTTTTTGTTGGCTTTAATATTATCATATTTTGAGATAATTAACAAGTGATCTGAATAATATCTTATATATTTAGAAAACAATACAAATATGATTTATTATAAATAACACGATTATATCAATCAATATATGTATGTACGTTTGGAGTATGTAGTATTTAAAATTGATTGGTTTCCAATTTTTAATGATATATATGGAATTAAAAAAGTCTCGTAACATGTGAAATATCTTGTCTATTTGACTTGGCAAGAACAATGCTTTTTGGTTACACAACTTTAGAACTCATATGATATATTTTAAAAATGTTAATATCATTTGTAATATTCTACTTTTAGTAGTTTTATATCATTAATATCTGGATAAATTCTTATATATTCAAAATTTAATATCATTTAATATAGTGGAATAATTGCGAGTTATGTATTTAGCTTTGAAAGCACCATTAGAAATATGAAAAACTAGAAAACGATATTTTATGACGCGCAAATCTATCATGCCTGAGAAAACATAGTTTTTTTTTTTTTGGTTTGATAATTGTTTGATGTGCGGCTCTATTTTAATAGCAATTAGTTTCGAATTATTCATGATTAAGAAAACCTTCACTTTGTTGTAACAGGTTCTTAACAAATCTCTTCAAAATATTTAGTTTTGTTCCTTCTGCAATTGGGAGAAAATTCTTACAAATAAAATAAATGTATGACAAAAACTGAAACAAGAGTAGAATCTGCCCGATTTCTAGTGGATTTTATTCGCATTCGAAAACGAGTAAGGTATAGAACACGTACAAAATCAGTTCTGTTAGGCTGGGTCATAGTTTTTATGCCTTCCACCAATTGCAAGGTATTTGCATAAATCCGCTTAAAAATGCCCCTATAACTTTTAATACCCTCCACCATTCGTGGTCAAATGTGGCTAGGATTATTAAAATACCAAATATCGTATGGCATCGTTATATGTGCGCTGTAGGAAAACGTGGACCTAAATATTAAATGTTCTGCCACCGGAACTATCCGGAACACCGGATATATACTATTCTCCGCCAGCCACAGAAGCCATTACCCATTACGAAGTACAAACACCAATTTTTGGACAAATCCGTGGAGAAATGCGGCAAATATCATCAAAACGCCGAATTTCGGGAGGTATAGTTTTAAGGGGCTATACCAAAACGTGGACCTATTTATACAATGCTTGTGGCCACAGAGGGTAGAATCCATTACGAACTACAAATACCAATTTTTAGAAAAATCCGTGGAAAATTTTGGCAAAAATCAACAAAATACCGAATATTGGGAGGTACCATTATATGGGGCTATACAAAAACATAAACCTATACATACACTGTTTCCCCACAGGAGCTAGAACCCATTACGAACTACAAATACCAATTTTAATAGAAATCCTTGGAAAATTTTGGCAAAAATCAACAAAATACCGAATATCGGAAGGTACCGTTATATGAGGGCTATACAAAAATGTGAAGCTATATAAACTATGTTCCGCTACAGAAGCTAGAACCCATTACGAATTACAAATACCAATATTAAGACAAATGCTTGGAACAATTTGGCAAAAATCATCAAAATACCGAATATCGTTATGTGACGGCTAAACCAAAACGTAGACCGAAATATCTCATTTTCTGTGCCAACCATCCTAGACACACACAATGCAAATTGTTCTGCCAAATTTTGAAGCTTTGCGTTAGATAATGTGGGCTGTATCGTGATTTCAACAGAAGGAAGGACAGACAGACAGACATCGTTAAATCGACTTAGAATTTTATCCTGATCATGAATATACATACTTTATGGGGTCTACGACGAATATTTCGGGATGTTACAAACGGAATGACAAAGTTAATATACCCTCATTTTCAATGTAGAGGGTATACAAATTTTGAATATCTTCAGTTACAAGTGCTTATTCGAAAACGTGGACCTCTATATCTGCTAGAGAAGATGGTGCCTATTACAAACTCAAAACACAAAGTTTTAGATAGTTCTGTTGAAAATGGTAGGTAAAATCAATAAAATACAGAGTTTTCGGAGGTACCGTTATACAGGTTATACAGAAAAATTTCTGTAAGAGAAAGTAGTACCCATTACGAATTCCAAATATCAAATTTGAAATAATTTCGGTGAAAGATTTGAGCCAAATTATCAAAATACCAAAACTTGGGCCTACATAGACAGTTCTATACAAACTGAATATACCCTCCAAATTATGGGGGAGGGTATACAACTGGAGTTTACCCCATTTCTTCTTTATTAGTTTCTTTTCTTTTCAATCGTTGCTATCTCTCTCTCGCTCTCTCTCTTTAGGTATAAAAAACTATGTGGGCATAAGTTAACAGCGGATAGCAAACAAAAAATAGAAGATGTGCAATACGTGTTACAGATTACTCTCAATCAAAAATGAGTGGCATAGAAAAATTGAGCATATTCGAGTTTTTTTTTGTACTTGCAGGAGTATTTCCGCTTGAATTGGATTAATATGTGAAATTGTCTCGCATTTGAAACTATGTTTTTATGTGAATATCCGAACTTACACTTGTATTTAATCAAGCGGTTTATGAGCCTTCATATTTGAATGTATTTCTCTGCGAGAATTTATTCTTGATATTTGGTGAGCATTATTTTTGCTAAACTTTAGATAAGACATAAACGACGGGTAGGGAAAACAAACATTACCAAAACCCGTTTAGAAAAGTTAATATCATTACATTTTCCACAATTATTCCACAGTGTTATCTTCTACTTCTTTTCTTCTCTTTTTTACATTTTTTAAGAAAATAAATTTAATTTAATTGGCATTTAAATATCATTTGTTAGTCTAAAGTAATTGCTTTTCCGTTTTGTTAAATGTATTTGGCATTCGGATTCGGATGATTTATAATCAAGAAAAAAGTTTTTTTTGTTGTAATACTGATACGTTTCATCTCACATCTCAACTTGTTAGATTTTCATTTCTTTTTTTTGTTTGGCTTAACAAATTGTATTATTTAAGTATTCATAACAGCTCAACAGTGTGTTAGCGGCAATTGCGGCTGCGGCAGCTTCATTGCGAGTCTTAACAAAATTCGTAACCCAATGGGTGGTAAGATCCAAATATTTGGTCGGTTTCCCCGGGCTGTAGTCAAGAAATCCGGCCTTGGGTAAGACTTCTTCAATTTGACTGCCATCCGGCCAATTATTGTAGCTGGCAATATTAATAAAACCGACATGATTTAAAATTGCCGTTCGCCAAGCGACACCGTAATACTGTTTAAAAAAGAGTATTTAAAAGACAATTTATTTAGAATCGTACTTTTCTATTCCGAATATTAGTTGAGTTTAGATTAACAGTCGGATCTGATGGGAATTGAAACCAATGAAGAGCAATATATTGCACCATGAAAACAATTTTGTGTTTGTATGTTTTAATGTAAGCTTAAAATTTTCCACTTTCACCGTTAGCACTTTGATGGCATACTTTTAGGCGCACATCAACATCATTTTTAAACAAGAGCTTCAGTTTTCTCGATTTTACTCGGGAGTGCAAAATATTCCCTAACGGGAGTGCTTGACAATCGAGATTCTGTAAAAAAAGCCAGAAAGAAAAAAAAAACAGCCTAGGACCCAAGGATTTTGAGCGCCAAAACATGAAGTTGGAGACATAGCTGTTCAAAGTATTTGTTTTTACACATATATTCAAATAAAACAAAGAGTGCTCGGCGAGAGTAAACTCTGTCGTTTTCGAACGAATTTTACCCCCAACTCGGAATCGAGCAAGGCGTACTAGCTCTTATTCAAGTTATATAGCAAAGTAGAGTATACTCGATTATTTTTTTTACTCGTAAAAGTACTCGCGCTCGAATTCGAATAGAGAGTGGTACTCGTCTGGACAAAAGCTTATTTAAAAAAAATAAATCGGTCTGACGCTATTTTCTGGAAACATCAAATCATGTTGGAATTTTGACATGGAAGCTATACAAAGTCAAACGTATATAGAGGTTGCACATTTTTAAATTACAATTCGAAAAATCTTGGAATATGAATATGATTGATTCAATTTCCAATTATAATAATGAGAACAACATTGTTGGTTGACAAAAGTGAATCTATTGTTTTCAGATTAGAGATTTCCAATTGGATGTCAAAAAGTTATGGCTCTTTAGAAATTTGAAATTTTTTTACCAATCCATTTTTTTCTTTCAAACTTCCCCTCAAAAAAAAAACAAAATCCGACTGTTAATTTAAGTGACAACAAAATGTAAAAATTTCTCTGAATTTGTGGCGCTCACCCTTCCATTACTGCGATGCCGTTGTATATCACCGTGACGTGGAAATTTATTGCGTTCCGCGAATCCAGGACCCACAGTTGGTACAAACAACATTTTATATGTTAAGGCAAACGATTTGAGATAGGACCAATTCTTCCATGTGCTGGCGAATGTGGCTCCATTGCTTGGCAATTTGCTATAGAAACCATCTAAACATAGACGTCTCATATAATCGGCATGATTCTTTAATCTATGAATAGAGGAGGAGATTATATTTCATGGTTTGGTGTATTTTCGAAATGATTTTCTTTTTGAAAGAATGAAAGAGGCTTTTATCAGCGAAGTATCAGATCAGTTAACTGCTCATCAAACCAGTTTGCCGAAGACATTGTTTTTTTTTTGGAAAATTTCGGGTTTTAAAATTGTTGAAAATTAATGGGATGGTGGGTCCAATGGATTCTATATTAAAGAATTTTTTTTTTTTTTTTGAACGTTAAAGTAATGGAAGGTATTATTGAGATCCAATATTGCTCAATTTTACTCACGAGTAACATAAAGTTTACTCTTTCTCTTTCATTTGTTTTAAGTGGGAGCTTTTGCGAGTACTTCTTTTTGAAAACTAAGAAAACTAAGAGTGGGAGTTTGAAATAGAGCAAAACATATTCACTCCTTTTCGAGTGGTATAGAAAAAAGAGAGCATGCTCGCTTTGTTTGAAGTAGAGTGAAAAAACACTCGAATTCGAACTTTTTGGAGCTTAGATTAAGAATTTTGGAAATACAAAGTGTTAATTTTAGTTGTATTATTTCAGTTCTCTAGCAGCCTAAAAGTGTGCTTATCAATTTCAAGTTTTGTGGCTTTGATTCCGTAGATGACGTTGGTTCTTTGCAAGCCCAAAGGTGTCTTCAGCAATATTCATTTTATATAAATTAATTAATATAAAGAGGTAAAACGTTAAACGGTACACAATAACAATGAAATCATATTAAGTAATATATTGCAGCTATAATAAAATCACCAATATCTATAGGGCTTATCCTTAACAAAATTATATCTCAATTAAACAAGTGATCCGACATGGTGACAAAAATTCATCGGCGGATGAACGGAGGGACGGACATGCGATTAAAAGAGATTAGAAGATAAATAAAAAGGCTATATATAAAATGATATTTCGCATATCTTCATATTTATGTCAGACTAAGAAAAGGTATGAAACTGGAGATGGATTAAAATAACATTAACCTGCTATAAAGGCCGTTATTCTTTAAACTTGTCCATTTGGGCGGCTACATCGAAAAGTAAAGAAAATAAAGAGAGCAATTAAGTCCAAAAGTTCTGAATTTTATTACATCTGACCGAATTCAGTCTAGAAGCAAGTACATCAAATTTGGAGAAAATCCTTTCAGATATGGCTATAGCTCCCATATATATTTTTGGTGTTTAAGGTCCTCACATTCGAAATAGGCATTCGACAACAATGATATTTGGTACCAGATATCTTATAGAGCTCGGAAATACCTTTGCCAAATTTTATCGAGATCAGCTAAGATTTGGATATAGCTCCCATATATATTTGTAATCCGATCTAAGGTTTATTGTGCAAATAATATGTATCAGCCCAAATGGAGTGAATTTCGGGACGTACGTTTCTATTTGGTGGAACCCAGCTTCGATACATATTTTTATAATATAATCCTTCTCGAAGTGATATTCTGCACTCTATAGCAATAAAAAATATTCTACATCAAATTTCATAACTAGTCTCTGAGGAAAAAAATGTAAATTGAATATGTACCATAAAATATATATCATCAAATATAAAATCAATAAATTATTTTTTTTGACAAATATTGAAATTTTTCCAAAATCGCTGCAAAAAGCCTGCCTGGGGTGTGGGAAATTCTGAGTGAATTTGATAGTTTTCAGGTCAGGCCAAACTTCGTTCAGGGCCTTTATCTATTTTTTCAACATTTAATATATAGCTTTGACATTTTATCGAGAGCTTTGGATTACTTCAAGCATCATTGGTTGATTATGAATATGAGTGAACTGAGCTAATTTTCTGGTATAGCCCTTGTATGGGTAAATTCCGATTTCAAGATTTTTTTTTTATTTTAGTCATATTTTCTAATCTAATTTTGCCAATTTTAGTATTTTTAATTCTTGCAGAATATTATCAATATAGGTTCACACACTGCTCTTGACCTTATTTTCTAATCGAATTAGGACAAAAGACAACTTTGGTGACACTCTTGATCTCAATCCTCGTATTATTATTATTATTAATATTGATGAAGGTACTCTTTGCCTAAAATGTAAGGATTTCAAGATATTTTAATCCGCAATTTTCAAAAAATGTAAACGAAGGGCCGATATATATGCTCTACTTTCATAATCGGTTAGGTTTTCCCTGTAATTATCGAAAAATTGAATTTAGTCGTACAATGTTATTTACTTCAGATATAGATTAGGTCCGGAAATCGACAACAGTTGTCCTTTGTAAATCGAAAGAAATTTACGATTTTCCCCAAACTTCGCACATTGTAACATTTCTACAAACACTATGGCTGAGGTGAATATAGCATATATCAGCCTACTCCTTCTGGTATCTGTCAAACGAAGGCTCAAAATGTTGAATAATCATAATTCCTAAAAAAAGGAAGAATAATGTCTGATGATATAGTAAAGATGGCATAAATAGGCCCTGCCTTTATCGGAAATTCCCGACAAACAGTAAACATTTAAAAATAAATAGAACAGTGTTGGCATGTTTGTTCGGGATACCGTAGTATTTTGTTGTTGCACAATAGTTAGGCTTCATCCCATTATTGCTGTTTTTATAAAAAACAAGTTAAAAAGAAGTAAGTTCGGCCGGGCCGAACTTTGAATACCATCCACCATTTGGAACCAATCCTGAAAAAATTTAAAAATACCGAATATTGCCGTTATATTGTTGCTAAGTCATTACCAAATTCAAATTCGGAACTTGAAATAAACGGTGAAGAATGTAGCTAAATTCATCAAAATATAGAATATAGGGAGGTACCGTTATATCGGAGCTGTGCGAAGACCTGAACCTGCGTAGACAATTTTTTGTCATATTCTGTAGCATCCATTTCGAACTTCAAATACGACATTTCAAACAATTTCGGTGAGTTTTGTACCTAAACTCGTCAAAATACCGAATATAGGGAGGTACTGGTATATGGGGCCTATACGAAGTCCTGGACCTGCATAAACAATTTTCTGTCACAGACTGGAGTTTCCATTAGGAACTCTAAATGCGTAATTTGAAAAAAATGTGGTGAATAAAGACGCTAAAATCACCAAAATACAGAATATAGGGAGGTACCGTTATATGGGGTCTATACGAAGACGCACAGACAATTTTCTGTCATAGGCTGTGGTATCCATTGTGAACTTCAAATACCAAATTTTGAACAATTCCGATTAATAATGTCGCTAAAATCATCAAAATACCAAATATCGGGAGGTACAGTTATATGGGGGCTATACGAAGACGTGGACCTGCACAGACAATTTTCTGTCTTAGGCTGTAGTATCCATTTCGAACTTTAAATACTAAATTTGAATCTATTCCGGAAAGATGGCGTGATTACAACAGACAGACGGACAGACAGACAGACGGACATCGCTAAATCGACTTAGAATTTTAAGTTGATCAAGAATATATATATACGTTGTTGGGTCTGACATGAGTATTTCGAGGAGTTACAAACGGAATGACAAAGTTAATATACCCTCCATAGTATGGTGGAGGGTATAACAACGTTTGTTTATTAGTAGAGGATATTAGGAGAGAATATCCCACACAAAAAGCAAGGGAACTGATGAGGATTCCAAAACCTAGGTATTCCCTACTTTACCCCCTGGTAAAAATTACCATCTTTCTCCACTAATAAACAAACGTTGTTTTTAGAAAAAAACAACAATAATTTTAACATTTATAGAAATCTAATCCACAATAGAAACTGAGCGAGGTCCACGAAATAGTACAAACTTTGTTTATAGAAACCCAAAGTTAAAAATTTCCATAGAAAATTTAAATCATAGTACTTTTGAGCATTATTAACTATATCAGGAGGAGTGTGGGATCTATACACACCACCCCATAAAATATTACAGGAAATCGTTCTTCCTTTGTTCTTCACATCAAACAACGAACAACAATTAATTACAATTTCCAATGATTATCATTTCTGATTTCTCAACATAATCAGAATTAGCTTCTTCCCCATTCCATTGATTAAAACTGGTTTGATTTGAGACACTGAACGGCCCTTCACTTTCGATGCTGATGCTGATGCCGCTGCTGTATCAGCATCTTTCATTCATTGTTGCTCTTTCATTTCCTTTCATTCATTCAGTAGTCTCTTCTTACCTTATGTGACCTATAAAGTACGCATCTAAGGTATACCTTAACGAGTCGGGCGTTTTACAAAATGCCTGAGCTGTGCTGGCATCCATTAGCTTATAAGCATTGCTAATATAAATGATTGGCATTAGATGGCGACGTGATTGTGAAAAGACTTTCAAGAAACCAGGATATTTATAGAATTTCCTAACATCCTGCAGCTGTTGTTGCAAATACGAATACGACTGATTTCCCGCAACGGTAATTTCAAAGGTTATCGAGAGATTATATTTTGGCGCAATTTCCAAGATGCTACGATACAAGGGTTCCCACTCGGCAGAGGGTCGGCCAGTAGTTAGGCTTAAAATTAAAACACCCACCCCACAGTTGCGTATATTTTCGAAATGTTTTTCAAATGTTGCCCTGGTGGATTTGTACAAACCCAGGGCGGGATAGAAAGCACTGTTAAGAATTTTAGCTGGAGGCCGGATGGTTGTGGAATTGCCATCCATTAGGATAATATCTTTGGAAGCGCTGGTCCTACGTGCCTTATACCATGGCACGGGAGCGGTGTAAAAAATATGTATGGCATTATTCACACTCTCCGCAATGGTGTGCTCTTCCTCGGGATCTAAATTGCTTTGTTTTTGTTGTATCTTTAAATTGTCAATTTTCTCCTGTATCAGCCTCGATTTGACTTTGTGTTCGTCATATTTCTCAGGTTGTATAATGCCATTTTCTCGAGGCGATTTGAGAATTAAAAGATTTTCAGCTTTTGCATTGAAGGCGGATGCTGCGTCCTTCTGCTGCTGGCGCAGCAACTGTTGAGATGCCTCATCTGCATAGGCCTGAGCCACGAAACGTTCATCGATTAGTTTTTCAGCATTGATGGAATGTTGTAGGCCATTGTTGAGTATCACCAATGTTATCACAATCAACGTTACAATCATGAGCAATAGAATTATGCGAAATTTTCTCGGATTCTTACAGTATTTTGTAAAAATCATGTTGGTTATTTTGGATTGTCCTATGGATGGCTGTGTTTGTGTGTGTTGGTGCGTGGGTTTGTAAGTGTATTAGTTATACTAAAATTCAGGCAATTTTTTTCATTTTTTTATTCACAACATACTTGTAGAGATTTTTCTTCTCGTTTTTTTTATTGATGATTTTTCTTGGGTTTTCCACAAATTTTCTATAAATAGTAGTTAGGCACTTTTTTTCTTAAATTTTTATATATTTAATTTTACTAGATATTTTCTAAATTGTTGTCCTTTGTTTCGCTTTTTTTTTCTCTGCACTTCACACAAAAAGGACTTTTCTTTACTGAACAGTTTCAAATGATACGTTTTTTTCACATCCACCCTTCAGTGCTTTCTTTCAGTTTTCCATTCAAATACTTTTATGTATAGGTATGTATCTTGTTGTGTGAATGTATGTGAGTGAGTGTGTGTGTGTGTGTGTGTATGTCAAAACTTTTGCACCAGTGTTTGAATGCGTTGTCCTTACGACCATGTGTTCACTGTCTTCTGTTTTGATATGTACTGTTATTTTTCTTTTCCTTGTAAAGCTATTTTTCTTTCATTTCTTTTTTCGGTTGTCCTCTCTCTCTCGCCATGTAAATAATATTGCATAAAATTTCCAGACCATAGCAATGTAAGAGCCTGCAGACAGCTGGGCAAGGACTATGGCGCATGTCAAACATTTCAAAATTGCTCTTTAGTTTTCGAGAACAATGGAAGAGAGAGGTAAAACTTAACTCTTTGGGGGAAACTTTGTCGTGGGCGAAATTAAATTAAGGGCAATATAAGTATACAACTCTTCTTTATAAAAAAGTCATGTAAATGTGGTCTATATAGGGGACCAGTTAAAGGGTTCTACCCATAGACGACCTGTGAAAGATCTATTGGAGACTTAAAAGAGTTATTCTTTCTATAGGAGACTAAAATGGAAATGTAGAAGAATTGTAAATGGTCTTCAACCCATGCAGAACTCGAATTTGTTTTTTTTTTTTAAATAGAAGACCTGTCAAAGGTATTTCCTCCATAGGAGACCTACCAAAGGTCTTCCATTCATAGGAATTGTATCAAGATTCTTCTCCCTTTAGAAAACCTTTTAAAGGTTTTCTATACACACGAGACCCCTTAAAGGTCTCCAATCTATAGAAGACTTCTAAAGGTCTCCTATCTATAGAATAGCTGCTAGAGCTGCTTCTATCCATACAATACTTGTTAAGGTTTTCTATCCATAGAAGACCTGTTCAAGGCCTCCTATCTATATAAGACCTGTTCAAGACCTCCTATCTATATAAGAACTGTACAAGTCTTCTATCCATAGAAGACTTGTACAAGGTCTTCTATCCAAAGAAGGCCTTTTCAAGGTCTTCTATCCATAGGAGACCTACCCAAGGCCTTTTATACATAGAAGAGCAGTTCAAGGCCTTCTATCCATATCCATAGAAGACGTCTTCAAGGTATTCTATCCATGGAAGACCTTTTCAATGTGTTTTGTCCATAGAAGACCGATTGAAGGTCTTCTATCCGTGGAACACCTGCTAAAGCTCTTTTATCCATAGAAGACCTATTAAAGGCCACATATCTAGAAGATCTGGTCAAGGTCTTCTATCCAGAGAAGACATGTTCAAGGTGTTAAAGATCTTCTATGTAAGACCTGTCATAGGTCTCCTATCTTTAAGAGGCCTGTTACAGGTTTTCTATCCATAAAAAAGCTGTTCAAGGTCTTCTATCCATAGAAGACTTATTAAAGGCCTTCTATACGTGGAAGACCAGTTAAAGGCCTCCTGTCTATAGAAGACATGTACAAAGTCTTTTATCCATATAAGACATGTACAAAGTCTTCTAGCCATAGAAGACCTATGCAAGGTCTTCTATACATAACAGACCTGTTCAAGGCCTTCTATCCATAGAACCCCTGTCAAAGGTCTTCTATCCATAGAAGACCTCTATTCATATGAAATCTGTCAACGGCCTTCCATCCATAGAAGGCCTGTTACAGGTTTTCTATCCATAAAAAAGCTGTTCAAGGTCTTCTATCCATAGAAGACCTATTAAAGGCCTTCTATCCGTGGAAGACCAGTTAAAGACCTCCTGTCTATAGAAGACATGTACAAAGTCTTTTCTCCATATAAGACATGTACAAAGTCTTCTATCCACAGAAGACCTGTACAAGGTCTTCTATACATAACAGACCTGTTCAAGGCCTTCAATCCATAGAACCCCTTTCAAAGGTTTTCTATCCATAGAAGACCTCTATTCATAGGAAATCTGTCAACGGTCCATCCATAGAAAACCTTTCAAAGGACTTCTATCCATATTAGACCTGTCAATGGTCTTTTATCCTTAAAAGACCCATCAAAGGTCTTCAATCCATAAAATACCTATAAAATATTCTCTATTCATAGTAAACTTTTAAGAGGCATTCTATCCATTTTCTATCCATACAATGCCTCTCCCTGATTCGCTTGCATCTCTTATTTACTCCTGGCAACTCATTTAAAAGGGAAAAGGGTCGTTCTTTTCGAGCTATCTCTTTTAGTAATTTCTAATTTAGTAAAACCACTAAAAAAGGTCCAGGAGATAAGTTCTCCAATTTTTTTTTGTATTATTTTTTAATACTTCAAATTTATTGTTGGTTTAAAAAATTTTCAGCTACATGTTCCCCCTCACCTTCGCGAAAATATTCAACACCATTAACATCCCTAGAATTGAAGTTGGAAAATAAAAACGCTGAAATGACAGGATCCTCAACAGTATCATTGCAAAAACGACCTTCGTTTAGTTTTAAACTACGCAGATCGTCAGAACAGTCTCCAGCAAGGGTAAGGAGAGAGGGACAAAAGAATTTTTAGCGTTGAAAATCATTTCCATTTCTTTTTCCATTACAGATCAAAGTCGATAGCAATCGCATATCTCCCGACTTTACGGCAATGATGAATCAATTTCAAACTCTTGGAAACATAAAATGTTCTCGCATCAAATGCAAGCTGTGTCAATTTGCAACGGATATCCCGGTGGGTGGTTTGCGCCAATTACCCCGAAATCTGCTTATGGTGCGAAAAATCGAGCAGTATCGAAATAAAATTGCCAGTGAAAATTATACGTTGTGCAGTTTGTGCTACGAAGAAACTAGGGTAAGTTTAATGAAAATCATTTTTTTTATAAGGTATTGACAAGGAGTCCAAATCATGTCATTCAAAAAATGAAATTTGAAATGACAGCAAACCATATCAAATTAATTCATACGTATTATTACTTAAGTTTCGACCATGACATGGCCGACATTATCATTTACATAGTGTTCTTTATAAAAGCTAGGTGTCGACGATGACATTGAACCATGTCATATGACTTGATTTGGTGTTAACGATGACAACAAAGCATGTCATACAAAATGCTTAGGTCTCATACAACATTTGTAGGAATCGAATCAAGCCATACAATATTGTTAAGTGTCCACAATGACACCAACTCATGTCATACAATTTGTTAAGGCATGCAGCTTGAAATGACAATGAACCACATCAAGTTAATTCATACGTATTAATGCTTAACTCTGAAATATTATGTTAATTTAACGAACCACTGACAAAGTTTTTGTTATGTCAATCATGTATCATTTGACAGATATTGTCATCCGATAACATTGCTCGAATACCTTATAGGTATCATTGACCATTCGACCATGATATTGTCTATATGAACATTTGCATAGTGTTCGTTATATGGCAAGGTGTCGACGATGACAGTGAAACATGGCATTTGATATTAACGATGACAGCGAATCATGTCATGCAAAATAGTTATGTGCCGACGATGCTAGCGAACCATGTCATGTTAATTTGTGTGTTTCACCGATTAAGGTCCGGTCATGGGAAGATATGTCATTCAAACCATTTAAATTAAATTAAATCGAGACGAGTTAAAATAGCTAATTTTTCGACACAATGACATTCATTTATTTAATATTTCATAAATTGTATACGTTGCCCTTTAAAGTGATGGCCGACATTGACATTTGTATTTTATAATTTATTTTTTATGAATAATATTAATAATAATAGTAGTAATGGCAATACCCATTTTTCCTTTTAGGCCAATTACTTTTGTGAAACCTGCAATTTGAATTTATGCATTCTCTGCAAGGATTCTCACGAGCGCCAAAAGCCAACCGCCAATCATGCCTTAAAAACGCTAACCATTGATTTGAAATCGAATGCGGAAGCACATTCTAAAACCACTCCAAACGACAATCATCTAACCCTCACTTGTTGTCTTCATCCTGGTTTCGAGTTAAAATCATTTTGTCATACTTGCCTACAGGTGGCCTGCTCGGATTGTTTGATCTTGCAACACAAGGGCCACCGCATCGATTCCACAGAGAAAGCAGCAAAAGTGTATTCCAGCATTTTACACGATTCGGCCGAACAAACGCGTTTGATTTGTAAAAGTGCCGAACATTCTTTGGAAAAGCTGAATGCTTCTATGCTAAGCATCAATCGAAAATGTGATGAGCTTCAAACGGAAATCGAAGATTTTATGCAACGTTATAAGGATGCGGTCGAACTGCATCGCCTCAATTTAATGCAACAGATACGGCGAACGCGGGAAACGAAGTTGGAATTGATTGGAGAGCAGCAAACGGAATTAGGTAAAATTGGTATAAATAATATTTATTTATGAAAATATTTCATAGGGATTTTTAGTATGATTAAGGATCATACTAAGGCATTCAGTGAAGAAGCAGGGTGATATATCTTAATCAATCTAAATTTTGTCTGACGATTGTCTTTAACATCATACTTGTATACAAGCCAATCAATTAATGCAAATTTTTAAAATTTATTTAATTTTGCAATGTTCCGAAGCCGAACAAAGCAAAGACTTTTATTTATATCTTAATGATACCCAGGGTATGCGACATTCCTAAGGCCTTTTTTAAATCTATCACCATTAGCTGTATCATTTAGAAACTAGCCTTGTAAACGTCCCAATCGGTAAAAAGTTTATTCTTATTGATTTTGATTTAGAATTTTCTTTGTGTATTTTCTTTAAATATATGCTACTTTTTTGTACGGAAAAGTGGAAAAGGTCGGAAACGACTTGAGGTTCGATTGTGACATGCTCGACATGATAATTTCCATAATGTTCCCATAAGACAGGGTGTCGACGGTGACAGTGAATAATGTCACACGACATGGACAGGGGACTACGATGAAAACAAATCATGCCATGTCAATTCATGGGTGACATTGCTTGACAAGGCTTGATATGTAACCTCTATGATATGTAATCCCTATTCAGAGGTATGACAAGACGAGTTGAATTAACCGCATAAAATCAACGATTGTTCCTTTAAAAAATCCAAGATTGGTCCTTAAGAAATATTCTTTAAAAATTCCAATTGGTCTCATAAAAACTCATGATTAATCCTCTTCAAAATATTTTTTAAAAATCCACATCCATTTAAAACCCTGATCAGTGCTTAAAAAAGTATTCCCATAATATCCACAATTTTATCCCTTTAAAAAATCGATGACCGGTCTTTCGAAAGAGTATTCTGAAAAATTCTGGTTCTAAAAAAATTCAAGATTGGTTCATGAAAAATATTCTTTGAAAATATTAATTGATGCCTTAAAAAAGATTGATTGAAAATAGATCGATCCCTAAAAAATTATTCTTGAAAAATGCCACCAAAAATTCTTAAAAAATCCACTTGAAAAAATATTTTTAGATAGATTGGTCCTTAAGAAGTATTCTTAAAAAATCCCAATTGGTCCGATAAAAAAAACTCAAGATTCATCCTCTTAAAAATATTATTTAATTATCCACAATTGGTCCTTTAAAAACCAAACATCAATGCTCGAAAAGTATTCTTCTAATATTCTCAATTGGTTCTTTAAAAAAAACTACGATAGATCTATTGAAAAAGTATTCTTAAAAATGCTAAATTGGTCCTAAATTTAAGATTGATCATTAAAAAAAAAGTTAAGATTGATCCTTGAAAAAATATTCTAAAAAAGGCCACCAAATATTCTTTAAAAATCCAAGATTTTGATTTTTTAAAAATCGAGGATTAGTCCTCGAAGAATAATATTTATTAATCCACAAAAACCTCCAAGATTGATCATTGAAACATTTTTTAAGGCCACAATTATTCCTCGAAAAAACAATACATTCTTAAAAAGGTATTCTTGAAAAATCCACAGTAGGTCCCCATCCATATTTGATCCTTAAAAAAAAACATTCTCTAAAAACCAACAATTGGTCCTTAAAAACTCCAAGATTAGCTCTAGAAAATGTTTCTTTAAAAGTTAAAGATTGGACCTTTAAAAACTACACTATACTTCGTTTAAAGAATTCATGATTGGTCCTTCAAATTTCTGCCAATAAAGGATCTAGCGTAAATTTAGAATATATGGGTCTTTTTCTTCTTTAAATTTCCCGTAAATTGTCAAATTTTTGTATCACATTCAGCAAATCGACTCCTTTCAGCAAATCTACTCCATTCAGCAAATCGACTGATGCTGTCTAATTTACTCATATAAACTGTTATGTGACATACATATTTTTTAGCTGTGTATGCGATATGACATAATGTTGTTTTATGCATTTCCCAGATTTTCTACGGGTTTTCCCATATTATGCTTAGAATAAGTTTTTGAAAGTGGTGGTAGTTTGACTACAACTCTAATATTGGGAACACCCTTTACATAAGTAGTTTTGGCAAACTGGCGATTTATGGTGGTTGATGGAACGCAATGCTTGCTTAGCGATTAGGGTTGACGGTAATTAACATGACGTCATTTTACATAAATACAATGTCAAAACTACAACGTCATTGATGACAATAAGGTATGGTTGGACTTGGGGCGGATTTTGGTGTCCAACATCAATTTCAAGCGAATGGTTTGATTGGAAGTGGCTCATATGGACATTTTCGACTGCGATTTGAAATGAGTGCTTGTGAAATTTTTACAGGACCCTCCATTATTAATTTTCAGAAAAACGTACCCAAGAGGGACAAATTGCCATAGGGTTTAGTCAGGAGTTAACCGATGTGTCAACGGATGTTGAAATCTTGTCATTCATCAAAATTCTACTGAAACGCTTTGAATATTGCCAGCAATTCAAGGCATCAGTTGATCCAAAGGTAAGTCACTACTATAAACCAGGTACCGAATATATTTCTCTAAATATTAATCCCTCTAACCTTTCAGATAATCAATATACCAAATTTCTTACCAAAAATACAAGCCCCAATGGTCAAGGATTCCAACGACATACCCGTATTTGGTATACTTTCCATGCAAACTGTGGAACCTTCATTGTGCACCCTACAATGGGATGGTGGGTAACAATTTTTGAAAATTGTTTAAATTTGTTCCTAAGAAGATTTTATTTTAGGATTCTCCCAACTGCGCATCAACAAGAAAGTAGAACTTACACTAATATCCCGGGATGCTGAGGGCCAGCCAATGACTCACGGTGGCCTGAAAATTCAAACTCATGTTAAATACAAGGATCTCAATTCCAAGTGCTTGAGAATGGAAGTAAGAGGAGGCATGGGCAAATATTTACAAATTTTCAATTTTAAGTCTTTCTATAGGTCACTGACAATTGTGATGGCACCTATGGCATAGCATTTACCCCAGATGCAGAGGGCACCATCATACTTATGATTACCATCAAGGAAAAGCATATTAAGGTACCCAACAAGTTGTGGATTTGACGAAGAAGGTTTTATATTCTCATTTAGATTAATTTTCAGGGCAGCCCCTTTAGCTTCTTGGCCCGGCCGGTTCGTCCCCACACTGGCATCTATCATTGCTGTACATTTTGTTCGAGTAAAGGCAATAAATTTGCCACCTGTTCTTGCCAGGGCAGCATGCCAGGTTATAGCGGCTGTGGCCATGGTCATACCGGCCATCCAGGACGACGTCATTGGTCATGCTGCGGGGAGGTTTCGCGGAATTCCGAATGTCATTTTGCCAATAGATCCTTAAATCCCAAGTAGTCGAATTTGATGATGATGCCGTAGCTGTGTAGAGGGTGTGTAGAATCTAAACTTGAATATAATGTTGATGTTAGTTTGAGTTTATTGTTTAATGGAATTATTTAAATAAACTAATTGAATATAATAACATATTTGAAAAAATATACTATTCCACATATGTCGTTGTAATGTTATTGAAGAAGAACAACTACAATCTTATTTAGGAAATCAAGGATATGGACATTGATATTGAAGAATCCAGAATACAGAGCACAGGTATGTCTCGTTTTTACTACTACTCATTTGTTTCATGTGGAAGAACTCACGAGTTACTTCTGTTCAGAGTTCAGCTTAGCACAATTTTACTCACGAACGAGAATGCTCGAAGGGTACGAGTTCTATAAGAAATCCACTCATCACTCTTTATGCCCTACACCACATAGTGGTATTATGCCTTTGTGCATTTGTTTGTAACATGTATAAGGAAGCGAAATAGACCCATAGTTACTTTTGAGGATCTTCATAGAATCACTTTATAAGTCGATTTATGTATGTTAGTTCGTCTGTCCATCCGCCCGTTCGTCTGTCCATGTGTTTTTGTAAACAAAATGAACAGGTCGCACTTATTATCCGATTGAGATGTTAGTTTGTCTGTCCATCCGTTCGTCTGTTCATGTATTCTTGTGAACAAAATGTAGGTCGCACTTATTATCCGATTGAGAAAAAATGTTGGAGAAATTTTGCAGACAATATTTGTTTGGCCTAAGAACGAACCCTATTGACATTGGTGATAATCGGATCAGATTTGGATAGCTCCCACATATATATCTTCAATCAATTGTGGGTTAATTGTGCACCAAACGGCCAATATAAGCCCAAATGGACTAAATTTTGGCAATTCCGACCGAATTCAGTCTAGAAGCAAGTACATTAAATTGGGTGCAAATCGGTTCAGATATAGCTATAGGTCCCATATATATGTTTCATCCGATTTAGTGTTTAAGTCTCTCACGTTCGTATTATGCATTCGAGAACAATGATATTTGGTACCAGATATCAGATACAGCCCAAAAATACCTCCACCAAAATTGATCGAGATCGGCCTAGATTTGTATAAAGCTCCCATATATATCTTCAACCAATTTTGGGACAACTGCGCATCAAATGACTAATATAAGCCCCAATGGACTTTATTTTGACAAATTCCGACCCAATTCAGTTCAGAAGCAAGTACATTAAATTTGGTGAAATCGGTTCAGATAGGCCATAGCTCCTATACATATATACACAGGGTGAGATGAAACAACTGTAACCAACTTCAGACTGCTGTTTTTCTAAGCCACTCGTCCGACAGCTGTTAAAATTATTCCAGTGACAGCTCATTATATTGCTTGCAAGCGTACAAAAGAATTTTGGTGAGAATTTTCCAAAAAAAAAAAAATATTCGTGATGGAATTCATGCGTGATAGTGTGATTTCTTTATATTTGGCTGGAAGAACACAAGTGGCTATCGTTAGAGCACTCCAACATTTAAATGTGAATAAATCTTCTGTGTCTCGTACCATCGCTCGTGTGATACTGGTAGTGTAGCCCGACGTCAAGGAAGTGGACTGAAGAAAACAGCAACATCAGCAGAAACGGTTCGAAAATTAAAGGAGCAACTTGATCGAAATCCGTGTCGCAGTGGCCGAAAAATGGCTCGTGAGCTGAACATATCGCAATATTCCATTCGGCAAATATTGAAAAATGAGCTCGGGGTAAAGCCATTGAAATTCCAAAAAATGCACGAACTTACACCGCAACGGAAAAAATATAGACTCAAAAGATCTAAAGAGGTGCTTCGCTTGGTTGAAAGTGGTGAACTGCCGAATTTGGTTTTCTCCGATGAGAAAACATTCGTTGTCCAGCAGTTTGACCGTGTTTACTTGCCAAAAAGGTCAGCTGAAAACGTGCGCCTTCGGTTGGCCACCAGAATTCAAGCGCCGGCCATGGTGATGGTGTGGGCCGCCATAACAGCCGATGGTCACTCTCCGCTCGTATTAATCGACCGTGGCCTTGGACATTCCAACAGGACTCAGCACCATCGCACTCAGCACGCGACACCCAAGAATGGTTACAAAATGAGGTTCCTCGCTCCATTTACAGCGCACAATGGCTACCAAAATCTCCGGATACCAATCCGTTGGGCTTTTGTGTCTGGAGTATTTTGGAAAGCAAGGTTGGCACTAAAAAATACCAAGCAAGCGCTTCGCCGGGAATGGGCCAAAATACCGCAGAGCAACATTCAGGCAGCGTATGACAGTTACATTGGCCGTTTGAAGGCCAAAACTCGTGCCTAAGGTGAATAATTTTAACAAATCTAAACATATTCTAAAATTTGATGCTATTTCCGGCAATTTTGCTTTCATTCAATGAAATTTAAAAAAATGTAAAAATTATGGCGTTTGACTTTGTTGCAGTTTTTTTATCTCACCCTGTAGTCGGCCCGCCCGACCACTTTTGACTTTTCCTTACTGGTTTTAATTTGTAAATCTAATACAGTCTTTCTCCACAACAGGAGCTAACTCACAAGTCTGATTTCTTTTTTAATTTTTTCATCATTATTTATATATATTTTTTTATATATAATAATAACGTCTTTTGTAAATCATCAATCCATTTTGATTACTCATGTGAAACACTCAAAACGCTACTTTGGCATCACTGTTCAAGACCCCAAGTAAGAGAAAGAGATGCCACCAAAGCTCGCACTATTCTCTCTTCAAAATATACTTTTAAGGAAGTGGCACAAGTAAGCAATGGAACAACACAAAAGGAAATACAAAATGTACTTCAATTGTCAGTTAAATAACCATCAAAAGAGAACAATGAACGGAACAGCCAATAAAACGGAAATAAAAAAAAATCTTTACAGCGTTACTGAGGCTGAAAATTGTTAATTGAATATATTAATAAAAATGTATAAATGTTAAAGACTTGAGAATAAATATACGCCATAATCATACCATAGATTATGACAGATATACACAGAAAAACAAAACGGAAAATATTTACTAAAAGCTTTGAGGTGTTGGCATTACCTCCAAAAATTATATATTTTAATGATGTGCATATTTACACGACATGGAAATGCACAAATCTACCCCAAATAAATTTAATATGAATTTGTTGTAGAACTCATCTGACAGATGGGTAGGCAGGCAGACAGGCATGCAGTCAGTTAGTCACTTATTCTTTTTGTCAAAATGCATCAGAAATGTGCTACATGAAATTGTTCAGTGTGCTGCTGTCAACACCAAAGCTTTAAAGCTCGAAATACAATTCTTGTCAGACAGCCCGTAAGTCTACAGTCATGTTTTGATTGCGCAAGGACTGTGGACAGGTTATGTTTCTACACACAAAAAAAAAAACCTATTCTTTTGGCATATGAACGAACATTGAGTGCGTTTGTCTACACCAGTGAATGGCCAACTCATGCTTAGGATTGGCAAGAGAACTAAATTGTTGGTCAGTAAGATATTTGCAACAGTTTGATGAGGGCGATTGTAGATGGTGTCTTGTAAAAATGTAATATTTTTATTTAAAAGAAAAAATTGAAAGTGTTCGCAAAGAATATGACAGCAAGTTTATACAAAAATTCAAAATTAGAGCAAAAAAAAATAAAGTTTTTAGAATTATAAAAAAGAGGCAATAAATACGCTTTGATACATAGATGGCGCCACTTACAAAAATGTGTTAATTTGAAATTGGCACCAATGATATTATCGTCTTTACTAATGCATAGCTGTCGAAATATTGCAACAATTAATTTCAAAGAAATATTTGTTGATACATAGATGACACTTATTGCAAAGAATTTGCAAAGTTGCGTAATTGGTGCCAATGATATAATAGGTTTCCTAAAATATATATAGCTATAGATAGACTGCAACAAGAACTTTGGATATATATCATGGACATTGCTAATATGTTGTGAAGAAATTTTAAAAATAAATTTGGAACCTTTAAAAGTTTTTGAAACATAGATGGGGCCGCTTCCAAAATTATTGTAATATTGTTTACTCAATAATATTAAAGTACAAAAATATATCTGAAAAGTTCCATAGAACTTCATAATATCATAATAAAAAAAAAAATAAAAAATATATTTGTACAGTCTTATCATATATAGATGGTGCTTAGTTTAAACGACAATCATCAAAGTTGTAAAATCTATAAATACAAGGCGAGAAATGAACTTTGATATGTAGATGTCGCCAATTGTAAATATGTGCAAATATTAAATATAATATTCAATCCTATAAACGTGTTTATCAAAAATATACATAGTTGAAAGAATGTAACAGGAACTTCTCGTATAATAAAAAAAATAAAAATAATAAATAATCATCGTATGACTACTTTTCATATTAATTTTGAAAATTTGAAGACAAGGCATACAATTTGTATAATCTTGTCATACATAGATGTCGCTAAGTTTATCCGATTGTTAGATATTGAACACCGAAAGATTTAAATTCGTCGTCGTTAAACGTCACTCTATGGCATAGACAAATAAAGATATAGACAACGAAAAGTTAGTTTTGTCTTTTTATCCAGGTGGCTCTCATCATGTTTTGCATAGTCAACATGCTGAATTACACGTTCAAGCCACTCGACTTCGAAAACACATTTTATCGTTTTTCAAGAATTTCGTTGGAATATTCCCATATTTTTCGATGTCACTACACAGTGTTCATTTTTCTTTTATTGTGGAACAATATTTAAATTACAAATATCCTACAGTTTTTGTTATTTTTAACGTTTTAAAATTGAGTGACTTCAATATTCCCACTCAAACCCCTAAAACGATATAGACGACATCTGCAGATTCGATTTTTTTCGAAGATAAACCGTGAGAGCATTTCGTTGTCTATATTTTCATTTGTCTATGGTTCCGATTTGGAGAGACTTCAAGAGAAATCTGCAAACATTTAAAGAATTTGTTGACACACAGATGGCGCTAACCGCAAAATATAAAAAAAAATGTTATATGTTTAAGCCAATAACTTGAAAATATTCGCCCAATTATATCTGAATAGCCATAAAGGCCAACATAATAAAAATTTGGCAAAATACACACAACACTTTATTATCACCACTTTCTGAGTCGATTTATGCATTCAATCGAGTTTGCTCAATTTATAAAAAAGTTTAAAAAATATTACCCCTTTTCAATCTCTATCAAACTTCAAACACACAAGAAATTTATGTATTTAAGGCATAGAAGGCACTAAATAATACCTTGCTGCAGAAAATTTATCAAGGATATTGAAAGTTATGGATAAAAATATGTTTAACCCAATAACTTGAAAATATTCGCCCAATTATATCTGAATAGCCATAAAGGCCAACATAATAAAAATTTGGCAACTAATTTAAAATTTTGAAGACAAGAAATAGAGTTTCATAGACGGCGCTAATTTTTTTCGGACTGTTAGCAAGATTGGACAAAATGCATAATGTTTTGATCAGAAGATGGCCTACGACATGACAAAAGCGCATTAAAAACGTTAGAGAAATATGATTTTTCGAAATCGAGAATAAATTGTGGAAACTCACAAAGAAAAATATCAGAAATAATAGATATGGACTCAAAAATATATTCCAGAGCATTTCCGATCAAAATCAACGAAATCCCTGTAAAAACATCAGGCCTGTTGGATTACAGCATAATGCTATGTCGTAAAATATTTTTCGACTACCAACGCCATTTATTGAATCAAATCAACAATAAAATGTCCCATCTTTATATATGTCTTTGTTTGTACCCTAAAATATTTAAATTTGTCGCCGTTTGGAGGCTTTAATGTCATATTTCCAAATTTTTATAGACATTTGTAGATAAGGTTGAAAACGGCAAAATACACACAACACTTTATTATCATCAATTTCTGAGTCAATTTATGCATTCAATCGAGTTTGCTCAATTTAAAAAAATGTTTAAAAAATATTACTCCTTTTCAATCTCTATCAAACTTCAAATACACAAGAAATGTATGTATTTAAGGCATAGAAGGTACTAAATAATACCTTGCTGCAGAAAATTTATCAAGGATATTGAAAGTTATTGATAAAAATGTTAAAATAAGATGACGATTCTTCAAAATCAATTATAGATTTTTCGATGTTTCTCTTAACTTTTCCTGCAGGTTCTACTAGTTGTTTCAGATACTCCGACTATCTTCCATCAAAAGGTTACAAAAGTGGCAAGCTCTTCCATTAAGAATTCTTGAACTTTTAAAGCTTTTCTACAATTTTGGTTCAACTTTGAATGATTTTTTTTCTTCAGCGTTTCCATAGCAGTTTCTCTGGTTAACAATTACGATTGAAGTACCTTTATTTTCTTTATATGGTCCTACAACGGTTTTCTCAGGCAAAAAATAGACTCATACTAAATCGTAGTATTATTTTGAGATCTTGGATAAATGTCTTAAACATTCATTATAACATTTAGCGCCATCTGTGTATGATTTAACAAGATGTATTTCCTGCATTCAAATATTAGATTTCTTTTCAAACCAGCTTAGAAAAATTATAGCAAGTAGTTACAGTTTTCCAAGCAATTTTAAAAATAATTCTTAATTCTTAAGTGCAAGAATAATGCGTGGGAGAGTTTTATCACATACAGATGGCACTATGTGTTAAATTACACATGTATTCAACTTTAAAAGACTAGCAAGTGAAGGCTTATGAGAAAGCGTCCTTTGTGTTCTCCATATATACTTGAACCAAAAAAGTCTATACATTTACATATTTTTTCAAGGTAAAGAGGTCAGTAGACGCCATTTAGTAGGTAAGCCATCTATGGAGGATCTAAGAAATCCTTTGAAATGTTCTCAATCTACTAATATTTTTTCTTTGCATCTTCCATATATACATTGGACCATAAAAGTCTTTCTACATTTACATATTTTTTTAAGATTTAGAAGTCAAAAGACGCCATTTATGAAAGATCTTCGAAATCCTTCGAAAAGTTTTCCATCTACATTCAATTAATTTTTTTTCCGAAGTGCCTCATTTAGTACATCTCTGACAACTACTTCAACATTTCTTATAAAATCGATTCTCTTGCAATAAAAATGTCATTTGCGGTTTTCAGCTGTTGCAGTAACACGCTAAACAATTAACGGGTTTAAACTTATTCCTAAGAATAATAAAAATAATAACAACAACAACTAAAGATAAACAAAGTTTTAACAATTCTTGTCACGTACCTGTAGATGTTGACAAGCAATGAAGGGTGAAATATCAAATTTAAGTGAGAAATTATTATAATTTATAAGTTCTGCAAGTGTGAAGATATTTACTTAACTTAAATTACGGACAAATGTGGTTTTAATGAATAACTGATGTATGTCATTTATTTATTTTTAATAGCCCGGGGATGTGAATTCTAAGCTCTGCCAAACCCCATGTCTCTAAAATCCAACAAAGTGCGTTTCATCAATTCAAATACTTGATATTTGAATTTAAATTTTAAAAATGCCTTGCTTCTGGAACTGTTTGGTGGTATTTTGTGTGGGTAAGTATTAGAATTTAACAAAATAATCTATCTATCTACAGGGTTGCCCATATTCGACGGACCCATCTGGCAACGCCATAACTTTTGACAGAGATGTCACATCGCTTAATGACATACCGCGTTTGAAGCGTCATTCCAAGCAGATTTTTACCATGAACCAATACACGCCACGCGAGCGCTCTGAAATTTACATTCAACAGAAGACGTCAATTGTGAAAACTCAACGTGCTTTTAAAAGATTAAAAAATGTGAGAAGTGCGCCTTCTAAGAACACCATTAAGCGTTTATACGAAACATTTTCGACTGTTAAGGCTCTTTCTAATCCGAAGAGGCCATATAAAAGTCGACCAAGGCGATCGGCCGAGAATATCGCTGCCGTACGAGCCAATGTTGAGAGGTCCCCAAGAACATCCCAAAAACGCCCTTCCCAGCAGTTGGACATGGCTCGGTCCACTTTACAACGAATTATTCGCATTGATTTGCATTTGTTCCCGTACAAAATTCAATTGACGCAAAGAATGTTGCCTGCGGACAAGCCTCCTCGATTGGAATGGGCCCAAAGGTCCGTCGAATATGGGCAACCCTATATCCCCCTTTATTTATACCATCCACCATACAAGTTCGTTTCGTTTGTAACTCATCGAAATAATCATTTTAGACCCAACATCAGCGTAAAGGTAGGTTTGATATTTTGGAAATGGGTGCTAAGTGTGCGAACTGTACTAAATGGTACTAAAATTGGAACAGTTTGGTTTAAGGTGAATGGATGCAGCTGGAATTTTGAAATTTTGTATTGGGGTCCGTTTTGGGGGTTGGTTTCTTGGTTGGTGCACGAGTAGTACTAAACAGTATTATATTGGGTATTATGTGAACAGATAATGCTTGAAATCTGAAATTTTGTGTAAGAGTCGCTGTTCATATGTAGCCTGGACAAATGGAGGTGGTTTTGAAATGCGGTCTATATATGTACGAAAAGTACTAAATTTGGTATAGGAAGGTTAAGTCTGATATCCTCAAATTTGATTGCGATCTCTGTGATATCTGAAATTGAGATACGGAGGTGGTTTTGGAAATGTGTACTATAATTCCAGGAAAAGAACCAAATAGTACTAAATTTGGTACTGTGTGAAGCAATAGAGCTGTCATCTTGAAATTTGATATTGAGGTCACTGTTGTTGTTTGTGGTTAAAATATGGAGGTGGTTTTGGAAATGCTAAGTGGTACTTAATTGGGTATTGGATAAAGGGCTACAGCTTAAATCTCGAAATTTGATATTGAGGTCTCTGTTGGTATCTGGAATTGAGATTTAGAGGTATAGATATAGAGGATTTGGAAATGTGTACTATAATAGTGCGATTAGAAAGTGCAAAGGTATTTTGTTGTCATTACTTGTAGTGCGGAAAATAATGAAAATGGTTACCATGTTTTTGCCTAAATGTATCGTCGTCAGTATTTACTGGGTCAGAGGTGAGTGTCTTTGCGATAGTTTTAATCGCAAGTAAATCGGAGATGTGGCCTTGCACGCAATGTACTTAAGGGGTCTGCCAAATAACTTTTTTTGAAAATCAAATGCTCATCAAATGTTCGTTCAACATGACTCGATAACGTAACGGTCACTCCTTGCTCATTTTCGAGAAAAAATGGTCCAATTATGCCTCTGGACCAAAATCCGCACCAACAGTGACTCATTGTGAGTGCATCGGCTTTTCAATGTTTGCTTGTGTTCAAATTGAGTTTTCACGTATATAATAAAATAAGAGGGATTTTTTTTTTACTACCATCCCCTTTAATCCGAAGGCTGAGGCATGAAATCACTTCTTTTATTCCTAAATCCTTGTATTATCAAAAAAAAAAAAAAAAATAATTATATTTCTTTACAGCAACTTCCCTGACCACCCATGTTCAAGCCATGGCAATTTTAAATTCTACCACCGAAGGTATTGATTCAATGGGCACAGAAGTAACGACTAAGCCCACCACCTCCGGCAAAGATATTATTTTGGGTTCCTGTATATGGGCAATTGGTCGCACATGTCCCGACAAAGATGTGGCATTTCATCTTTATACTCGACAAAATCCGGAGGAATCACAATTAATTTATATCGACAGCAGTTTTCCGAACTCTAATCTCTCAGATTCTAATTTTAATTCCCGTGATCCGAGTAAAATTATAATACATGGCTATAATGCCAATATGAACCTTCATGCATTGGCCAAAATGAAAAATGGTAAGAAATATATTTTTCACTTAAAAATGGAAGGCCCCTAGAAAGGACCTTAGAAAGAAAGAGGACTTTGAAAGGTGATCTGGAAATGGACAATTACTGTCAGATCTTCAATGAATGAAAAATCCTTTATACAGCTTTAACAGGTGTTCTATGGATAGAAAGCCCCTTACAGCTTTTATATGGATAAATTACCCTTTTAAGGTCTCCTATAAATAAAAACCTTTTACAAGTCTCCTACGAATTGAAAATCTTTTACATGTTTCCTATGGTATGAGTACCTTGTAAGGACCTCCTATACATAGATGAAATACCTTTTTCAACTCTCTAGACCTGTTACAGGTGTTCTATGGATACCAAACCTTTAGAGTTCTCTATGGATAAAGGACTTTCAATTCGTCTTCGTTTGCAGGTCTTCTATAAACCTTTTGCAGGTCTTTTATGGATAGAGGACCTCATACAGATATTTATACAGATAGTAGAAATTACCGGTCTTATTTGGATAAAATAATCCTCAAAGATAGAAGACCTTTTACGGGTCTCCGTAAAAATACGTCTTACAATTCTACTAATGATGAAAGACTCTTAATAGGCCTTTTATGGATGAAAAACTCCTTACATGTATCCTATGTATAGATGACCTTATTCAGGCACCCTTGCCGGTCTCCTTATACTGGCCGTCTATAGGTAGTAGACCTAGGTCTCTTGAAATGAAAGACTTCTTACAGGTCCTATATGAGTATAAGACCTCCTGGAGGTCTCCTATCTATGAAAGACTCATTACACCGACGAATAGTAGAACTCTCATAGCTCTTTTGGCTTTGGAAGACCTCTTACAATTATGCTATAGATAGAAGGCCTCCTATGAATAAAATATCATTTTCAGGTCGTATATGGAGGCATAGCCTTTTAGAGGTCTTCTTTAGATAGAAGTGCTATAGATAGAAGTCCTTTCCAAGGTCTCCTATAGATAAAACATCATTTACAGGTCTCTAATGAAAAAAAGACCCTCTCCAGGTCTCCCCTATTAATGTTTAATGGTCTAATATGGATAGAACACCTTTCACAGGTCTCCTATAGATAAAAGAACCTTTAAGGGTCTCCGATGAATAGAAGGCCTCTTACAGGTCTAGCATGGATAAAAGAATCTTTACAGCTTTTCAATGGATGAAAGACTCTTTACATGTCTCCTATGTAAAGAAGACCTTATACATGCCGTCTGTAGACAGAGGAGTTTCCATAGGTCTCCTTACAGCTGTTATGTTTAGAAGACGTATCATCTCGAATATGGAGTATAAAAGGTTATATCTCCGTATACGAGGTGATATAAAACGTCTTTCCATTGCCTCTCATTACTTTTACTGATCTGCTTTGGATAGATAGATAGATTCCATAGATTGAATACCTTTTGTATTTCTTTGACATGTCTTTCATGGATGTCTTTTTTAGATATATATAATTTTCTCTTTCCTTCCAGAATACCTTGCCAAAGGCGATTACAATGTTTTCTACGTTGACTGGAGTACCTTGGCAAAGGGTCCATGCTACGTTAATGCCGTTTACAATATTCAACATATCGGAACCTGTGTGGCTCAGTTGGTGGAACGTATTCGTGACATGCAAAGTTCGGACATACATGTCATAGGTTTTTCATTGGGGGCTCATATAGCAAATTATATAGCCAAAAATGTACAAAACTTTACACTACCCAGGATAACGGGTAAATGGAACCAATCAAAGTTTAGCAAAACATTTTCCCTAAAAATTACACCTACAGGTCTTGATCCTGCGCTACCTCTATTTGTTACCTCACCGAATGATGAGAAGCTGGATAAAACGGATGCTGCCTTTGTCGATGTTATTCACACCAATGCCCTGGTTCAGGGGAAATTTGAAAGATGTGGTCATGCTGATTTCTACATGAATGGGGGTATCTTTCAACCCAATTGTTTTCGCGATAATCCATTAAGTAGGTCCAAGAAATTTCATATTATTTTTTTTTAGTATATAAATTCCGTTTTTTCCCCAGATCCCTTTCCATGTTTCCATCATCGTGCCTTGGACTATTATTTGGAATCGATACGCACAGAAAAAGGATTTTGGGGATGGCCCTGCAGTTCCTATTTCGCTTATGTTCTGGGAGAATGTCCGCGCACAAATTATCTGGCAGAGGTAGGGGAAAATATGTCAAACACAACTAAGGGCATGTTTTTTGTGGAGACAAATGGCGATTCGCCATATGCCATGGGCAAATGGACTGAATCCATAAAGCCTAACAATAACAGCGTAGATATGAATCTTAATTATGAATCGATAATTGAAGCTACAGATGATATGGAGACATCCAGTAGCAGAGTTGAACGTCTGCTGATTTCAACCAATCAATGGGAGAAATTAAATTATCATTTCAATGATCCCTACTCTGGAACCAAAGGGAACCGGGAGTATAGATTAGAATTACATGGAGTTGAGGGGAATCAAGAGAGAGCTACTATCGCATCAAGCAGCGATGATGATGTTTTATTCACAACCGAAAATCCCTTTTCGAAATCATTTTGGAATGAACTAAGCAAGGGTCGAAAAGATGTATTATAATAATATAATTAAAATTAATTTTAATATTATTAATATTATATAGTTATTAAGAGTAAAAGGTGTATTAATAATAACAAATGTTCCGATTTGTTCGTTTTTACTCGCAAGTGAAACTTGCCGCTATCGGGAATGCTCGAAGAGTATGATGTTTACACAAGGTTTGCTCTGCTCTCGCATCGCATGTTACTCCGGTTTCGGATTAGAGTAAATTGAATGGAAAATATTTATTTTTTATACCCTACACCACAATTGTATTTGTTACCCACAGCCGTAATATGCACTCCGTAACAACGATATTCAGGGAAATATATCAAATACAGCTCAGAAATATCTTTGCCAAATTTTATTGAGATCGGTTCAGATTTGAATATAGTTTTATCCGATTTCAAATTAATTTCGCACCAAATGGGCAATACAAGTCCGAATTTAAAAGACACAAATGCTTCGGCATATTTAATCCTTTGAATTTTAAATTATAATTATAATCATAGTGTGTATTATTGAATTCTCCCATAAAAACTTTTAATTATTAAGTGGAGCTCAACTAAATTAGCAAAGTGGTGTAGGGTATCATAAAATCGGCCCCGCCCGACTTTAGGACTTTCTTTACTGGTTTTATGTTGCTTTCTCTCGAAAACAAGTAAAGAATACTAATTTTTATTCGAGTGGCTTAGAACACTATAGTATACTCGATTTCTTTTTTAGTCACTAAAGTAATGCCGCTCGAATTCGAGTATGTTTCACTCTTTTCTCAAAATAGAGCTATGTAGTTACCATTAAACATATAAAGCATCAAATTTTATATATAATTTATATTATATTATAATTTTGGTATTTACTTACTCAAATACATGAATTAAATATTGACATACCTGCAAGAGAAAAAAAAATTAATTAATATTATTCCACTAGAACGTTCTTTGAAATTTATATATTTTTTTTAAATAAATAAATAATATTGTGGTGAAAAATTCTGTGTGTGGATAAAATCCCTGTCAAAAGGAAACAGAACGAACAGGGCATTGGAGGAATCCAGTGAGATTTCGAAAACTCTACTAGAAGACTTCCTGAAGACGGTTCATCTCAGAAATTACTTAAAATAACGCCAAACTGACAATCAAAAAATTCATTACGCACATAACTCAGAGGGTTTTAATCTCCAAAGGATTTTCCAAGCCTCAAGATATTAATCTCAATTTTATTCCCGTCAGTTAAGATAGTAGGTTTCTAATAATATTAATGCTGCCTTGGATCTGAAATCCCTTGGTATCCCACACAAAAAATCGATATCTTCTTTATACTTTAAGCTAAAGCTGAGCACAAAATCTCAAACTCTATCAAATTCGTTTATATATCGCGCTAAAAATTTCAAAATTCCGATTTTTCAAACTGTAAAATATAAGCACTCCTATAAATTGATTTTGACTTTAATTGAAATATTTACTTTATATATACCTTTTTTCTTTTTTTATATTTAGTACAGGGTTGCCCATATTCGACGGACCCATGTCTTTTTTTTTAATCAAAGAAAAAACTAAAAACTTGGCGGTTGGCAATGTTAATCATTTAATTTGTTCCAAGCAGATTTGTTTACATTTTTTGAATATGATATCTCTCAAATAGCCGCCTCTGGCGTTGATGACGTATTGTGCCCTTTTTGCTGCATTTTCTATCGTTTTTGCCAACATTTCGGCCGGAATAGCGGCTATTTCTTCACGAATGTTGTACTTGAGCTCTTCTACGGTCCTTGGCTTGTTAATGTAAACCTTTGACTTCAAATATCCCCACAAGAAGAAGTCAGGCGGCGTCAAATCGGGCGAACGCGGTGGCCAGTCCAAATCACCACTTTTCGACATCAAACGGCCCGGAAACAAATTCTTCAGAAAATCGATTGTTATGCGACTTGTGTGCGGTGGAGCGCCGTCTTGTTGAAACCAGAACTGCCTCATACGCTTTCGACGAATAATTGGCATCACAAAATTGGTCATCATGTCGCGATAACGCTCCTGATTGATGGTAACAGCATGGCCATTCTCATTTTGGAAGAAAAACGGCCCAATGACCGTTTTCGCACTAACGCCGCACCAAACTGTGACTTTTTCGTCGTGAAGAGGCACTTCTTGAATCTCCTGAGGATTTTCAGTGGCGTAAAAACGGTAATTTTGTTTATTTACGGTCCCATTCAATGTGAAATGGGCTTCATCGGACATGATAATTTTGTTCCAAAATTGCTCGTCATCTTCGGCCATTTCGATGACTCTTTGGGCCCATTCCAATCGACGAGGCTTGTCCGCAGGCAACATTCTTTGCGTCAATTGAATTTTGTACGGGAACAAATGCAAATCAATGCGAATAATCCGTTGTAAAGTGGACCGAGCCATGCCCAACTGCTGAGAACGGCGTTTTTGGGATGTTCTTGCGATATTCTCGGCCGATCGCTTTGGTCGACTTTTATATGGCCTCTTCGGGTTAGAAAGAGCCTTACCAGTCGAAAATTTTTCGTATAAACGCTTAATGGTGTTCTTAGAAGGCGCACTTCTCACATTTTTTAATGTTTTAAAAGCACGTTGAGTTTTCACAATTGACCTCTTCTGTTGAATGTAAATTTCAACTATTTCAGAGAGCTCACATGGCGTGTATTGGGTTCATGGTAAAAATCTGCGCTTCAAACGCGGTATGTCATTAAGCGATGTGACATCTCTGTCAAAATTTATGGCGTTGCCAGATGGGTCCGTCGAATATGGGCAACCCTGTACCTATTTGTTATGACGATTCGAATGTGAACTCGAAAGAAAATAAACCATTCCTGGATTGTTTTTAAATAAATTTTTAATTATTTAAAATTATTTGCAAAATTTCAAAAAATTATGTTGGAAAAAATGCCGATGAAAGTATTTAAATGCCGAATATCGGAAGGTACCATTCTAGGAGGAATATACAAATACGTTGAACTGTAAAGGTAATTGCATGTCATAGGAAGTGATTCCCATTACGAACTCCAAATATCAAATCTAACACAATTCCGTCGAAAAATGTGACATAAATCACAAAACATTTTTTGTTTAAGTTGAGTTACATGGTAGTTATATGAAAATATGGCATTTTGAAGATAATCCTTTTTCAGAGAAGACAGTAACTATTGTAAACACCAAACACCTATTGGAAAATGTAGCTAAAATCGGGAAAATACCAAATATTACCGTTATATGTGGGATATACGAAGATTTGAAACTGTATTGGTGATTTTTTGTCATAAAACTCGAAATACTAAATTGGACATCATTCATCAATCAAATTTGAAATTTGGAATGGGAGTCACGGATGAAGTGCAATATAGATGTACCGAAGGGTTTTAGGAGAATTCAAACTTAAAATTTACGAAAAGTTCCAAAATGGTACTAAACTTCTAAAATAGTACCATTATGATATTATGCGAACGTATAAAGCTAAAATTGAAATTTGGTATGAGAATCAAGGTTGGAAAGTAAGTTTGATATATGAAAGTGGTTTTGAAAAGGTGTACTAAGTGTGCGAACTGTACTAAATGGTAATAAATTTTGAAAAATTTGGTGTAGAGTGAAGGGATGAAGGTGAAATTTTCAAATTCTGTATTGGGGTCCCTGTTGATGGTAGGTTTGTGTTAAAGAGGTGATTTCGGGAATGTGTGCTACAAATGCATACGAAAAGTACGAAATAGTACTATATTTGCTACAGTTTGGTATTGGATGAACAGATAATGTTTAAAATCCAAAATTTGGTTTTGGGGTCGCTGTTCATTGGATGAATGAAAAAAGCTGAAATCCTGAAATTTGATATTTAGGTTACTGATGGTATCAGTGTTTCAGATTTAACGGTGGTTTGGAAATGCGTACCATAGTTGTATGAAAAGTAATAAATAGGTGTCTGCGATCGAGATATGAAACGATTTTGTTACTACATTTGGTTATGGATGGAAATGTTACTACATTTGGTTATAAGCGAATTTATAGACCTAGAATCCCGATATCGGGGTCTCTGGTGTCATCTGGTGTTGAGATCTGCAGGTAGTTTTGAAAATGTTTACTAGAAATTCACGAAAAGAACTTAATAGTACCTTATTTCGTACAATTTGTATACTATTTTTGTATGAAAAGATCTCAACTGTACTAAATCCGGCATTGGCTAAAGAGATAGGTGTGGAATCGTCAAATATTGAGATTTCTGTTGTTATCTGGAATTGAGATATGTGGGAGTTTTGGAAATGTCTACTATAATTGTGCGGAAAGTAAAAAATTCGGTCTTAAGATATGGAAATGACTTTGTTCGGGATAGAGCTGGAATACTGTTGGTGTATGTGGTTAAGATATGGAGGTGGTATTAGAAATGTGTCCCATAATTGCTCGAAAAGTACTTAGTGGAAATAAATTGTGTATTGGTTGTAGGAGTAGTGCTGGAATCCTGAAATTAACTATTAAGTTCTCGGTTGGTATCTGCAATTGAGATATGGAGGTGGTTTTGGAAATGAGTTCTGTAGCTATACAGAAAGTCTTACTAGTACTAAATTTGGTATTGGGTGAAGGAATAGTGCTGAAATCCTAAAATTAGATATAGAGGTAACTGTTGGTGTCTGTGGATAAAATATGGAGGTAGTTTTGGAAATGTGTACTTTAATTGTTCGAAAACTAGTAAGTGGTACTGAATTCGGTATTGAGTGAATTTTTAGAGCTGAAATCCCGAAATTTGATATTAAGTTCTCTGTTGGTATCTGGTGTTGAGATCTGGTGGTGGTCGAAAACCACTAAATAGTGCTAATTTTGGATCACTGTTGGTGACTAGGATGGAGAGATGTAGATGGTTTTGGATATGCGAATTAAATGGCAACACTTTTGCCATTGAGTAAATGGATACAGCTTGAGACCTAAAAGTTGATATTGAGGTCACTGCCGGTTTGTAGGGTTTACATATTTACACGTTGAAATAGTTTTGTACAGAAAAATTGCATATGGGTCCATTGTGCAATGGTTTTACTAATATCCTCCCCGGTTAACGTAAAAATTAAAGATTTCAAGACTTTTTGGTGTAAAAGGTAAACATTTTTCTATTATTCTTTCCTAAACGTCAATTATGTACAAAACCTTGAAACTCTGAAAATTTAGTTTTATTCACAGGTGTTACAAACGGATTGACAAATTGAATGCGCCCACGGTCTTTACGAAGCGGTATACACACTTACACCTGAATATCTTTATTCCTCATTGATGATTTGAATCAATTTTTGCAAACCTTTTTTATTTGTACTTATACATGTTGAGAAAATTAGGTCATAAACCTTGCAATTAAATCTTAAAAATCGTCTTCAATATATTTTTAATTTTTTTACATTTCACACGAACCATTACTTACACTTTCCATAATTAAAACTTAATTGAATGGTGGAAGAAGATTTTAGGGAATATTCCATCTTTCGTTCATTCACTTGTACGTTCAGTACTCAAAAAACTCTTGTTAATATTTTGAACACAAAAACCCACAGACGTCTGACGATACGTTACGTTCAATACATAACTTCTAAGTGGTATGTAAATTTGACGACAAAATTACGACTCGAGTAAAAAACTCTCACTTCTTCTTATAATTCCAGAGGAGAAGTGACGACAAGCGACGTTCAGAAACATTACCCATATTAATTTTGAGCTACGACGACGACTATGTATGGCCAACCGAAAAAAGCTTACCGCCGCCAAATGGTCAGACCTAACAAATCGTTTCGTTCAGTTGAAATATTGGCCGTCTAGTGTTCACAATAGGTTTATGTTGAAGTGCGCGTGCGTTGTGCGACGAACGGAAGTTTAACATTTTAATTAACTTTCGTCGATAAGTGTGTTTGATTGAAATGAAAGAAATTAAAAAATTGAAATTCAAATTTCAAATATGAGCCAAAATTGAATATTATTTTTTAAATATATATGAAATTTACATAGAAAATGTGTTATTAAATTATATTATTAATTTTTATTAAAAAAAAACAAGTGTCCTGTGTACAAAGTTCCATTCCTTTATCAATATTTTCAATGTTATTATTAGAATTCACAACAATGTTGAAATTAAAAAATATACTACAACATAATTTAATTATTTATTGGATATTATTAGCAGTACTTATGGGTAAGAATGAAATAAACCACAGACTGAGACTCACCGTTCTTGAATAAAAACGTTGAGGAGATATTTTCTAAAATGCTGAGAATAAATTCTCTGGAAAATACAAAAATTTTGTAAAATAACTATCAAGTACCGGTACTACGTCAGCGAAAAGTTCATCTAAAATTTTTAGATTCGTTCGAACAATACATGTTAGGTTTTAGTTTGGTACTCAAAATGCACAATTTGTTCAGTTTGGCAACAATTTTTAATCAAAACTTCATACATCGTACAAAGTTTTTCAGAATTTTAAGGTCTCATATATTGTTCAAGCTTTTCCTATTTCGAAAAGAGTAAAAGGAAAATGTTTAACTTCTATAGCAAAAAGTCGTCAAAATCTTTAATTTTGAATTTTACCATAGAGGATATTAGTAACATCATTGCACAATGGATCCACATCCAATTTCTCTATCCAAAACTATTTCAACGTCTCCATATGTTAACCCTAACCAGTAAAGAAAGTCCTAAAGTCGGGCGGGGCCGATTTTATGATACCCTACACCACTTTGCTAATTTAGTTGAGCTCCACTTAATAATTAAAAGTTTTTATGGGAGAATTCAATCATACACGCTATGATTATAATTATAATTTAAAATTCAAAGGACTAAATATGCCGAAGCATTTGTATCTTTTAAATTCGGACTTGTGTTGCCCATTTGGTGCGAAATTAATTTGAAATCGGATAAAAATATATATGGAAACTATATCCAAATCTGAACCGATCTTGATAAAATTTGGCAAAGATATTTCTGAGCTGTATTTGATATATTTCCCTGAATATCGTTGTTACGGAGTGCGTATTACGGCTGTGGGTAACAAATACAACAAATCGGATGAACAATATATATGGGAGCTATAACTATATCTGAACCGATCTTCACCAAATTTGGCACACTACCTTCTGGACTAAATTCGGTCGTATGTGCCAAATTCCATCCCATTTGGACAAATATTAGACGTTTGGTGCACAATAAATGGTAAATCGGACGAAGTTATATATGCGAGCTATATCCAAATCTGAACCGATCTCGATAAAATTTAGCAAAGGTATTTCTGAGCTGCATTTGATATATTTCCCCAAATATTGTTGTTACAGAGTGCATATTACGGCTGCGGAGGACAAAAATAACAAATCGGATGATTTGGCATACTTATTTTCAGGCCTAATTTGGTTGTATGTGCAAAATTCCATACTATTCGGGCTGATATTACACGTTTGGTGCACAATAAAAGGCAAATCGGACGAAGATATATATGGGAGCTATATCTAAATTTTTACCGATTATCTCCAATTTCAATAGGGTTCGTCCTTGGGCCAAACAAATGATTTGTGCAAAATTTCATCTGGATAGGGCAATAAATGCGAACTGTACTTTGTTTACAAAAATACATGGACAGACGGACAGACGGACGGACGGACGGACATGCATAAATCGACTCAGAATGTGATTCTATGCAGATCATCAAAAGGAACTGTGGGTCTATCTCGTTTCCTTTTGCCTGTTACAAACAAATGCACAAAGACATAATACCCTGACCACCTAGTGGTGTAGGGTATAAAAACCAACAGTGATCTGTATATCAAATTTGGAGATTCTAGCTCTATCCCTTCACCCAATACCAACTTCATTAACATTTAGTATGCATATCCGAAACAATCTACATCTCTCCAAACTAAACAGCAACAGTGATCTAAAATTGGTACTTTCGAAAAATTACAGTACGCATTTGCAAAACCACCACCAGATGTCAGCACCAGACCAACAGATACCTCGATATCAAATTTGTAGCCCTATACATTCGCTCGATTCCAAGTTTAGTACTATTTAGTATTTTTCGTATAATTATAGTACACATTTCTAATACCATAATACCATACATATCTTAACAAGCGACACCAACAGAGACATCTATATCAAATTTCAGGATTTCAGCTCTATTCATTTATTCAATATCAAATTCAGTACTATTTAGTACTTTTTGTGCAATTATACCGCACATTTCCAAAACCACCTCCATATCTTGAAAACATACACCAACAGTGACATCTAGATCAAATTTCATGATTTCAGCTCTATTCCTTTACTTAATACAAAATTTAGTACTTTTCGTACAATTATAGTACACATTTCCGAAGCCACCTCCATATGCCCAGGCTAATACGAAATTTCTATCAACTACCAAACATAGTACTATTTAGTACTTTTAGTGCAATTATATCGCACATTTCCAAAACCATCTCCATATCTTAATTTCAGATAACAACAAAGACCTCAATATCAAATTTCGGGATACTAGCTCTATTCTTTCACTAAATACCACATTTAGTATCATTTAGAACTTTCCATTTCCAAACCCACCTTCATATCTTAACCACAGACACCAACAGTGACAACTATATACAATTTCAGGATTCCAGCACTATTCCTTCGCCCGATACCAAATTTAGGACTGTTAAATACTTTTCTTACACTTATAGTACATATTTCAAAACCATCTCCGTATCTGAATTCCAGATACCAACAAAGACCTCAATATAAAATTTCGCGATACTAGCTCTATCCCTTCATCCAATACGAAATTTAGTACCAAGTAATACTTTTCGTACAAATATAGAAACAATTTCCAAGCCCACCTTCAAATCTCAATCGTAGACACCAACAGTTATCTAAATTTAAAATTTCAGAATTTTCTAATTTCGGAATTTCTCCTAATACCAAACAAAGTACCATTTAGTACTTTTCGTACAATTAAAATACACATTACCGAAATCACTTCGGACCTTAACATAAATTTTCATATGTCAAGCACTATATTTTATTTCAATATCAAATAGTACCAAATTTTCAAAACCACCACGCACATTTAGTACACATTTAAATTTACTTTCCAACTCTGATTCTCATACTAAACTTCAAGTTTTCAGTTCTATCCGTTCACATAATACCAAATGGTACCATTTGAGATGTTTAGTACCATTTTCCGACAAATACAAAACCTAAGACATCAACAGTTATCTGAATATCAAATTTCATAATTTTGTCTCTATTCCTTCAAACAATACCAAGGTCAGTACCTTATATAGTACTTTTCTTGCACCTATATAATACTATTTGCAAAACCAACTCTTTGTCACAAACCTACCATCAACAGGAACCCCAATACAAAATTTCAAAACTTCAGCTTCATTCGTTCACCCTAAATCAAACCGGTTCAAATTTAGTACAATTTAGTACAATTCGCACATTTAGTAGACATTTCCAAGAACACCTGATTCTCATACCAAGTTTCAAGTTTTCAGCTCTATCCGTTCACGTAATACCAAATGGTACCATTTTAGAAGTTTAGTACCATTTTAGAACTTTTCGTAACTATAAAGTTTGGATTTCTAAAAATCTTTTGGTACATCTATCCTGCACTCCATCAGCGACTCTTTTTGTACATTTCATAATTCTGTCTAATACAAAGCTTTCTATTTTTAGTAGATTTTAGTAACTTTTTAGTACGAATTTCAAAATTAGGAAAAAGTTATATTGTTGGTCCATTTCATCTCCCTAATATTGTGTGATCAGCTCTATTAATAATAGGCTTCTGTTCCCATCCTCACTCTATGTAAATTTTCATGAGGATCGTAACATAATAATTTTGTCCGATGCTGGAATTTAACGCACTATATACCGGTGTGAAGTTAAACACACACTAAGGCCAAACCCACAACAGCTCGCAATTGTTGTCTTTATTTTTGTTTGTTTGCCGACGCTAAGGATCGTACATACACACAACCGACGATTTTGCAGTCGGACATGCACACTATTTGTAAATGACGAAAAAGTCCTTATTTTTCTAAGTATTTGTAGGGCAAAATGTAGTATGTTTTCATTACCTGGTAATGAGTTTTTCAGTCACATTTCACTGAGAAGTCAATTTTGGCTTTTGATCCACATGAAATATATTTTTATTATCTGTTATGTGTTCCAAAGTATTTTACAAACTCAAACATAGTCATTTAAATATTAAATGTTGTTAATTGTTGTCGTTGTCACTTCACTCCCCCGCAACGATATTTAGAAATAGAAAGTTTTCTCTTTTTTCTTGTGCGTTTTTTTCTTCTTCTTCTTCTTTTGTTTTTGCCCAAAACGTATCGTCGTAGGTCATGTACGAAGAATGCAAGCAGGCAGGCAGGCAGCAACACCGCAATGACACATGCATACAAACAAATGTATGACTGTACGTACACACTTTATTATAAACGTGTTCGTAATAATTTTATTTAAATTAATAAGGAAATGAGCTGAGTTGTGGGTAGGCATATTTAGATTTACAGAAATTGAATATTTCAACGCATTTATTATTGATTTTGACGAAAGATAAGAAACAAAGTTTTTGCTACTGAACAGTTTCTACACTAGTTTACAGCGTTTTGCCAAGATAATGGGAAGAGGTTTTCTTTTTGTAATTAAAAATGAAGTCGTTGGACGATTAAGATAGAATTCAACAAATTGTTTTCCTATTGAGAAAAAGTACTTAGACCTTCAGATTCGATTTTTTTTTCTTATTGGGTTAAACATCCACGGAAAATGTTTCTAATTGGAAAAATACCTTAAAAAGCATAGACTGAACTCTAAGGACAAATTTTTATAACTGTGAAGATTAATTTAAATTTCTCTAACAAAGGCACAAAACACGTAAATTACTCGAGTTCAGAAGGGGTTAATAAAGAGAAAGAGAGAGAGAATAAATGAAATTGAAGCATAGACAAATGAAAATATAGACAACGAAATGCTCTCACCGTTTATCTTCGAAAAAATTCGGATCAACAGATGTCGTCAATATAGTTTCAGGGGTTTGAGTGAGAATATTGAAGTCACTCAATTGTAAAATATTAAAAATATTATAAACTGTAGCATATTTGTCATCTAAAAATTGTTCCATAATGAAAGATAAGAGAGAACTACGTGATGACATCGAAAAATATGGGAATAATCCTTTGAACATCTTGAAAAACGATAAAATGTGTTTTAGAAGTCGAGTGGCTTAAACGCGTAAATCAGTATGTTGACTATGCAGAACATGATGAGAGCCACCTGGATAAAAAGACAAAACTAAATCTTCGTTGTCTATATCTTCATTTGTCTATGATTGAAGACATTAAAAAAGCAGCAAGGGAAGACAAAAGTCGGGCGGTGCCGACAGCAGATATACAGGGTTGCCCATATTCGACGGACCCATCTGGCAACGCCATAACTTTTGACAGAGATGTCACATCGCTTAATGACATACCGCGTTTGAAGCGTCAGTCCAAGCAGATTTTTACCATGAACCAATAAACGCCACGCGAGCGCTCTGAAATAGTTGAAATTTACAAGAAGTCAATTGTGAAAATTCAACGTGATTTTAAAACATTGAAAAATGTGAGAAGTGCGCCTTCTAAGAACACCATTAAGCCTTAATCCGAAAAATTTTCGACTGGTAAGGCTCTTTCTAATCCGAAGAGGCCATATAAAAGTCGACCAAGGCGATCGGCCGAGAATATCGCTGCCGTACGAGCCAGTGTTGAGAGGTCCCCAAGAACATCCCAAAAACGCCGTTCTCAGCAGTTGGGCACGGCTCGGTCCACTTTACAACGGATTATTCGCATTGATTTGCATTTGTTCCCGTACAAAATTCAATTGACGCAAAGAATGTTGCCTGCGGACAAGCCTTTGGGCCCATAGGTCCGTCGAATATGGGCAACCCTGTAGTAGAGTAATGTGTAGAAAATAAACATTCATATGGGCAATTTTGGTATCAATTACGTATCAAGGCTTTAGGGCGTTTTAAATTTGAAATAGATTAAAACTAACCTATAAAAGCTATAACTTAATCGATTTCCACTAAACTGGATTGAGGTCAATTTATATTGTGAGTGACCTCTCGACCAAACATCGTTCCTATGGAGTGCATGTTATGACTTTCAGAGTACTTACATATAAAACCACTTTATTTGATCAAAAGTAGTGTCCTTGATGTATTATTTACATCCAATTAGGGAGAAAATATATGGGAGACATATCCAAACATGAACCGATCTCGACAAAACTTGGGAAAGTAATCGTTTGTATATAGTACAGGAAATCCTTGTTATGGAGTGTATTATACGTATTTGGGTGACTTAGATATAAAATCAGATGACATATATATATGGGAGTTATATTTTAATAGGAACCGAAATTTAACACGCTTGATTCTATGCTTAATTTGGTAGTGCCTGCCAAAATTTACCCGAACAATATACTTCAAATCGAACAAAGTTATTTATAGTGCCGCTATATCCAAATCTGAATCGATCTGGACAAAATTTGTCAGAGGTATTTCCGAGCTGTATCTGATATCTGGCACCAAATATCACTGTTGTGCATATTACGAATGTCGGAGACTTAAACCCCAAATCAGATGAAACATATGTATGGGAGCTATAGCTACATCTGAACTGATTTTCACTAAATTTTATACACTTGCTTGGCTGAATTGGCTCATATGTACTAAAATCTATCCTATTTGGTTTGATGTTAACCATTTGGTGCACAATAAATGTCAGATCGGATAAAGATGTATGTGGGAGCTATATCCAAATTTGGCAGGGGTATTTCGGAGCTATATGTGATATCTGGCACCAAATGCCACTGTTGTGTAGTGCATATTATGAATGTTGAAGACTTAAGCCTCAAATCGGATGAAACATATATATGGGAGCTATAGCTATACCTGAACCGATTTCCACCAAATTTTAAGTATTTGCTTCAGGGCTAAATTCGATCGGATGTGCCGAAATAAAGACTAAACGGCTGAAGTTAGAATCTTTAAAATTTCCGCGATGGTCAGTCTTGGTCAGTCAGGGTACGAAAAGTTATGAAAATTGAATACATTGTGTTGGACAAACGGAAGGAGCTAAAATGAGAGTATCTGATGGAGGGCAGAAGTTAAAGGTTATGTAAAGTTCTAAAATGATACTAAACTTCTATAATGGCACCATTTGGTATTATGTGAACGGAAATGCGTCTTATATTAGTGCGTATAGAACTAAGTGGTATTAAATTTGATATTGGATGAAGAAATAGAGCCAAAACCGTGAAATTTTATATTGTTTTATCATTTGGTGTTTTGGATATGTACCGGTTTTGCAACTGAGTACTAAAAGTATACGAAAAGTACTAAATTTGGTATTGAGTGACTGTATAGAGCTGGAATCCCAAAAATTTCATATTGAGATCTCTGTTGGTATCTGGTGGTGGCTTTAGAAATATGTTCTACAATTATACAAAAAGTACTAAATTTGATATTGGGTGAAAATCAAAATCATTATCAATTTTCAACAACAATCATGAAAAAGGATCAAAAAAATCATCAAAATTTATATTGAGCTCTATATTGGTATCTGGAATTAAAATATGGAATGATGTTGGCTATGTGTGCTATATTTGTACGAAAAGTACTAAACTTGGTATTGAGTGAAAGATTAGAACTGAAGTCCTGAAATTTGCTATTGTTGGTGTCTGAGGTTAAAATATAGAAGTGACTTTAGAAATGTGTTCTATAAATGGTACTAAATCGGGTATTGGGCGAAGGAATAGGGCTGAAAACCTAAAATTTAATATGGAGGTCTCTGTTGTTATATGGAATTGAGGTGTGGAGGTGGTTTTGGAAATGTGTACCGTAGTCATACGGAAAGTGCTAAATAGGAATAGAGCTAAAATCCTGAAATTTGATATTGAGGCTAGCTTGGGAGATATGGCTTGGTTTTGCAAATGCATATAAATAAGTGTTCGAAAAGTAAAAAAAAAAGTAAAATAGTAAAAATTTTGAATCACTAGTGGTGTCTAGGATGAAAAGATAAAAACTATTTTGGATATGCGTACTAAAACATACTAAATTTGGTATGGGATGAATTTGAATGATATTGAGGTCACTGTTGGTTGATCTGAGGAAATTACTTTCCGAATATATAGAAAATACAGACAAAAATTAATTTGGACATAGAGATTTTTAAAAATTTTGGACTTTCTGAAAACTTTAGGGAAATTCCATTGTGCAGAAACATAAGAATTGAACATGGGTTGAGGCGGATCTCAAACGAAAAGCAACGGAGAACACTTTTTCTATAGAAATTCTTACGAACCTGAAAAGATTTTCTTGTAGGAAAAAAGTTCTTAGTCATCCGAGGACAAAAAAAGTCCTGACACTATTTTTCTATAGAATTAACAATACTTCGGTACTGAATCCAACTTTTTCATATTGAGAAAAAGCTTTTAGACAGTTGTTTCCTTTAGAAGAACAGTGAATACAGTTTTTTTTCCTACGGGAAAGTCTTTAGATATTCAGAATGCATTTTTGTTCAATTTCCACGGACTTTCTTGAGGAAAAAAGGTGACAGATTTTTTCCAAAAGGAAAAAGTCAGAATAGGAAAAAGTCCAAAGACACTGGTTAGATTTTACCTCTAAAATGTCCTTAGATACCAGGGACAGATTTTTCTGCATAAGAAAGAAATCTTCAAATACTGAGAACAGATTTTGTTTGTATAAGAAAAGACACCTCAGACACTGAGGACAACAATATTTCTATAGAAAATATACTGTGATTGGAATACTGTATTTTATTTTTAAATAAAACGATTTTTAAACGCGGAGGTTACTGAGAAGGAAATTCCTCATATATAAAGGAGGGAATTTTTCCCATGGGAAAGTCCCGTACTGCGAACAGACTTGTCCCTATGGAAAGAAACTAGAGGTAGATTTTTTTCTATAAAAAATTCTCAATAAAGTAATATTTTTCTTTTGGAAAACAGTCCTCTGAAGCAAAGAGTAGATTTTACACATTGGGAAAATAGCCCCCAGACACTGAGAACGGATTTTTTCTCATTGACAAATAAGGTTCTCAAAAACTAAGGACAGAATCCACTCCAACAAGAAAAAAATCCAAAGCCAGAAAACTGACTTTACTAATTTAAATTATTTCTATGATTTTACAGCAACACCTGGTGCCCATGCCGGCCGAGTCAAGTCAATTTTTGGTTCCTCCTCAAAACCCTCAACTACAGCTAAGCCAATACCAAATGTGGCACTGCACCAGGCCACCGAGGTTCCAAGTACAACAGAACCGCCAGTAACGATGCCACCAAAAAGTCGTGATATAAAAGTAGGGCCATGTGTATGGGCCATAGATCGTACATGTCCCGATAAGGATATAACATTCTATTTATATACCCGGCGAAATCCGGCCGATCGTCAATATATTCATGTTGATAAGACCCTGGAGTCGTCCAACATTTCACAATCCTTCTATGATAGTCGACATCCCAGTAAGGTTTTAATACATGGCTACAATGCCGATATGTTCCTGCATCCGTTGTATATGATGAAAAATGGTTGGTAATTCGGCTTCTTTCTTGATTCTTGGAAATATTTGAACATTTAAATTATAATTTCCAGAATATCTGGCCAAGGGGGACTACAACATTTTCTATGTGGATTGGAGTAAATTGGCCATAGGACCATGCTATGTGAGTGCAGTCCACAATATTCGCCATTCTGGCGCCTGTGTGGCCCAATTGGTCCAGCGTATCATGGATATGGGCAGCAAAGATATTCATGTAATTGGATTTTCGCTAGGTGGTCATTTAACCAACTATATAGCCAGCAGTTTGGACTCATTCCTATTGCCAAGGATAACGGGTAGGTGGGAGAAGTTTAGAACCGAAAGAAAAAAAGGGATAAAGCTTGACCATTTTGCAACAACAAAACCGAAATAAATGTTAAAAAATACACTCCTTTACAGCTCTGGATCCTGCCATGCCGCTCTTTGTTAGCTCATCCAAGGAAAATAAACTTGATCCCTCCGATGCCGAATATGTTGATGTTATCCATACTAATGCCATGATTCAGGGCAAATTGGAACGCTGTGGCCATGCAGACTTTTATATTAATGGGGGCATTGTTCAGCCTGGTTGTGCAACAGATAATCCATTGAGTGAGTATTCCACAAAATAAGAAAGAAGTCGCCAAAACGGTTTACTTTTCTCCTATTGAAAAAAGAACATCGGCAGAATTCAGTTTCCGAGGCTTTTTACTTCTACAGAAAAAAATCGCCAAACCAAGCAAATCGCCAGTTCCCGAGGTTAACTTTTTTCCTATAGAACAAAAATTAGCCACACCTCAGTTGCGGAGGTTTACTTTTTTCCTATGAAAAAATCGCCAAACCTCACTTGCTACGGTTTACCTATAGAAAAATCGGCAAACCCCAGCTCCTGAGGCACTTCTTTCTCTGAAAAAATCGACAAATCTCAGTTTCTGATATTTTCATTCTCTACAGATCCCTTTTCCTGCAGCCACCACCGAGCAATTGATTATTATCTTGAATCCATACGGACAACCAAAGGATTTTGGGGTTGGTCATGTAGTTCCTATCTTTCATATTTACTGGGTATGTGCCCGCAGACAAATTATCTCCTGGAGGCCGGTGAAAATGCAAAGAAAACCACCAAGGGTATGTTTTTCGTGACGACAAATGAAAAATCACCATTTGCCCAAGGAAAATGGACGGATCTACCAACGTTGGGCTACAAGAATCCAAACAAAACCATGACATCGATGTTAATGAAACCATCACCACCTCCATCCATAACGATTATGCAACCCCAGCACCGAGGAGATCCACTGATGCGTCATATCGATCAATGGGGAAAATTGGATTATAATTTCAACAATTTCAATGAATACAATCCAGCTGATGGTGAAGTTCATCATGATCCATACGATGACAATTGGACATATTTCAGTGATGATCCAGTCGAAATAGCCAATGATGTGAATGCTAACTCTGTGGAGGAACAAGATTTGGGAGATTATACATTCCCGGGGAATTTTAAACATGATCATCATGGTGAGGGCGAAATCGGTGGCATTGAATGGGAAGAATATAAAATGAATGCCACAAGGGGCTATATTGAGAACAGTTTGTTTGGTGTTCCCATATTGGGAAATAGTTAATATAGTTTTAGTTATTTATTATTACTATAAAAATGAAAAAAGGAACAACTTTTTGTTTTCTTTCAACTTAAAGCACGAGCAAAGCACAATATAAAGAGTGAAGCATACTTTTAGGCCGTGTAAATAATTGAATGACGGAGAATTTACGCCCAGACACAACGGCTAAAGCTACTATCTGGAAATTTTGCATGAGAGTCAGTTTTGGTGCGTAGGCATGTGATAAGGCTGGGTTTTTGGAAATTCGGACTTAAAGGGTACGAAAAGTACTAAAAATTGAGTACTTTGTTTTGGACAAATGGAATGAACTAGAATTCTGAGTTTTAGAATGAGGGTCACTGATTCATTTGGAATGGGAGTCACTGATACAAATGCAGGATAGATGTACCAAAGGGTTTTTGGAAATTCGAACTTTAAGGTTACGAAAAGTTCTAAAATGGTACTAAACTTCCAAAATGGTACCATTAGGTATTATGTGAACAGATAGAGCTAAAACATGAAATCAGGTATGAGAATCAAAGATGGAAAAGAAGTTTAATACATAAAGGTAGACTTGGAAATGTGTACTAAGTGTGCGAACTGTACTAAATTTGGAACAGTTTGGTTAATGATGAACGTTTGGGTCCCTTTTGGAGGTGGGATTGTGACAAAGAGGTGGTTTGGGAGGGACAAAGTACTAAAGAGTGCTATATATTTGGTACAGTTTGGTATTGGGTAAATCGATAGAGCTTAAAATTTGAGATTTGGTATTAGGTTCGCTGTTCATGTGCAGTCTGGACATATCGAGGTGGTTTCGGTAATGTGAACTATTACTGTACGAAAACTACTAAATAGTACTAAATTTTGTATTGAGTAAAGGGATAGAGCTGGAATCCCGAAATTTGATATAGAGTTCTCTGTTGGTATCTGGAAGTAGTTTTGAAAATGTGTACTATAATTGTATGCAAAGTACTAAATTCGGCAATAAGGAAAATTAAAGAGCTGAAATCTTGAAATTTCATATTAATGTAACTGTTGGCATTCGAGGTTGAGATTTGGAGACCTCAATATCAAATTTCGGATTTACAGCTCTATCCCTTCACCTAATACCAAATTTGGCACCACTTAGTACTTTTCGAACAATTATAGTAACCATTTCCGAAACCACCTCCATATCTCAATTCCAGATACCAACAGAGACCTCAACTTCAAATTTCAGGATCTCAACTCTATTCCTTCATCCAATAACAAATTTAGTATCATTTAGTACTTTTCGTAAAAATATAGGGCGCATTTCCAAACCACCGCCAAATCTCAACCTCAGATATTAACAGTTATCCATGTATGAAATTTTAGAAGTTTATCTCTATCCCCTCAATCAATTCCAAATTTAGTACTATTTAGTACTTTTCTCAACTCTATTCCTTCATCCAATAACAAATTTAGTATCATTTAGTACTTTTCGTAAAAATATAGGGCGCATTTCCAAACCACCGCCAAATCTCAACCTCAGAAATGCGCCCTATATTTTTACGAAAAGTACTAAATGATACTAAATTTGTTATTGGATGAAGGAATAGAGTTGAGATCCTGAAATTTGAAGTTGAGGTCTCTGTTGGTATCTGGAATTGAGATATGGAGGTGGTTTCGGAAATGGTTACTATAATTGTTCGAAAAGTACTAAGTGGTGCCAAATTTGGTATTAGATGAAGGGATAGAGCTGTAAATCCGAAATTTGATATTGAGGTCTCTGTTAGTATCTGGAATTTAGATATGGAGGTGGTTTTGGACATGTGTACTACAATTATATGAAAAGCACTAAATAGTACAGAATTTCGTATTGGGTAAAGGAATAGTCTGGAAATCCGTAAATTTCATATAGATGACACTGTTGGTGTCTGTGGTTAAGAGATGGAGGTGGTTTTGGAAATGTGTAGAATAATTGTCCAAAAAGTGCCAAGTAGTACTAAATTTGGCATTAGGTGACGAAATATGACTGAAATCTTGAAATTTGATGTAGATGTCGGTATCTGAGGTTGAGATTGGGAAGTGGTTTCGGAAATGTGTACTTTTATTGTTCAAAAAGTACTACATTTGGTATTGGGTGAATGGATGGTGATAAAAATCTGATATTTAGACAACTGTTAGTATCAAAGGTTGAGATTTTCTGGTGGTTTGGAAATGAGTCCCATATTTGTACGAAAAGTATTAAATGGTACTCAATTTTGTATTGGATTAAGTGATAGGGCTGGAATCTCTAAATTTTATTTTCAAGTCTCTGTTGGAATCTGGAATTGATTTTGAATCGCTGTTGGTGCATAGGATGAAGAGATGTAGATTGTTTTGTTTATATGTTGCTAAACTTGATGTTGGGTAAAGGGATAGAGCTGCAGTTCCAAAAACTGATAATGCTGTTGGTTTCTAGGATTTACATATGGAGATTTTGAAATAGTTTTAGACAGAAAAATTGGATGTGTGTCCACATCCACTAACATCATCCTCGGCAAAATTCAAATTGAAAGATTTTGAAGACCTTTTGGTGTAAAAGGTAAACATTTTCCTATTATTCTTTTCGAAAAAGGAAAAACTTAAATAATATAAAGTAAATGTATGAAGTTTTGATTAAAAAAAGTTGTCGAACTGACAAAAAACATTTTGTTACTAAAAAGGCCTAACCCGAACTAAAAGTGAACTTTTCGCTGACGAATTAGCGGGCACTGGCTAGTCTAAGATAAAGGTATTGAACATTATGACCCCATGTGGGGAGGTACCAGAGTAGGTACCATCTTCACACGAAATCTTGTGAAATCTTGTAAAAATATTGGGATGTGTAAAACTTGAAGTGAATCTGATTCTTTTTTGTATTTTGTGAGTGTTAAAATGTGGGGGTGGTACAAGTCGGAGTAGTCCGATGGAATATCTTCACCACTAATCTTGTGTTGATACGAATATTGGGATGTGTCGGATTTAAAAATAATCGGATGCCCATATCGCCAGTAATGCGCTTAATGTTTATTCAAAAAAGTTGACCCATTTGTGGGGGAGGTACCAGAAGGAGTGGATCGATAGCTTCCATCTTTACACCATTTCTTATGTTAGTAAAAATATTGCGATGTGTCATATTTGAAGAGAATCGGATGCTTATTTGGAATTTTATAGTTAGTTTATTCAAATTTTTGACCCTTTGTTTTTATTGTCCATTTTCGCCTCTGACATAGCACTGATACAAATATTAGAATTTCCAAAGTTAGTACAAATTTTATGATCGTCTCTCATTCTATATAGTAAATTATTTTTTATATATACCCTCTGTATCCATATGGCTATAAAAATCTCTTCTCAGTGGCTTAGAATGTTTTCTATAGAAAATCATATTTTTTTTATTTACTGAGAATTGTTTTCCACACGAAAAAAAATCAGTTCTCTTTGGCTGAAAATCTGAAATAGAAAATGCTCCTGAAGATTGTTTAATATAAATCGCAATATTTTTTCACATCTTAATTAGCTTTCAAAAAATGTATACCTAAGTGAAATATATAAAAAATTGAAAGAAGTCAAGTACAAATTCCACATTAATTTGACATTAATCTCTTTCAAAAAAAATACAATAAAAAAATCAAAAACAAACAACTTACCCTTGAATTCAAAAAGAAAGAACCCAAAAAAGAAAAACATCTCAGCTAACAACAAGCAAGAATATAAGAACTTTTCTTATATCATATCAAATGAAATAAAAAACTGTTTTCTTTTCTCAAAGAGCCTCCCCTGTCGAATGATTCATTTTTTATTTGTTTTTTTTTTTTTTTTTTTTTTTTTTTTGCTCTTTATTCTCTACTATGGAAAAGCTTAGTATACAAATGATGCGCCAGCCATTGGAAATATATGGGCGGGCGTCTAATACGAGCCAAAACCAGCAACAGCATCATCATCATCACATTCTTCTCCTTCTCGTAATCAAAATACACAAACATTCTTCTCCACCATCCAACAAAAATATGTGAATATTTTATATCTAGAAATTTATATTCACCAAAAAGAAAATCGGTATCAGTCAATCATTTATTTATATATATCATCAACAACAAGCAACAACCAGAAGCAACAACATCAGCATCCTCATCATCAAATCTCATTAACATCTTCTTTAATGTTGCAGCTACTCTGTGGTATCCGTCACTACGACCGTCCGTCCGTGCGTCCATTCCACTCATCGTCGACAACAACGTGTCGTGTTTTTATTTTCAGCATTTTTTTTTTGCCACTGCTTCTGCTGTGTTTTTCTTATTTTCACAATAGAATTTTGTGCTAATCATACTCATGTGAGTTTCCCCCTCCTTCCGGCTCCACTTCCTCCCACACACTGCCACCATCACCTTTTATTTTGAAATTTTCGCTTTTTATATTTTTAGAGATTGGACTAATTTTTTTCTTTTGCTTTTAATTTAGTCGAGAAAAAAGTGAAGAATTTTTGTCTGAAATATGCAGACCACTTGAAGTTCAATTTGAGAAAAAACGCAAAATATTTTGATTTCCTGCATTATTATTGAATATTTGTAGCACGCAGAGAGGTCATATATCACTGCAACATAACATTCCGAATTTTAGGAAATTTTGGAAAATTTTTAAAAATAATTTTCAGGACTATTAGATGTGATAATGAGAATTTTTCACGGTTTGGTAACACTTTCGAAACAATTTTTATGGATTTCTTTAAAAAAAAAATTAAAGGCCATTTAAAAGTACTTTTAGGGTTTATATACCCTACACCGCCACACTGTAGTACAGTGATTTATGTCTATGCATTTTTATTTATAACATTAAAAAGGAAATTAAACGGAAAAGAAAAAGTTCCTTTCGAGGATCTTCATAGAAACACATTCTAAGTCGATTTATGCAAGCACTTCGTATATAAAGTACAGGTAGCATTTTATATCCGATTGAAATGGAATTTTCCACAAATACTTTGGTAGGCCCAGGAACGAACCCTATTAAAATCGGTCCAAATTTAGATATTGCTCCCATAT